CCCCACACACACACACCAGAACAGACCACACGGAATGACGCCACTGTGTGTGTGAGTGGGATCTCTGTCTGTCTGTGCGAGCGTGTCGTGTGTGCCTCACCTCGTCAGGGGAGGTGTATTCGATGATTTCTGTGCAGAGGTTGGAGCTCTTGATGGTGCCCAGGTTCTGCTGATTCGACTTGCGGTTGCAGGCATCCTGACCACCACACACCACACACCACACACATGGACACATGGACACACAGACATTCCTTCCCCCTCCCCCGTGTGTGTGGACGGGGTGTGTGTGCCTTGTATAGCATATAAGGGGTGCCGGTCTCGATCTGGCTCTGCAGGATGGCAAACCTGACCATAAATCCACACACCCACACGAGACACACATGGTGCAGTGGGCAGTGTGGGGGGTGTGGCGTGGTGGCGTGGTGGCCGGGTGGCTGACCATAGTTTCTGCGCCTGGACCTGCTTGCGCCCCCGGCCCTCCGTCTCGTACTGCTCGTACAGACGCTCAAACTTCTCGCCCCACACATCCTACACCCACCCACACACCGCACGACAGACACCCATTTGTGTGTGTGTATGTGTGTGTGTGGTGGGTGGCGTCTTGTGCCCATCCACAGCCAGCCCGCCCGTCCCGTCCCGGCCCAGCCCACCTGGAGTCCCATGCACTCGTTGGGGCACATGAGTGTCCACATGCCGTCGCTCTCCACGCGGCGCATGAAGAGATCCGGCACCCACAACGCGTAGAACAGATCTCGCGCACTGGAGAGAACCAATACACACACACACACACACACGCGTACAAACACACATGTGTGTGTGTGGATGGGTATACCTGGGTGGATCATGTGTCTAGGTACCTACCGGTGTTCGTCTTTGCCGTGGTTCTTTTTGAGGTCGAGCCAGTCGAAGATGTCGGCGTGCCACGGCTCCAGGTAGATGGCGAAGGAGCCCTTCCTCTTGCCGCCGCCCTGGTCCACATAACGCGCTGAACCATACCATACACACACACACCAACACACACACACACACATGCATGTGGGTGGATGGACGGACGGACGGATGGGGGCGGGGCGGGGTCCAGAAGGAACGCACCAGTAGCGTTGTAGACCCTGAGCATCGGCACGAGTCCGTTGCTCTTGCCGTTGGAGCCCCTGATGTAGCTGCCGGTCGCACGGATCGAGTGCGCCGCCACACCGATGCCGCCAGCACACTTGCTGATCTGCGCGCAACACTTGAGCTGATATGGATGAATCAGGTACACACACCACACACACACACACACACACAGAGAGAGAGAGAGAGAGAGGTGGGTGGATTGGGGGGTGAGGAGAGGGTTGGTACTGTGTCGAAGATGCCTTCTATGGAGTCCTCCTTCATCGTGAGCAGGAAACCTTAGTGAGGGAATCGCACCCATCAGACACACACACAGACACAGACACAGACACACACTCGATTAATTCATCAATCGGCCACGACCGCCTGTGCCTGTGCGTGTGTGGGTGTGGGTGTGGGAGTGGGTGCGGCGTACATGAGGACATCTGTGGCCTGGGCGTGCCGCTGTTGAACAGAGTGGGCGTGGCGTGCGTGAAGTACTTCTGCGACATCAAACGGTACCTGAATCCCACACACAAACCCACACCCACACCCACACACGCAGATACAGAAGCGGGTACAAGACATGTGTCTGTGTCTGTGGGGGTGGAGGTGGGTGTGTGTGGGTGTGTTTGTGTGGGAGTGTACGTTTCTATGGCCTTGTCGACATCGCCGGTGTGTATGCCGCACGCCACGCGCATCAGCATGTGCTGCGGCCGCTCCACTATCTTGTCATTCTTCTTGAGCAAATAAGAACTGACCACACACAACAACCCCGCACACACACACCCCACACCCTCCTCTCCTCTGTGTGTGTGTGTGTGTGTGCGTGTGGATGGTTGCAAGTGTGGGTGGGCGTACCGCTCGAGCGTCTTGAAGCCGAAGTAGTCGTATTCAAAGTCGCGGCTGTAGTCCATGGCGCCGTCCAGCGTGTCGGCATTGCTCTGGATGAACTCATACACCTGACACGACACACATAGAGAGAGTGGCGGAGCTTCCCACAGACGGTTTATGTGTGAGTGTGTGTGCGTGTGTTTAGGCGACCGACCTCATCGGAGAGGAGCGATGCGCGGCGACCCAGGATGTCCGAGTAGTCATACAAATCCTGACGACGACACAGAGGAAGAGGACAATATATCCACATAAGCCCTCCCTCCCTCCCGCGCCCATCCCTGTGGCTGTGGGTGATGGCTTAGGCTTACGTCGGCTACTTTGGAGAATTTCTCCTCCGTCGACTTGTGCAGGTTCGACACGGCGATGCGGGCGGCCAGCTTCGAGAAGTCCGCATGGGTCGCCGCCAGGTACGCGCAGGTCTGTGCCGCGACCTCATCCAACTCTGACGTGGTGATGCCCGGATGCAGCTGAGCGGATCCATTCATCCAGCCACACCACACAAGACGGGGATCCATCCATCCATCCGACGCAGATCCATCCATCCGTCCATCTGTGGAGGAGATCTTCCTCTCTGTGTGTGTCCGTCCATCAACCCGCCGCACCTACCTGTGCAACGACCCTTCTGGCGATGACGGGCGGGTCGATGAGTGAGTGGAGCGGCGTCGGCTCGTTGCAGAGCTTGGCTATGCGGTCGGTGATCTTGTCGAAGCGGACGTCCTCCCGCTGGCCCTTCCTGTTGATGACGTACAGCTTCTCCTTCTCCAGCTCGAGCCCGCCGCTCAGCGATACCGACACACCTGACGACATGAATGATGATCTCCCACTCCGGGACGGCCGGAGAAAAGGGCCTGACACTCACTAATCACGAGATTTACAGCTCCCTTCAAAGCTCGCAAGGGGCGCCAAATCAGGTTCACACAAAAGCAGCAGTGTCATCCATTCTTAGATCTTCACAATGGCCTTCGACATCAGTCACACACGGGTGAGAGGAGAGGAGGCTGCAGGCCAAGCAACGCATGAGCAAAGCATGAAGCGACGCACGTGAATTGGCATGTGCTGTGTGTCTGCGCTGTCTGTGTTGTCCTGCGGTCGGTGTGGTGCAGATGGTTGCGATGCGTGTGCGTGAGCAGCTCTTGCCGCAGCCTGAGTTCACGCCTTTGATCATCGCATGCTTTCAGATGAACCAGACTCAGGTACTCAGCCATCGCTGCAGCGCATTGACTCGCTCATCGGCCGCTTGGTTGCCCTCTTTGTTGGTTGTGTGTGTGGCGTGTGTCAGGTCAACGCTGCCATCGCACGACTCTCACAGACGGACGCCAGCGCGATGCCAACACAGGTATGCTATGCGCACGCTGCAAAGCACTACGACCTGCCTCTGAGTCTTGTGCCTTCGTTGGTGTTGCTGTTGTCCTGTTTGTTCATTCGTCAGAAGGTGGCCACGGTGAACCGGAAGCTCGCTGCTGTGTCCGACCTGCTGGCCGACCTGGCAGAGACCATAGACTCGACCATCGCACAGACAACACACGAGGGTGAGCCCACTTATGCCTTAGGGAAAATGGCACACAAACACACAAACACGGCCTTGTGTGTGTCCGTGCCGTTGTCAGGTGGTGGCTCTGGCGATTCTGCCGCACATAGCGACGATTGCCACGTGCAGGTGTGTGACTGACCACAGGCAGGCACAAGCAAGACACGCACCGAGCCGCCACATGCATTGCGTGTGCATGGCATTGCTGTGTGGCATCAGGCCACACCGAAGGACCTGTCGGACCTTCCCGCTGAGCCCATCATCGCTCTGTCTGACGTCAGCACCATCGGCCGATTCAAATCGACAGCCCGCCACTTCACCAACGCCGTGCGGCCGCTCGTCCGCCGCATTCGGCTGCCGAAAGCCATCGAGCGGGCGGGGGTTAGTGGTGTGGTGCAGTTCGACGATCAGCTGAGCGACGGCGATGTGATGAAGGCCATGTGGGTGGTGGAGGAGGGGGGCGAGGGCGGCTGGGGGGAGGTGGCTGACACACTCAGATTCACTGAACCTTTCGGCTATTGCCAGCTGCCGGTCACTGTGGGTGCTGGAGAACTGTAGACACACGCCACCAAGACGACAAGCACGACACACAGAAGAGGCAATGGGCGAGCTGCTGGATGTGTGTGTGTGTGTGTGTGTGTATTTGGATGCAGGATTTCTTGGCGCTGCCCCGTTTCTGTGCGCAGTGGATGCTCGTCGGTCGCTATGTCGCCCTCCGTCGCCCCACTGGCCAGCAAGACGGTACTCTCCAGCTGTTCCGCAACAACAACGAAATCCGCGCCATCCGCAACGAGCCCGGCTTCACCATCACACCCAACCCGCCCCTCCCCCAGCCCAGCCGCCCCGTCCATCCCCTCTCGCAGCACCCCTTCACCCACCACGCCAAGCCACACGACCCGCCAGTCCGCAGCCGCATTGTGTGGCAGCATGGTGTGGGATGGGCGACAGCTGGTGTCAACGACAGGGAAGTCTACGCATCGGCGAGCTCCCTGTTGAAGGAGCTGCTCCTGTGTCATCGGGAGTTTGCTGTGGGCGGCTTCACCTACTCGCCAACGGTGGTGGTGGACCGGTGAGTGGATGGAAGACACGCAATGAGAGGGCGAATGGCTATGTGGTGCGTTAATAATGTTGTGTGTCAGGAGTGTGCGAGGTGGCCACCTCGAGCGCATCATGACCCGATCGCGACATACGGCCCTCGACGGATGCTCAGACGTGTTGACAAGCGAGGGGGCCAATGGGGCCTGTGGGCAGTCGCATGTGCTGACGACGTCGGCCGACCCGTTCATCACATTGATGTACTTCGTCATCCCCCCAGTCAACTACCAGGACGGTACGCCTACACATTGACAACACATTCATGCTGTCGTGTCGTGTGATCATCCGCTCCTCTCTTGTCTGCATGCAGTGCACGTCACCACCACTACCAGCGAGGCGCCAGCAGCAGGTGTCCCCCAGGATGCCCCCTTCGCCCATCGGTTCCCCCGAACGGCCGCCAAGGTGCGTCCCGTGCTCGGGCCGATCGCATCCATCGTGCTCGATGGCCAGCCGCGTTAGATCACGAAGGTGAGAGCCACACGATGGCATGATGATGCGCGTGTGTGTTTATGTTTGTCTGTGTTGATGGATTTGGCGCAGGCACATCGGCAGACTGCATGTGTGAAGAGGGGGCCTTCCTTGTATGTGGCGTGCTGGCAGTGTCGTGTGCGTATTTTGCTGACTGGAGGACATGCGGATTCAGCTGTGAATGGTTCGTGCTGCCTGTGCCTTCCATCTCTGTCACGGATGGGTTTCACTCGATCGCATGCACCTGTCTGTCTGTCTGTCTGTACACACAGCCGACAGGCCGCACGGATGAGTCCATCCCATTCGGCCGGCCGCACCACGTGCAGCCAACTTACACACAGCACCCCACTAAGAGCCCGCCAGCCAGTCAGCCGCCCAGTCCAGCGACTCATCCTTCGAGCCACACGACCATCCTGCATGACAGAGAGGTCATCCAGGGAGCGACATTTACTCACGGCTTACACACGAGTATCCCTCTCCCCCTTCCTCGCCCATTAATCGATCTACCGCCGGCCGTCAGTACAGCCATCCATGCACCACACTGAAGACACAAATTACTATCGACGCAAATTACTATCGACGCTGCCCACGACGAGATCAACAGAATGGGCAGCTTCAAGGACTCGAGGCCTTACATACCACGCACACGTACAAACAAGGACATATCTAGCCGCGAACACGTGCAGACATAGGGACTCTGCTCGTAGAGCTCCACCAATCGGTCCAGGAAGATACGCAGTCGATTTCTCGAGCAGATGCGGCCGCGATGGGCTGGATAAGCAGCGAGTCAGGACGGTTCGAAGGCCAGCTGTCCCTGTCCACATGTCAGAGCACAGGCGGGCTCCCGCGACTCACTGACACAACTGCTGGGCTGAGATGGCGGTGGCTGAGAGGGCGGCGTGCTGCGGTGGTCGTGCTGGAATGCTCGCTCGTGGTCTTTCGAACGATGGCAGTCAGATCGACATCAGCTAGAATGTCGTCTGCCCGTCATGAGTAGAGTAGGGGTTGTCTTAAGTCTTGCTCAGTTGTTACACCACCGCCACCGATAGCACGCCCCGAGGTACCACCACAGGCACTCCCACCAGGAGATGCCGATGGAGCTTGGCAAAATTCGCTTGCCGCGTCCCGCTCACAGCCACTGCCACCAGCCCTCCGTCGGCGGCTGGCTGCTGTGGTCCAGGCAGACGCCCACGATCGCGCACGGCGCACCAGCGAGGAATTTGACAGTGCCCTGACACCCCATACAAACACAACACAGAGCGAGAGAGGGGTGTGGTGGTGTGTCATATTAGTGTGTGTGACACGTCCACCCACGCTTACTGTACTGACCTGTTTGCTCGCTTCTTCTTATTGTATTCGTCGACCGCTGTCTTGACGATGTCGTCGTACTCTTCCCTGAACGCTTTGATGATCTTGTCAGCGAGGTCCTCTGTGAGTACAAGGCGACCTACACCCATTGATTCACTCGAGTAATCACCAACCCATGCACCCCCCGACTCTCTGGCTGTCTGCCGGTCTCTCTCTGGTCTCACCGCGTGAGTCGTCGTCGAGGATGCAACGAGTGACTTTGATCGGGTCAAGAAGCGACTCGCCCTGGGTCGGGAATCCGTCGAGGAAGGGGTCGTCTTGGGAGAGGTCTTCCGGCCAGTCAGGCATGGCGATGACCATGTAGCTGACGCCCAGCAGAGCCGCCAGCTTTTTGATGACGTCGAAGTAGGACGCTTCTTCGTCGAAGCGCAAAAGGATCACTCCCTTATGGCCAAACTTGTCCAGCTCCTCTTGGTCTCCGGGAGAGGCCTTCCGGTAGATGATGAAGTGCCTCGCCACAAGCATGGGCGATGGAGCGACGAAGAGGGTAGGTTTGCTGATAGCCTGCTGCTCGGGAGAGGGCTGATGAGAGATCTCAGCGGGAGGGATCTCCCGATTGCGATAGGGGCGGGCGATAGTGAATTTGATCGGGTCCTTGTCCGACTGGCCCTTGGTCGGGAATCCGCCGAGGAAGGGATCCTCGAGCGGGAGGTCCGCCGGCCAGTCAGGCATGTCGAGGAGCGCGTAGCTGACGCCCAGCAGATCCGCCAGCTGTCTGATGACGTCGATGTAGGACGCTTCGTCGTCGAACTCCAGAAAGATCACTCCCTTTTCGCCATGCTTGTCCAGGAGCCTCTCCTCGTGCCTGGACGAGGCCCTCCGGTAGATGATGAAGTATCTTGTCACAAGCATGAGCGATGGAGCGAGGAAAAGGGCAAGGTGAAGGTGATAGCCTGCTGCTGAGGAGAGGGTTGAGGGAGAGAGGGAGCTTTCTGGAGCTCGCACATTAGGCTCCGTGAAACCGTCCCGCCGATCGCTGTGCGCTCCCCCCGCTTTTTCCCATTACAGATGAGTGTGCAGGCGGCTGGCGTCGTCATTTTAGCCACAATGATTCGAAGGGTGTGCGAGTTTCGTCCATGCCCGCATTTGCCACCGCATTGCCTGGCGAACCCTGCGGGAGAAGACCATTGAGAAAATATCCAGGTTTGTTTGTCCAGCCGGCCACGCAGACAGCCGTAGGGTACATCTTTTACACACATCCACTCGCTGCACACATCAGCCCTCCCCCCCCCTCTCTCTCTCACAACATGCATAGCATGAACCTATCGCACCGCCCCCCTCCTAGCTGCCCCCATATTAGTGTCAGTCAATCCGGCTAGAAGTCGAATCTGCTACCGTCCTCCTTTTGCCAGTGCTGCCCGCCCGGCGTGGCCTGCAGGAAGTCACTCGAGGCCTGCAGCTCGCTGGTCGGGCCAGGAGAGATGCCCACAGACGGCGCCACAGACGGACAGCCCACACTCAAAGCTATGCCATCCCCACCCCGGCTCCCTCCCTCTACCCCTGCTCTCTCTCCCTCTCCCTCCTGACCACCGCCGGCTACGTCTCGCTGATTGCCTCCCTGCTGACCTCCACCGCCGAACTCTGGCGTGAATTCGTGGTGCGCCACCGCCTTGCCGGTGCTGGGCTCGGTGTGTCTGGGGGTGTGTGGGGCGCTGGCCTCGTCGTTGTGCTGTGTGGGGGTGATGGAATGCGGATGGGCCTCGGTGCTGCCCGAGAGGGAGGGGGTGAGGGTCGCCTGTGGCTGGGCCTCCTGCTGCTGCTCCTGCTGCTGTGGCTGTGGTTGGGTGCTGGTGGTCTCTGTGTCGGTGTGTGTGTGGTGGGTGAGGGTGGTGAGGGTGCTGCTGAGGGCGGACAGCAGGGGCATCAGAGTGCTGGTGTGGGTGCGATGCACTATGGCGCTCGTCAGGCTACTGTGGGCCGCCAGAAACTCACTGGACCATCCACCAACAGCACAACACGGACAGACAAGTGTGTAGATCTCCCTCTCCCCGCTCCCCCCTCTCCCCCCGCCCATCCACACGCGCACCGACCTTTCCTTGGACAGTATGTCTTCCTTCTCCTGCTTGATCTGCTCCTGCAGCATCTCCAGCTCAGTCCGCCCTGCCTTAGTCTTCAATGCCGTCGTCTCCACCATCCCCCTCTTCCGGCCAGCCACCTCCATGGCCCTCTCCAGCCGCTCAGTGGCGTCGGCCACCCGCCCCACGTGCGCCTCCTTCTCGTGGGCGATGTTGCCGGCGGCCTCGTCGCACTTGAGCGACCAGGAGGCCTGCTCCTGCTCCTCTTGCTCGCGCTGGGCCGTCAGCTCGTCCAGCCGGGTGCGGAGGGCAGACAGCTGGGCGGAGAGGGCCGATGTGGCTGAGAGGTTCTCCTGACACACACACAGCACAGAGGGAGAGAGGGAGAGAGGGATGGTGTGTAGGAGGGAGGGGGGAGGAGGGTTTGTGTGTGAGTGTGTGTGTGGATTACCTGGTATTTCTTGAGTAGTTGGATGTGTTTGTTCTGCTGCTGTTCGGCGCGCTGGAGGTGCGTGTCCTTGCGCCGCTGGTGCTGCTCGTGGCGGTGCTGCTCGTTGAGCTGCCGCTCCATCTCCTCACACTGAACGCGGGACTCCTCTACAGACTGACAGACAGACAGGCACAGACACAACCATCAACACACACATGCAACACACACAGGAATCGATGGATGCCTTCAGTGGTAGTGCTGTCTGTCATGGGTAGGTACCTCTTTGAGCCGCTCAGGTGACTGCACTATCTGCTGCTTGAGGTGCTGCACGTTCTTGTCGGTCATCCGACGCGTGAAATCCAAATTGGTCTTCTCATCCTACATGGCACACACAACAACAACACACACATATCATCATATACACACGCAGCCATCAAATTTGATGGGCGCACGCCCTCACCGACCGTGAGTTTCTCGGCCTTGGTCCTCATATCCTTCCACTCCATCTGCAGCTCGTGTGCCTGGTGGCGTAGGGGCGACAGGGTGCCCTCTATGTCGGCCTCCCGCTGCTCGAGGAGCCGCACCGCCATCTCCTTGGCGGACACCTGGCCCTTGAGCCGCTCCAGTTCCCCCGCCTGCTGCCGGTTCGCCGCCTCCTGCGAGTCCATCTCCGCCTGCAGGCCGTCAATGCGCTGCTGGATGGGGTCGAAGAAGTCGTCGCGGAAGGCGCGGAAACGCAGGAAGTTGCCGATACCGCTCAACAGGTAACAAAGCCTGCCATAGAGATGCAAAGAATCCGTGTGCGTTGGTGGATGGATGGACGGATGGATCCATCCTTGCTCCTCACCGCTGGCTATCGCATTTGTAGAGGTCTACGAGAGAGAAGTCGTTGACGAGCACGACGGCCATGAGTTTGCGCAGGCTGACGAACAGGTTGGTGACCACGACGCTCTCGTCGTGGAGGGGCGGCCACTTGAAGGCGTCAGACCCGCACACCGCCGGGATGGCCAAGATCTCCTCGCTCGTGTCGGTCGCCGCGCACAGGAGGGCCGCCAGGGCACGCACGATGAACTTCTCGTCCGGCTTGTGCAGCTTGTCCATGTCGGCGTCGTCCACCCCGTTCTCATGCAGCAGCGCCAGCAGCGCATCGTTCGAGAAGTCCGCGAACGTGTTGAAGGTGCTCGCCGGACGGAGCGAGAGGCTCGCCGAGGACCTCATCGCTGAAACAACAACTTACGCCGCCATCCCCCCACTCGTCTCGACTTGTAAATACGGCGCATCGGAGACTCTTTTCCTCATTTTCTCTCTTCACTCATTCAGAATGCACCACATCGCCTTCATCGTAGCATGCTCTTCCCTCCTCCAAGTTTTCCTTCTGGGGGCCGCATCTGTGGTGCCGTCCGCCCTGGACACGAGGTCGGCCCTCGGTGAGACCTGCACCGACACATCCGACTGCCCCGGCAATCTCAGGACCGCCCCGGCAATCTCAGGACCGCTGCTGCTGCAAGGACCCCCTCACGGCCGAGGCTACCTGCCAGACCAAGTACGCGAGGGGAAATTGGGCATTCCGCAGCACTCGTGTATTGGCTGCATCCAGATCTCATTGGATCAGGGCCGGCGGAGCGCGGGCATGTGGCGATGGCGGGACCTGCCTGCCCTTCAAGATGCCCAAACTCTCGCCCATTTACGCCGGCGGTAAGACGCCCGACTCGCCCTTGTGCCCGGTCTCATATTGTGGTTGTTTCTGTGGGCATTTGGCTGCGTGTGCATTGCAGGTCTGCAGGCTGGCAAGGTGAAGACGCTGCAGGGGCTTGTAAGTGCCGGTGTGTGCTACCTCAACCATGTCCCGGGCCACATCAACATGGACAACTGCCAGATCAACCTGGTGGTCACATATGACCGCTTCTCAAAGGTCAGCTGGGGGGACTCCGGCGGGGACGCGGCAGGAATCTCTAAAGACCCCTTTGCCGCGTTTGCTCTTGCTGCTCTTCTGCTCTTGCAGATGTGTTTGATGCCCATCAATATCGGCGATTTCCACTACAACGGCGCTTCCGTCGACCCCGCCTTTTGCTTCGCCGACAGCCAAATCGCCTTGTAAGCGAAACAGCACACGCACGGAAAACTGCTGGGACCGTTCCTTCCTCTTTTTTGCAGCGACTTCGCTGGCCGCCGCAAGACCGTCTACGCCAAGGACGAGTGCAGGACCCGCTACACGGTGCAGGAGTGCGCCAAGCTCCACAGCGACGAAGCATTCATGCGGCCCAGCCACTTCAACGAGCGGAAGGCCGCCACCTCATTCCCCATCTACGTCAAGCCTTACTGAGCAGCACCGGCCGGCGATCCGTTGTGGCGCGGTTGGTCAAACAAAGCGTGACACGACGTGATGGATAGCAGACAGGGGAGAAGGGGAGAGAGAAGTGCCAGAGACAACACCGCTTTGTTTTCTTTTCCTTTTGCACATCGTTGGCCGACGGTTTGCTTTTTTGTGGAGGCTTTGACGGCGCGTGGTGATTTTCTTTTGACCGTGTGGTCTCGGGCTGGGCCCCGCTGGACAGAAATTCTTTCCATCGAGCAAAGTGTATCTGAAGCGATTCTTGCAGTCAGTCACATGACGACACAGTACATGTCTCCGCACCCCCACACAGCGTATCTGCGATGAAATCCCCTCACCGGCCCCTCCCACACACCCCTACACAGGCGTCTATCTGTCAGTGCTCGTGAAGTCCTCATTCACGAGCAGCGACGGAGGTGCCTTGGTGTCTCCTTTGTCTCTCTGCTGGCCACTCGTCGCCTCAGCCAGCCGCCGCACCGCGCGCACCGAGGCCTCCCTGAACAGACAGACCAAGGAAGGAAGGCACACACGCATACAATACACACGCGCCTCTGGGTGTCTGTCTATGTGTGTGTGAGGCGCGTTGCCGCTAGTCAGCTCAGCTGACTGACCTGCAGGCTGTAGCGATGAGGGATGGCGAGAAGCAAGCTGAGGGCCCGATTGCAGCCAGCACCGACGTCAGCACAGCGGGAGAGCACACCTGCGATGAGTCGAGGAGACACTGACCTGCAAGGCGGCTTGTGGTGTCCGCGGTGTGGTGACCTCCATTCTGTGTTGCAGGTAGAGAGAGAGCAGCGCCTTCTGGTCGTCGGCCGTCCATTCCCACGGCGCCTTGGTGCTGTAGGCGCAGCCGAGCCGCCACGGCTGCAGGCACCAAACCAGACAGATACCAACACAGAAAGAGGTATCTGTGGGATGTGTTGGTGGGAGGTGGCCGGTCACCCTCATGAGCCTCTGGTCGGTCTCTGACGCGCATCGCACGATAGCCACCACCATGACGGCGCCCTCAGTGCGTCGCAACGGCGGACCGCCAAACCGCCGGATCCTGCACACACGCACATTCCCGCGCATTCACACATGTGTATCTCACTACTCAAACCGGTCGATTTCGTCCAGTTGGTCGATGAGCACGGCCTTCATCCTGCCCATGGTGTCCTGGCTGGACGTGCCGTCGACATGGCCGTCACAGGCGTCGGCAGCTGGAGGTTGCGCGGCCCATGAGTCCAGCCCCTCGAGCAGCAGGATGCAGGGGGCCGACTGGCGCAGCGAGCGGAACACACTGGTGAGGACCTTCTCGGAGTGGCCGACGGTGGGGCGGATGAGGTCGGCACACACCGTCACGATGACAGACGCCCGGCACTCGTGCGCCAGACACTCGGCGAGGTAGCTCTTCCCTTACACACACAGACACAGATACAGATGACGGCGGCCGCATGAATGACGAGCGCCCTCACTCACTCAGCACCTGATCCAGCGGTGCCCTCGAGGATGATGCCCACCGGCGGACAGTCCCCCTCTCCGCCATCGCCCTCCCCCGATGTCAAGCGACAGAATGGACCCACTACATTCTCACGCAGCCGAGCGATGAGCTCATCCTCCCCGCCCACGGCAGGAAAGCCCCGCAGCGGCAGGCCCGTAGCTGTCCACAGACACACACAGACACACAGACATAGAGGGAGAGAGCAGAGGCCGGCGTGTGTGTTTGTGTGGGGGTGGGTGAATGGCTGCCTGCCTGCCTGGGTCAAGTGGGTAGATGCGTGAAGGTGACACAGAGGGCATCGAGGGGCGGAAGGGCAGGTAGGTGAACAGAGAGCCTCTGACCCGACAGACAGAAACGGCAATGAACGCCCACACAGTTCCGGCCGGGCATGTGCCCATTTACACGACAAACATCCCTACTTCATCGCTGCCGGCGTGACGTGCTCCAGCGCCTTTTCGAAATCCGGCCGCTGCACGTCCATGGGACTCTTGTCGGACTGGTTTCGGTGGATGGCCCCTAACGCCGCCTGGCCGACCAGACCACATCACACACAGACACATCACATGCATGGCATGATGGCTGCCCTGCTGGGCACATGGTCTACCTGTCTAGTGAGCGTGGCGATGTCAGATGGGAGCAGGCCTGCCGTCCAGCTGGCGACTTCGCTGCACAAAAAGGGAGATCTACCTCTCTCTCTCTCCCTCTGTGTGTGTGTGTGTGTGTTTGGGGCTGACGACTGACTTGAGCACCGCCGACTTGTCATCGACAGGGAGAGCCCGGCAGCACACTTCAAGCACCTGCAGACAAAGAAGCATGGCATGGTAGGTACACCTCTTTCTTGTCTCTATCCATCCCCCCTCCCTCCCTGTGCGTATCTGACCGACCTCCCGTCTGGCCTGCTGGTCCATCGGCACACGCAGCCGCACACAGCGGTCCACCATCCCAACGCCCATGAGCTCACGAACCAGCGGCCCTTCACTCTCCTCTCCCACCACCCACTCGCCAGTCTCATCCCTCGACGTCGGCACAGCGGAGCAGACGGGCACCAATGCCACCACAGACAGACGCTCGAGTGACCATGTGCGCATGAAGTGGCACAGCAGCTCGATCAGGCACTTCCTCCTCCTCTCTGTGGCCAGCTGCTGCCGCCGTCTGAGTGTGTGTGTTGGGGGCCTGAGGACGTCCGCCGACTCTATGAGCAGGAAAATTGGCTGCTGCTGGTGCTGCTGCTGCTGCTGCTGCTGCCGAGCCAGAGAGGTGACCGCCATCAGAGTGCCTTCGAGAGAGAGCTGGGGCAGCCTCGGCCCTTCCAACACCAACACGCCCGCCCTATCAACACACACACACCCTATCACTGCGCCGCATTCACGGACCCTTTCTACCAGCCAACCTGTTCGCTCCCTTGCTTTCGACAGGCGTGTTCTCGGCGATGAGCCGCTCAATTGTGAGTGAGAGGTCTGCCTTCTCGTCAGCCGCCGCCCACGGGTGGGCGGCCGTCATGTAGTCGACCATGTTGACGGTGACGAGAGGTGGCCGGCCGGCCGGGTGAGAGGGGAATGACAGGGCAAGACGCTCGCAGAAGAAGGACTTGCCCGAGCCTGCACACACACACACGGGCGCAACCACCACAGCACGCGAGAGGGATTCCTCACTGAGGGAATGATGAATGAATGAATGAAACGCGCGGATGCTCACCTCACCTGATGGGCCGACTACGGCAATGCCGACGCTGTGAGGCGTCAAGGGCAGCCCTTCCTGTGCGGCTGGTGCTGATCTCTCCAGCACCCACTGCATGACCTCCTCTGCCAGATCTCTGCACCCGCCAACCACACTCGTGAAGCGCTCCAGCCACGTACCCTCCATTCCTTAGGCTCTGCGCCTTTTTTATCAAAGGAGGCGTTTGCGAGCTTGGCTTGCAGATCTCCCTCCGGGCAGGAACACGACAGAGGGCGGCGCGGATGTGACGGAGCTGCCGCCGCAATTTTCCCCCTCTCTGTCTGTCACTCCACTTTGCTGATGCCCGTGCGTTACCTGCGGCCCGGCTGTGCAGCCTCTGTTTGGGTGCTCCTGGTGCTGCTGTCGTCCGCCTGTGTGCGCATCTGTGGTCAGTTCACGTCGGCATGCATCTTCGGCAACGATTTCGAAGACGCGCCGGGTGTGAACAAGGTGGGCCCGCCCCGCCCTGCTCACGCTGATCTGCCTGTACTAACGCTTGTTTGGTGTGTAATGCCTGTGTTGGTGCTGCGTCTGTGCGCTCTTGTTGTCAGGACTGCAATCCTCCAGGTCAGTCAGCTTGAGGGTAGAGGCAGCCCAACGGCCGGCCGGGCGGCCCTGTACCGTCACTCCACTCTTGGCTGCAGGCACCCGCAGGACGGAGGAGGGGGGGCAGCCCGGTAGTGTGCGTGCCGAACATCCTGCTGTTCTTCGACGAGGACAGCGATGACGACGACCCGCTGGAGGGCAAGGCATTCGGCAAATGCGTCCCAAGTCAGGCACCCACACCCACACCCACACCCACACACGCATTCCCTTCTCTCTCGGCTCATTCCCCCAATCGTCCGGTTGCTCAGCTTCTGCGCTCACTGAGGCCTTCAAGAAAGCGCAGACGGCCGGTCTGGCTGCATTTGCCCCCGACCCCGGCGAGCCGGCGGTGGTGGATGCACAAGGGATCGGCCAGAGCATCCTCTGCGGACAGCTCAATGAGGACGGCACGGGCACCGCGGCGGTAAGGGAGTGGGCAGAGATGAGGGAGGGCAACAGGCCGGGCCGGCCTATGGATGGATGGATGTACTCTCTCTTGTGGATGGATGTGTGGTCAGCTTGGCGGCTGTCCTGAGGAGGCGCCAATATGTGCAAAGACGAGCGACCGACGGTTTTGCTACTGCATCACCGCTGACATTGGTGAGAGGAGAGGTGCTTGGGGGTGAACAACGAACGTGACGGACCTATTGCACGCGCCCGTGTGTGTGGGTGTGTGTGTGGGTGTGGGTGTCCTGTAGGCCTCTTCGGCCCGCTATCGCCCGAAGGTCCGCTCACCGCGTAACCACAGACAGCGTTGTATAGCACCTGTTGTGACTGTTGCTGCTGCCTCTGTCAGCTGCGGGCACTGCATCGTTGTCTGTCGGGGTCAATGAGGGCCAGCCATCATCCCTGTGCACCCAGCAGGACCTCGACGGCTGCAGCAACATCGTCAACGGCCTCGGCGTCAACCTCGACTGCTTCGACGACCTTCCCGTCGTCGACCGACGGAATGACAGCGGGCCAAGCGCCGCGGAGTTCGTCATCGGCGACCCGAACGAGGACCCCGAGCCTTTCCAGCAGCTGGTAGCGGGCACATACTTGCTCGAGGACATCCCGGCGGGGTCTTGGCTGGACACAGTGGAGAATGTCGGCGACTCGGACAGCTGTTTCCGCATCCAGGGCGGCGACGAGGAGGACGAGGACTTCTTCTTTTTGGACCTGTCGTGGAACACTACCGAGGGCGTCACTGCGCTGATCGACTTCAACTGCCCACCAGTGGGGCCCTGCTCCATCAGAATTGGCAGCTTATTCCTGCCTGCACTGGTCGGCCCTCGTCTAATTACAATTGCGTGCAGTCAGTGAATGCATCGACAAATGCGCATGTCTGTCTGTCTGTCTGCCTTGCCTTCCTCAGTTTTCGATCCAGGGAGTGCTGGAAGTGGTCAACTCCACGTTCCCGGGGTGTGTGGGCATCCCCGTGCAGATCGAGCTGACGGGTGCTGGGCTGGTCGACGAGGCCGCCTCATTCAGCCTCAACCAAGCAAACTTCAACGAGTCCCAGCGCGTCATCGCCATACAGGAACCGGGAGGGACCGACGTCATCGTCACGCGCGGCGCGGGCCTCAGCAGCCCCGGGGCTCAGGTCGGGCTGGGGCTGCTGACGTTTCCCGAGGTGGCGCCTGAGGGCTGCCCGTCGCTGTTCAAGCAGCGGATCTTCACCATCACGACGGGCGAGATCGAGGCCGGGGGGCTGCTGGCCGTCACTGCCAGCGGCACCTCTTCCTTCGAAGACGAGCTTGGCGAGGTCATGACCGAGGTAGGCATCCAGCTAGGCAAACGGGACACTGCATCCATGTGTGTCATCCGTGTGTGTTGGTCTGGCTCCAGGCCATTTTCGAGCTCAACGTGACAGGCACATCCAACGCGACTGACCTGAGCGACGTGTGCAACACGGCTCAGCTCGTCCCTGTCGAAGGAGAGAGTGGCCGACGAAGGCGCGCCGTGGCCATGGCCACGGCCATTCGCGAGCAGAGCATCTTCTCGACCGAGCTTGAAGACCTCGGGGGCATCGTCATCCCTGCTGTGTTCTTCCCCCTCTTCAAGCCCGGCCAGTCGCCCGACTTTCCCTTCCTCAACGCCGTCTCCATCAACCGCTTCACCACCATCAGGAGATTCAACGCAACAGCTTTGGCCAACGAGTTCCTCATCGACGACCCAACTGACAGCGTATCCCTGTTCGACACGCTGCCGTCGGCCGACAACGTGTCGGTGCTGTGTGTCGAGGAAACTGAGGTGCTGCCTATCACCTTTGGCCTCTTGAACCTGGAGTCAGAGGCGTCGCTGGACCTCATCCTGAAAGGGCAGCTCGGAGACCTCCAGGACACTGATGACGACGGCGGTTAGTGAAATAGCCAGCATGAGCATGACAACCAGTGCTTTGGCGCCGAATGTGCGTGTGCATCTCTGCCTGTCTGTCTGTCGGTCCATCAGTGGTGATTGAGTGTCGCGGCCCGCTGCTGCAGACCCTCCCCGCAGGATTCAACGAGACCTTCATCATCGAGAACGGCCTCAACATCGGCTCCATCGCAGCGGTATCGGTCGACCCCAGCCTGGGCACCATCGGCAAAGACATCTTTGTCGACGCGCTTATCGACGAGACCGACGGCTCCGTGACGTCCCTGAGGGAGGAGGGGACGGTGTTCAGCCTGTCGCAGCACAACTGTGCCGGGGTCAACATGACGGTTTCCAAGCGGATCGAGGCGCTCATCCAGGTGGTGGACGAGGAGGGGGAGGAGATCTTCTCGGAAACCACTTGCCAACTGGGCTTCGGTGAGGGACGTTGAACGCGAAGGATGCCAGCAGCTGTGTGTGTCATGCCTGCCTCTGTTCTGTTTGCCCACGTATGTGCCATTGCTGTCGCCCTCAATCAACAGATTGCTGTAAGCAAGAGAGATCAAGCGTCGTGCAGCCATGACCCCACTCTCCCTCTATCTCTCTCTCTCTTTCTCTGCGTGTGTCTGCTTACAGTCCAGCCGTGCCGAGAGACCTCCCTGCCGCTCGAGAACCCGGCCAGCGTGCAGCCGGGCATCTACCAGCTGGAGCCCGCCCCCTACCTCTTCGCCGAGCAGATCTTCTCTGTCGACCCTTTCAGCGACGACCCGCGCATCGACGGATGTGTGTCCTTCTACGACCTCGCAGACTTCGGCAACTGCACGCCGCCGGAGTGCCAGCTGGACAACGAGCGGGTCTTCCAGTGCAGGCCGGATGAGGAGCGCGGGATTGGGCTGCAGCTGGAGGTCATCCTCGACCTGGAAGAGCTGGATGGCGACACCACACCGGGCCTGCTCTCGCCGCGGGCACTGGCCACCGTGCAGCTGAGGGGGACGGTGGAACAGGTGTGGCCGCCCGAGTGCGAGGGCACGCTCGTCTTTGTGGAAGGTGCGTGAGCTCCCTGCCCGTCACTCACAAGTAGGAAGGGTCATCTATGTTGTTTCCTTGCCGGCAACAGGGTCCCTTCTGGTGGGTGCCGGCCAGACGAGGCAGGACATCACACCGCGGGGGTTGTTCGAGCTGATTCGGCAAGACCTGCTGGACGCCCTGCCCGACATAGCGGACGCGCCTCTGGCGACCACTCTTCAGGACTTTTTCATCCTCGACGAGTCTTTGGCCTATCCCGAGCTGCTCCTCACGTCCAGCCTGCAGCTGACCGAGCTTGAGTACACCCTTCGCTCCCTCGCAGAAGGCAGAACGGTCGAGGAGTGCTTCAACGCCGAGGGGCTGACCACGGTCAGCGCGCAGGACGTCGTGCCTTTCCGTGTGTCTGAGGGGGTGTCTGATGCGGCGCTGTCGCCGCTTCCGGTCAACACGACGAGTGAAGGAGACATCATCGGGATCCCGCCCATTGTGGACGTCAGCACGGGCAGCATCAACTTCGCGGTGAGTGACCACAGACAGATTTGGAGACCACAGAGACGGCGCAACTTCTGCTCCTGCATCTCTTTGGGGGGGGCAGTCCCAGGGGACCTTGCCGCCCAACATTGACGTGGATGACGACGTGCTGACGCTGGGAGTCAGGTGAGGGAGCAATGCAATCGCTGCAATGGCTCCGTCCGTCCGTCCATTCGACACTTGCGAAACAAAGTGTGTGTCCATCCATTCTTCAGGGCGCCACTGAGTGCGAGCATCGAGCCCCCCCAGACGCAGAACCAGTCCACCGTCTTCGGGCGGCTCACCGCCCTCTGCAACCTACCAGAGGAGGGTAGGCCAGGCCACTGCAGTGCACCCTCTGTGTGTCCCATCCGTCCACTGACTGCACTGACTGCAGTGGCGATTCAGTGCAAGCCCTCGCTACCCATCCCCCTCATCGCCGGTGCGGACGCCATCGTCCCGAACGGCACCGACTTCGCCACCGTCCTGACGGGCGACACATCGGGCTCGACGGTCGGGCCTCTGAGCGTGGCTGAGAACTTCACCCTCTCGTGCTCTGTCAGCGAGGCGAGGGCGCTGCTGCTGGTGGACGACGGTCCCGAGCTGGTGCTGATTCGGGTGGTGCCGCTGACAGTGGTGGTTGTCGACGAGGAAGACGGCACTGTCAGCACCACGAGAACGGATTGTCCCATCACCATCGGTGGGCGAGTGGAGGGATGGATTGGTCTCGACGTCATGTTGGTGTCTGTGTGCCTCTCTGGGTGTGGTGTGTGTGGTGGCTTGTTGGTGCTGCCATGTGGTGGTTGGATCCTCGTGTCGCCATCCAGACTGCCGTAAGCCACACACACATATAGCAAAGAATCACCCTCAGTGCAGTGCACCCTTCGAGTATTTCGTGCCTGTCTTTGTGCGTCAGAGCTGCCAACTGCAGCATCGTCGGCCGCACAAGAGCAGACTGGCGATGGACGTGCTGCCGGCCGGCCTTCGCGGACAGCAGGTGGTCGTGGTGCTGCTGGTGATGCCCATCTGCAGATGGTGACGGACATCCGGCGGCGGCGGAAGCTGAAGGAGACGAGGGGGCGATTGATGACAGACAGGTGATAGGCCTTGATCGATTTGTGCGGTGTGTGGGCGTGGGTGTGGGTTCGGGCGGCTCTTGGTGTCTGACTGAGCTTGGTCGCTCTCAGATAGGCTCTCAGCTTTGTGACCTGTCCTCTGTAGCGCATTTATGTAGAGATCTAGGTGTGTAGCAGCGCCATGCTTGAGCACTGCCTCTCTAGGGAATAGTCATCTTCGTCTAGGTCTGTCTGTCTGTCCATCTCTGTGGTATATATACTTGAGGGCTTCCAGCTGTGTGAGTGAGTGCGTGTGTGTGTCTGCAAGTACGGATGACCGAACAGTGAATTGTGTGGCCGGCCGGTGTGTACGCGACGCGACTCTCCTTGTTTGTTGAAAGGAAAGCATTCAATTCGACTGGAGTAGTGTAGTAGGTGTCTGTCTCTGTGGGTCATCTGGGGTCATCTCTACATCGCACGCACAAGCATTGCAACCATCCCATCAACACGTCAGTCAACATTTGGTCGACCACTCCACTCACAATGCAGGCAGGCAAGCGATCCAGACAGACAGACAGACAGAAACCCAGGCAGACAGACCGGCGGGAGGGATCAGCTTAGCTATCGTAGTCAGTCAGTACACACAAACAAACAAAAAGAACGAGACGACAGCCAGGCAGGGAGGCACGGACGGACTGATAATCAGACAGGCAGGCAGGCAGGCAGACAGGCAAGTGCACACCAGCCAGTCCAAAAACATACATACGCCTATGTGTGAGGGTGTGTGGGATAAAACGAGTACATGTACAGTCGGTCGATACTCTGTGTCTGTGTATGTGTGTGTGTATGTGGGTGGGTCTCTCCACGTCCATCCATCCATCCATCCATCCATCCAGTCAGGCATATGTCATATCACAGTGCACTCATGTGTGCTTACGGTATGGTGTGTTGATGTCTGTGTGGAGCGATGTAAGCTTCTTAAAAGCGGTCAGCCAGTCAGTCACGCGAGCAGGCAGGCAGGCAGGCAGACAGACAGGCAGACAAACAGGCCGGCATGCGAAACGAACGGAGGGCTGGCAAGGCACAACATGGCACGGCACGGAACGGCACGCACTTGAGGTACACAAAGTCACCCTCTCCAGTCAGTCAGGTCGGCCGTGCGTGCCACCCACCATACCATCCATCCATCCATCCAGCCGCTCGCTACAATTCCCTTCCTCCTCTCTCTGGGTTACTTAGTTAGTTCGCAGTGAGTTGGTTAGTTATTGGGATACGATACACACTGACTGAGTGGGTCAGGTCACTCCATGCCCTCTGGCTGCCCCTCCTCGCCCAGGACGTCCTTGAACACCCCCGCTATCTCCTCCGCACCCTCCACCTGCCCCTCCCCGCCCCCAGCGCCGCCCTCCTGCCCCTCAACGGCACCACCCGCCTCACCTGCACCTGCAGCAGCAGCAGCACCGGCCACCTCGATCTCCACCTCCTCGGCCTCGACGTGCCCCTTCCTTCCCGGCTTGCCCTTCTTCTTGGGTCGCGGCAGCCCCTCCTCGCCCTGTGTGTCGTCCTTCTGGTCGTCCTTGCGCTTGCGCACCGTTTTGCGGCGGGGCTGCTGCTGGGCGTGGGTGGAGACGGCGGGGGGCACCACGGGGAGCTCCTGCTGCGGCATGTGCATCTGGGGCAGCCCCTGCATCGCCTGCATCTCCGGCAAGCCCTCCACGTTCTGCACTATCACATGCTGCTCCTGCCCGGGCACCTGCTGCATCTGCTGGACCATATGGACGTGGGCGTCCGGGGGCAGCACCAGGCCCTCGGGGTGGTGCGCCAGCGGAATGCCCTTCTGGAGGGGCTCCTGCAGCGCCACACCCTCGGCTAGCGGCACCCCCTGCGGCACCTCCACCGGAATGCCGCCCTCCATCGGGACCTCCTGCAGGGCCTCGTGCAGGGCAGCATGCTCGTGGTGCGACGCGTCCAAACCCTCGGCGCCCTCGGGGGGCACGCCCAGGGCCGGCGCGGCGTACTGCAGGTAGGCGGCGCTGAGCTGATCGGCAGACTCGGGAACGGCTCCCTTCTTGCCCTTACCTGAGTGAACACGAAACAGGGCTAGGTGAGAGAGGGGGTGGGGTGTCTGTGGTGGATGGATGGGGAGACGGGGAGTGGGAGTGATGCTTACGTTGAGTCTTGCGTTTGGGTTTGGCGCCGGGGAGGGAGGCCCCGAGCTGCTGGGCTGAGGCGTCGCCGCCCTCGGCCTTCGACAACTTGTTCCTGCTTACACCCACCAGCCGCACACACACATACACACACAAATGTCATGCAGGTGTTGGTGGCGAGGGGAGGCGTGTTCTCTCCAGCGCGCACCACACACGCTTGAGCTCCGATACGTTTCGATTGTCCCTCAACGTCTGAGGAAAGGAAGGATGGATACGTCAGCCTCCCAGTCTGTGTGTGTGAGAAGGGGGGGAACTGACTGACCTCGATGTGAGCCGGCAGGGTGTAGCTACTCTCCGTCAACGCGTTATACATGCCGTCAGCGGCCTCGCCTAGGAAGACACAACACACAACACAGAGAGAGAGAGATGTCGGCATGGCTGTCTGTGTGTGTCATGTCGTTGGCTGGGTGGCTTTCTGGCTGGCTTACCAACTGAGTCGTGGGCCATGACCATGAGTCTGGCCAGCGCCCGCTTAATCTCCCCCTTATCGAACAGGTGCACGTGCTTGGCAATGTCATCGCCACGGCAACGCTCTATCTTGACCTGGATCTTCATGTCCTGCATAACACAACACAACACAACACACGGCACACCACACCACATCACACACGTCAAGCTGGGAGAGGGCGGGAGGGCGGGAGGGTGTGTGGGAGTGGGTACCTACCCGTCCGGACGTGGATGTGAGGCATGGTATCTGCGCCTTCCAGATGGGTGGGCGACGGCTCTCCACCGACGGCACCTCACGCGACACGAACTCCATCCACTCGGCAGCGTACTCGTCCTGACATCATGTCACCACACACCCGTCTGTGCAGGCGTCTGTCTGTGTCTCGCTGTCTCGTCAGTCAGACACCTACCTTTCGGAATTTGCCGCAGATTTTGGAGAGGTATTCCTTCAGAGCGTCCCTTGGTATGCGGCCCTCCCCGGCCAGCTCCTCGTCGGGCTCGGTCAGCGGGAAAACCACGTGGTTGAAGACGTAGTCACAACGCATCTGACACACGTGCGTGCAGCCACAACAAACAGCCAACACAGAGGGAGCGAGCATGACCTCCAGCTCGCCTCCGAGCTTGCTTTGTGCGTGGCTGACCTCGTAGGTGGCGCCTTGGGCTTTGAACTGCCTGTCGGTGTCCTTGCTATAGACCACCTGCTCGCCCCCCTCACCAGCTGCCGCCGCTGCGGCTGCGGCCATCGCCATGGCCTGTTCGGGGTTCGCGGCTGAGATACAGCGCGCAGAGAGCGCGCACAGGGGTCGACACAGACATTTTGTGAGACGTGTGGACGCGTGTCACTATGAATGTGACGTACCTGCCCAGGCCTGCTGTTCCATCGCCTGCTGCTGCTCCATGGCCTGTTGCTGCTCCATGGCCGCTTGCTGCTGCTCCATCGTCCCCTCAATGGCCTGGGTATAGCCCTCCACGTGTCCCTCCTCCATTACGATACAACGAGCTGTCAGAGGAGGCCTCACACGAGCCTCGCACGAGCCTTCTACTCACGTCCAAAGGTCCGACTTCAGTTTTAGAAGGCCCTAAATCAAACCCTTTAGGGTTTAGTCTGCGAGCTTCAAAGGAGGAGAAAGGAAAAAGGAGAGGAAAGTGAACGCGCATAACCATCTGCAGCTGCTGAGGATCTCTGTCTGGGGTGATTGTTTCTTGGAGGTTGATCTTTGCAAGGCCGCTGGCATGCAAGCCTACCAAGACTCCAAGGACCAGGCCTTGCCACAACTGGCGGCAACACACAAATGAACAGAGCAGGTAAGCAGGGACAACACACGCGCACACGAAGCAACAATGATGTCGGCGTCTAGTGGGCGGTATCTCTTCTCTGCAGCTGCAGTCCTGTGTTGGTGTGATCCACACGCACATCGGGCGCAACAACGATGAGCTGGCTGCTGCCCAGGCGACGGCACCGTAGCTATTCTTACCGACGAGTGGCGGTTGGCGACCCCTCGTCCATCAGCCAGTCTTTGCTATCGGTCGTCACGACTGATGACACCGCTGACCATCAAGGGCTTCCTGTTGACGTCTTCGCCCGTGTGTTCGCTTCCTTTCTCACTGTCGACGATGCTTTGAGGGCCCGGGCGGTCGGCAAGGCGTACGGCGCTGAGCTGATAGACGAGGCGTTCCTTCTGCGTCGCATCACCAGCTGCCAGCAGCAGCTCCCCGGCCTCATCGATGTGGAGAGGGACCGCGGCGTCGACCCCTCGGCCCCTCCCCTCCCACCATCCCTCTCGCGATTTGGGTATCTCGCTCGGTGTGCCTACGTCATCGAGCGGGCGGCCGAGTGGCGCTATATGGCCACATTTGTCAGGGTGGCGAGTGCCTGCGGTGTGGCTGGCCAGCTGCCTGTGGTGCTGGCAGCTGAGAGGGTGGAGGCTCATATTCCCGACAAGGAAACTTTCCATCGGCTGCCCGCTGCCATGGCCGTCTACAAGACACTTGGAGATCTGTTTGGCTGTGAAAGCATCAGCCCACCCCTGCAGCTGACCGAGGGCGACCAGGAGGAGACAGACTTGTGGGTCCTGCCGAGCCTGCTGCTGCTGCGGCTCCTGATTGGAGCCGTCCACGTCATCACTGCGCTGGTGTGCTTGTGCGGTGCCGTGTGCATCCCGTTAGAATTCTATTTTCTCCTCGTCGCCCAAACCCAGGATCATAGGGTGTGGCGTGTACTTGGCTGGCTTCTGCTCTGCGTGTTGACTTGTGGCCTTTACCTCCAGGCGGCCTGCAGCTGCGGATGGGCTCTCGCCTGGTGGTTGCATCGACGGACGAGGCTGGTGCAATGGTATCAAATCGGCGTGCGGCGGCTCCGTGTCATCGATGGGGACGAGTTGTGGCGCCTGCGGCCTTTTATTCGGCCGATATATCGCCCCACGGACCCGCCCATCAGCTGCAGCGTGCCATTATGCCGAGTCTATCCCTCATTCAGTGCGTTTGCCCTCGACACGCTGCTGCAGCTCGACGAGGTTTCTTCCCGTATGAGCGTCGTCTTTGACGTGTTTGTGGGGACGCCTGTCCGCTACCGGACTCTGACGGCTTCCTGGATCGACGAACCTGACATATCCGTCATCGACTGGCAGGACGACATGATGGATGTACGAAGCCGCATTGTGATCTTGCTGCTCGGTGGTGGGTCTGTAGTGGCCGCCGTAACTCTCGACGTCGGCTTGATCATAGTCAGGACGACCGAGGTGGAGATGGGCGGCGAGATGACTGTCGATGAGCGGTTTCCTGTCACCGTGGCTGCCGTGCGGCAGCTCCTGAGGCGATATGGTCTCGAAGATAAGACTTTTGGCCCGTCCTCTTGACTGCCTCATTTTTTCTCCGGAGAGGCTGTCAATGCATTGGTGGTGGTTTCCGTGCGGTTTGGGCTATGTAATGGAACTGATGGGTTAGTTCATGTGACTGATCGGACGGTCATGCACTGAATGCGACTCTTATCCGACGAGAGTTTTCCCTTCAAAGTTTCTTTGCGTATCCGTCCACACGTTCAGACATCCTCACACAACATGGCGTGTCTCAGAGGGCGTCACGTTGGCAGCGGGAAGAAGAACGACACACTCTGACGAATATAAAATGTAGGCAGCCATTTATTTCATATCGCCACATCGGCAGCGACATCCAATATCTTATTCTCGCCTATCTGCGCGGCGGAATGCGGTAGGATCGAGAATGCCCCCCTGCTATCGCATACGCCTGCACTCATTAATGGCCACACACACACACAGACGTACCAACGTGTGATTGTGTGTGGTATGTGTGTTGTCTGTGTGTGTGTAGGTCACTCACTCACTCACCCACGCCAGTCACTCTTGCCTTCGCGCTAAAGGCAAGAGATTACGCAAGTCCGATCCCCAACATCCCTACACTTACAGCACGAAAGCACATTTACCCCACATCATGAAATCCTAGATCCCTCATCACAAGTCGCCCAACATCCACGAAAACACATTTCCACATCACGAAATGCTAGGCACCCCTCATCATCCCCGCCATCATGAAATCCTACCCCGGCCCCGCACTTTACCCCCGCCATCTGACCGTGGGCATGATGCTGGTGGCAATCTGCGGCCAGTGGAGTGTGTGTGGGTTGCTGGGTGGCAGCTGCAGCGGGGAAAGAATGGGCGATGCGCGGCAGGGCTGGCCGACACACCGGTGGCGTTGGCCTGGACCGTCGACGGCTGCTTCTGCTTGCTCGACGAGGCCTTGTATGAGGGCGCCACTGCAAACACCACACGGCACAGCACAGCACACATCAATGGATGAGTGGATGTGTGCCGGTTTTCCCCGCCTTGCTTACTCGTGCGAGGCTGCGGCTGCACGAACACCGGCTGCCCGAAGGACGCATACGTATATGCCGACGACTTCGTCGCTCGGCGGGTGACAGAGGCTGCAGAGAAAGTATCACTTCGGTTGGTTCTCCTCGTCGGCAGGCAGAGAGGCTTCCCGAACGCGGAGAAGAGCGGCAGCGATGGGGAGGGATTGCAAAGTTAGTTTCTCTTTGTTGTCTCCCATTTTTCTCGACGGCTGCGGCTGTGGAGCGGTCTGTGCGAGGAAGTGCGACAGAAAAAGAATGTGCGTGTGCATCGGCAGCGGCACATGCATCAGTATTTCCTCAGGTGATCGCTATTTCTCCTTTCTCCTTCTGTGGTTTTGAGCCATTTTGACCGCGAACGTTCGCTGCAGGATGTGTATAACTCCCGCCATCATCGTGCAGCTGCTATATCTGATCTCGTTTTGTCTGTGCTGTATCGGATCCCTCGGTGCCTTCCTCGCGAGACCAATCGGCCTCACAAACGTCCTCACGAGCAGAAGAAGCGCGAGGGCAGCAACGTTCCTCAGCGACGTGCAATCGCCTGCCGACGCCCGGAGCCCATCTGCCCACTCGCCGCCCGCATCACCTGTGCCGCCGAATCCCCCACAACAATCGGAGGTACAGGAGCGTGTGGACACCGTCCGCGATGTCATCTTCTCGCGACGCAACTGCCGCACATTCCTGCCGAAAGAGGTGCCACTTGAGGTGCTGACCGACCTCATGACTGCCGCACAGCGGGCACCATCTGGCTTCAACATGCAGCCGTGGGTGTGCATTCTGGTGCGCGAGGCGTCGGTGAGGGAGCGGCTGGCGGCGACTATGCTGGGCGAGAAGAACCGCTCGAAGATCAAGGAGGCGCCTGTGGTGGCCGTGTTCTGTGCTGATCTGGGTGAGTGAGTGGGATCGGGCAAGCCAAACAGGGCATGTGTGCATCTGTGTGTCTGTGTGTTTCAGAGAGTCAGCGCCAGATGCCACGCATTGTGGCCCTGATCAAGAAGGACCGCGAGAGGCGGCTTGCCTATCGCGCCACACAGGCATCGTCAAAGTCACCGCAGAAGCCGCCCGCCAAGAGCAAGTCATTGCAGCGGATACCCTTCTATGTCAGCCTCTTCGCCGGCGCCTTGCGAGGGTGGCTCATCCGCTACCTGTGGTTTCTCATTCGGTACGTAATCTTTGCTGTGCTGCGGGTGTTCCAGCCCCTTCCCGTGCCGTCGATGGCCGAGACCTGGGCCTACAAGAACACCATGCTGGCGGTGCAGACCTACATGCTGCTCGCATCGGCCTACGGGCTTGGCACAGCACCGGTGAGCTGAGCGGGCAGCTGATATAGAGAAGGCCGTTACGCATGCACACAATCATCAGGTGAGGTGACTGACCTGTGTGTTGTGTTGTGTGTGTATCAGATGGAGGGTTTTGACATGGTGCGTTTGCGGCGGGTGCTGATGCTGCCTGACCGCTTCAGCGTGCCTCTGGTGGTGGCGACGGGCTACCCAGCCGACGCCCCCATCAGCCGCACCTACCCTCTGCTCAGCGGCCGGCTGCCGATGGACGAACAGGTGATCCACGCAGATACGGACACACCCACACCCACCCACACACACAGAGCTCATGTGCCGTTCGGTCTTTGTGCCGGGTGCAGGTGTTCTCTGACTTCTACGATCGAAGGCTTGCGATCTGACCTCAGCTGTCTGTCAAGCGGCAGGGTGTGTCAGCGACGGTTTGGCCCCTGGTTGGTTTCCACAGGGTTGCATGCCTTCATACAGGCCATGTTTCCTCGTGTAGCCTCAATCCGGCCGGCCACAGAGCATCGCTGACACCTCTAGCCAGCTCGCTTAGCAGCTATGTAATCATGGCGTCAGGCCATATCTATGAGTATGTAGACTAGTAGCCAGCACGTATATATATACCAGCACTGTAGCTGTAAGGCAGTGCAGCTTGGTTGATATGATATGGCGAGTGAGTAGCGGCAGGCAGAGAATTCGCACATTTGTACAGGGCGGGGGTCGTTTCATCGTAGGGTGTCTGGTTGTCCATTGTCCATGGTCGGATGCGTAGCGAGCAAACCGACAGACAGACAACTAACACACACACGGGAAATCCGAAAGCCTATAAGTCAGAGTCCACAGTGATGACAAAAATCGAATCGTACGGCTTGATGGGCTGCCTGTCTCTGTCTGGTGGAGGGACAGCCTCCCTGCTCCGTTTAGTCTTCTGCCGTCTCCTCTTTCGCCTCCGGTTGGGGCACACCCGCCTCCAACAGGCACCACAAAACAAGGTGCTCTCTTTTGGCTTTGCAATGGGGGATGCAACGCCACTGGATGGTGTCGGTGGCTTCATAACAGGCGCCTGCAGGTGGCCTCTGCAATGGACACAACACAAGAAGCCACATGAATGATGCATGGGCCGCCTCATTGCAAACGGCACCTGCTTACGACGAGAGGAGGCTTGTTGCTTCTGTTAAGGCTTCACCCCGCTGACGGGACAGCAGGGAGCCCATTTCATTGGGAGTGGGCACAGGCCCGAGAGAGCGGTTTCACAGGCCCACTTTGCGAGCTGAGCCCAGATCTGCCTTGCGCACGAAACTTCAAGATGAAGGCCCAAAGAATGCCCGGAGCTGCAGGGCATCGTCCCAGAGTCAACATTTGACTCTTTTCTCTGCTTCTGCTGCTGACTGGTGATTCATGGCGTGATGCAGCTTGCCTCTGGCTTCTTGCGACGTGTGAAGCAGCGCATCGGCACCCGCAACCCGCCAGATGCCGACAAGGACGGCCACGGACAGCCAGAGGGCGGCACCGCCACCACCAGGAAGGGCCTCTTTGCCTCGCGCTTCCTTCCACGTGGCCTCCGTGAGAAGCGGCGGAGGCGCTCACTGCGGGCGCACCATCACCACCAATCAAGACCGGCCAACGGCACCCTCACTGTGCGCGTGATAGCGGGCATCGGGTTGGCAGCGGAAGAGCCTTGCCTGGTGCTGCAGGTGGAGGGAAATGAGTGTCGGCTGGAGAAGCCGCGGCGGGACAGCAATGTGGTGCAGTTCACCGCTGCGAGGGCGCCCAAGGGGGGTTCGGTCAACATCACCTACCAGCCGGGCGCATCGCCGGTGGCCAAGGAGGACACGGATGGTGGTGCCCAAGACAAGACGCAGAAGCCCGACGATGGAGGGAGGACGGCTGCGCAAGATCTGAAGCAGCAGCCGTTACCACTTGTGGACGTCAGTGGTGGCACCCAGCCGCCGCCCGCCCCCGGCACCACCGAGCCTTCCGCAGCCGACACCGCGGCAGCTGAACGTGCACCAGCGGCGCGTCCGAACAAGCCGCCCGCTCCAGTGCCGGACACTCAGTCAGGGTCGTCGACCCACTCGACCGGCATTATCAGTGAGCCGCCGCCTCTTCCGCATCTGAGCGTGTCTTTCAAGGTGGCGGACATGACGAGCGACCTGCACCTACTGCTCTATGAGGACAAGTACGTCCGTCGCGAGATCCTGGTGGGCCGCGTCATCATCCCGCTGGTGTGGTTCGTGTCGCCCACCGGGCTGCTGGGCTGGCGTGTGCTGCGGGTGGAGGTCTTTCCGCCCACCAAACAGACCGAGTCAGACCCGGATGAGCTGTTCGAGGTGAGCAGAGAGAGGAGAAACCACGTCCACGCATCCATCGTGGGCACAGACAGACAGATGGCCCTCCTGCCTGCTGTACTGCGTGTGTGCAGCCTGGGATAATGAATTGTCCCGGCACAGCAATGGTGCGGCCCAGGAAGCCACTGGGTGTGATCCAGCTGGCGATGAAGATGTCCTTTGACGACCGAGACGGCGCCAGTGAGAGTGGTGGCCTTTCTCGATTCATCGACTGCTCCGTGCTTAGGGTCAGCCACCATACACTCGGGTGCCGTGCACTTGTCTGTCTGACTGACTGTCTGTCTGTCTGTGGGCGTATTTGCCATCGGTTTCTTTTGTGTGTGTGTGCGTGTTGCGTGCATCGCCTCAGATGTACACAGCAGTGCCGCCCCGTCGTCACAAGAACGCCCCGATTGACGGCATGCAGGGTGATGAAGACGGCGACCAGATGCCGCCCACACACGCAGACTCGGGCAATGAGGAAGGTACCCACGCAATTAATTGAAAGACAGCGATCATTGATCATCGTGTGCTCATCTTTTCCATCTGCGTCATTCCATTGGCAGATGACGTCACTTGGTTGTTTCACCGCCACCTATGGCGGCGCAACTTCGAGCGGCTTCGTCGAGCCCTCACCCTGCCGACCCTGCTGCAGGTCATCCTCACCACCCCGGTGGCCCTCATCGCTGCCGCAGCGCTCATGGCCTGGACGTGCCTCAAGGCCCAGCCCTACCACATCCCTCTCGAGATCTTCGGCCTCGTGCTCTTCAATGGCGTCCTCACCCACTACCTCGTCATGCCGCCCACCCCATCCACCCTCCTCGCCGCCAAGTACGACCGGGCGGCCGCTCGAGACGGCGAGAGCTGCTCCTTGCCTCTGCCGTGTAGCGTGCCGTGGACAGCCAGCATCGAGGGCCTGCCGGCCCAGACGCCATCGGGCGTCAAGACCGCCACACCGCGAGAGTCAGGGGGGCCGCAGCAAGGTCGACACCAGACAGGCGGCAAGGCAGCGGGCGGTGCGAGGAGCGTCGAGGCCGAGAAGCGTGCTGCGGCGAGTCTTCGCAACAGGAGGGGAGGCGCAGGTGGGGCAGATATGGTGGCGCAGTCACCCACCGTCTCTGAGGCTTCCCTTCCGCCCGCGCCATCCATCTCGCCACGGTGCGAACCGGAGAAGGACTCCCGCAGCAGCAGACAGGAGGGAGGGGCCAAGGAAAAGGACAAGGAAAAGGAGAAGGACAACACAGCTACGGCGGTGAACGACCAGCCCGCAGAGGCTTCCCAGCAGGCGACAGGGAATGTGGTAGAGAGGGTGGATGACGAGGACATCTCCCACATGATTCCGCCCCACTTTCGTCTGCTGTGGCCCACCAAGTACATCGTCTGGGAGAGTGAGATCGACAGCGCCGCCAACCCTGAGGCGGGCATGAGGCCATGGGAGAGAATCAGAGCGTTCGCCGGTCAGTGAGTGCACAAAAGACAGCAGACACAACGTGCTTGCGCTAAAAGCTTAAGTGTGTCTCCTCCTCCTCTGTGGTGCGTGTGTCAGGTCGTGTGAGCAACATTCAGCGTCAGATAGGGCTGTGGGCGCGGTTCTTCGAGCGATGGTCCAACGCCCTCAGCTTCGCCGACTCCACCGTCTCGCTCTACTGCTACCTCACTCTTGCAGTCATCTGTGTCACCCTCTCGATCGCATTCGCCGTCCTTCCCACACGGCTGGTGCTGCTGGTGCTGGGCGAGTGCGCCATTTTCGGCTTCTACTTCGGCTGGTGGGCGGCCTACACTCGCCGGATGGCCCGCATTCGGTCGAGGGTTCGCGCACGGCAGCTGATGAAGACCACCCGATCCCACAAGCACAAGCAGGCCAAGGCGAAAGAGCAGCAGCAGCAGCAGCCGAAGGCTCCCACCGCGACGCCGCCGCCCGAGGCAACAACGAGCAAGAAGGCCCCAACCGACGAAGAGACAACGACCACCACCACAACCGCCACCACCGCCACCAGCAGCACCAGAGCGGCCGTGTCGTCCGACGCACAGCCGCCTTCGTCGTGTGATGTGGACACCCTCTCTGTGGACAATGTGACAGTGCCGGCCGAGGACATTGACAACGAGACACTGCAGGAGGGCAACGGGGCCAATGAGATGGACGAGTGTCTGTCGGGGAGCAGCGAGTCCGACCAGGAGACACTCGAGGGCGACATCGAGGGCGACATGATGATGGACGACCAGGGGGGTCTGGGGATGGGTGACCTCCCACGGAGCAAGGAGTCGTCTCAGCAGCTGGTGGGGCTGCTGGGCCACTGGCGACGGGCACTCATCAGACGCATCAACCACACACGCGCACAGGTAGGTAACACAGTTGGGGAGAGGGAGGGGGCGGGGAGTGGCCAAGCCAAAACGTGTGTGTGCGCTTGTGTGCCGTGTGTGTGTCTTGTGCATCAGGTGGTGAATTTCCTGCTGCGGATTCCTGATGAGGAGATCGTTGCTCACCGCTTTATCGCCGCGTCGGCACTGCGGATGGATGCTGGCTGACGGTGGGTTATGCCGACAGATACGTCGGTGGATTATATATGTGTCTCAAGACAGCCCGACAGACAGCCCGACAGACGGACAGACGGAGGGTTCTTTGTGTATGTTTTCTGTGTGTGGGTGGGTCATGGGTCATGTGTGTCATCATCACTCATGGGGTGGACTGCCAATATGCAGCGAGAGCAGCTTTCACGCAAGGGAGAGGGAGGGGGAAGACGGGAGGGCAGCGCTGTGGCCATCCTCCCATATATCCAGGGGTCGGTCTTTCGCGTGTGTGGCTGACTGACTGAGCTCAGTCTTCTGTTTTTGGAGTGAGTGCCTTTCTGTGTGTGGCCCATAGAGACTTTCTCAACCAACCAACCACCACATCAGACGCGTGTGTGTATCCGTCATTCAATGAGCCCATCAATCATTCAATCGTCCGTCCCGGGCAATGCAATTGTCGTGGCGAACTGCAGACAGTTCCTAAACCGCAGCACAGCGAACTCACTCCACAGACGCAGCTTCCTAGGGAAGAGGCCTCTAGCTAAGGGGTGGGGCAGCAGGATGCACCCGTGCCGCCTCTTCCCCCCTCCCCACTCAGCCCCCCGCCGTATCTTCATGTCCATCAGCACTCTCAGGTCGCCATACAGAGCGTCGAGAGAACGGCACTTGTCATCACCCAGCAGCCCAGACAGACTCCGAACGGTCTCTCTCTCATCAGCGGGGTCGTCTTCAGCCAAAGTTTGTTGTGCATCTCTATCAGTGGTGAGGAGGCCGCTGATGTCCATTGGCACATAGGGTGGGTCCACCAGGATGTGGTCGAAGAGGGCGGTGGAGAGGCTGCCCGCCGCCGGCTGCTGGGGGGCCTTTGCGCCGGCCGGCTTGGTGAGCAGCAGGTCCTGAAACTTCCCGTGGTGCACGTTGATCAAAGGCAGCACCTGTATGTCCATGTCCCACACACAGGGAGGCGGTGTTGGTGTTGGTGTGTGTGGGGGAGCCTCCCCTCCCTGCTGCTTACATTAGCCTTTTCAGCGTTTTTGATGGTGCCGACGATTTCCCTCCACCCCTCCTCACAGCCCACGAGCCGGCCCTCAAGCCTCCTCCACTCCCTGCTGTTGGGGAGGACCATCCGGCGGTCGCACTCTTGTCTGGTCGCCAGCCATAAGCCCGGGTCGTGGAAGGGCAGGTGCTGAAAGCCCCAGGAGTGCTCTGGCCGCATGTAGCCACAGGGGGTGCGGGTGGCCATCAGGGCCGCCTCCACCAGAATGGTTCCCGTGCCGCACATGGGGTCGAGCAGACTGGCAGTCGGCCGCCGACGTGTCTGTTGGTCGCGGCTCGTGGGTGTGTCTTGAGTGTGGTCGTCGTTGTTGACGTGTTCGTGGGCGAACCCAGAGGATAGAAGCATTGCTGATGCCGTGCAGGGGTCCAGCGAGTAGGGCAGCGTCACATCACTGCAGGCAGACAGAGAGATGCACCCATTGGCAAGCAACCAAGGGACATGAGGGAGGCTGTTCTGTCCTGCCTCTGTCTGTCTGTGCCCACCCACAGGTATGGCCTTCGCGATAGCGATTGCTGCGGCCCTGTGGTGTCGATCTGGACCACCACTTCACCGTCCCCGTGAGCCACCACACGGACCAGCCGCTGCGGATCCTTCAGCACCACCCTCACACACGCCTCACTGCCCACGTCTGCGGCCACGTCAACACCCCCAGGAACCGCCGCCGCCTTGGCCTCGCTTGACGTCGGCCTTGTCGTGTCGAGCCGGTCGAGGATGGCATCCTTGACCAGCTGAGAAAGGTACCGTGTGGATGTGGCCCAGCCCATTGCACCACCTTCTGATGATGAAGGTGGTGCACTATCAACGGGGGCAGCTGGCGCGCCTTGGCTCGGTAGGTGGGGGACGATCAGCTGGCTATTGACAGCAAAGGTTTGCGGCGGGTCGGTTGAGCCGCTGCTGCGGCGGGCGCGGGCGCGGAACACCTGTGTCCAGTCGACGCTGCGCAGCCCGTCGATGAAGTCAGCCTTGCTGCTGCAGTGAAACCGGCCCAGCTCCACAGACACGCGAGATGCCACACTGCAAAGGGAGAGGGGGAAGAAACATTATCTGAATGAATCAGCGAATGAATGGGCGGATCTCCCGTGCCCACCGTGACATATAGTTGAGGAGGTAGACGTCCCTCAGCTCGGCGTCTGGCAGCAGGACCCCGCATCGCTGCAGCTGCAGCTGCTTCCGGTCGTAGCCCAACGACACGAGCTCGTTGGCGAGCGAACTCTCCAGGCCGCGGCGGGTGGACAGAAAGCACCGCATCAAGGAGATCTTCGCGCCTCCCCTTCGACGTTAGCGAGCGCCCTTCAGGCGTGCGAGCTAGCAAGCACGCGAGAAGGGACGCCGAAGGGATGCGGTGTAGCGCAGTGAATAGTGCAACACAGACACCGTGTGATCTCAAGAAGCAGCGGGTAGGTAGCCGACATCAGATCTTAGCTGGCGTCTGTGTCAGTGCTTTTGGGAAGTGTAGCGGCTGACGAGAGATGCCGAGCAAGGGCGAGCGGACAACTGAGAGGGAGTATTCCCTGAGCTTCAATGACCTGTGCCGGCTGCTGTGCGAGAGCGGCAACCGGGGCTCCACTCTCAATCCATACTTCCCTCTCAGGTCAGCACCCACGAGACACACACGCGCCTGTGAGTGCATGCACCCATCTGTGTCTGTGGGGACACGTGTGTGTGTTGCTGGCTGCAGCTTTGAGACCTATGGTGACGGCGCGGCGCGGGACGACATCATCCACAAGCTGAGCATGCCGTGCAGCACGCTGCTGTCGCTGGAGAGGGAGGACAGCCACGAGCTCGACAAGGCCGTCAAGGACGCCTATCCCCCACCCCACACACAGCCTCCCCTCCCACCCTACTATGGCTTCAAGACCGAGGCCATCTTTGAGGCGCACAAGAGCGCGTGCAAGGCGCTCGACCACTGTGTGCACAACCGGATGGAGGAGGGGCTGAAGCGGGTCAAGGAGATACTGGCCACGGAGCCGCTGTGCGCGCAGGCCATCCTGGTGCAGGCACAGTTCGATACCGAAACATACCGGGTGGGTGGGTGGTTTGTGGCGAGAGAGGGGGAAGAGGAAGACACACAGGGCGTCACAGAAGTTGCGCATGACGTGGGTATGGTGTGTAATGCATGTTGTCGTCGTGGCGTGTCTTCAGGATGCGTTGGCTTTGTTCCGTCGTGCGCTGGAGGTGTCGCTCGAGGCGTGTCAGGAGGATCTGATAGATGACCTCATCCGCCACCCCCTCAGCGACGACGACTGCCGCGCCGTCGAGCCGACATCCGGCCAGAGCCTGCTGAGCACCGCCCTCGCCGGCCACTCATCACCTGCCGCCAGCCCCACATCGTCGTCAGGGGGGAGGAGGAAAGGCACATCGCGGCGGAACCAGTACAGGGCCCCTAGAGTGGACTCACACACGTATGTGGGTCTGCGGCCGTGGTATCGGTCGGTGCTGGGCATCGCCATGACATGTCTTAAGATCGGGGTCTTCACCATTAGGGGCGGCAGCGAGGCCAAGGCCCTGGGGCGGGAGAAGGACCCCAGTCGAGATGCACAGTGGTACCTGCTACAGGCCAGGGAGCACTTCCTGGTGCTCCTCTCCACCGAGAGATCCGAGCGAGACCCCAAAGCAGTCTGGGGTAAGTCACCGGCACCGCACACACCGAGCAATGAGGAGGGAAAGGGGAAATATGGTGTGTGTGGTGTGGTGTGGTATGTGCCCTGACCGTGTCTTTCGTGTCAGGTTCCTACCAGCATTTCATGCCTTACATGCCCACGACTCTGCTGTGGAACTGCATGCCTGTGGAGGCGTGTCTGGCCTTCCTCGACACACACGACAAGAAGGAGACAGCCAACGAGTTCAGCGGGACCACACTCCCGTGGCGCTTCTCCACCGCACTCTGTGACTTTGTCGTCGGCCGGGCGACCGTCAGCCCGCCGCCGGGAGGGGGCCAGACGCTCGACGCCTACCTGAGGCTGCAGGCGCTCAGACAGCTGGCCATGACACTCGTCAACTGTAAGCCAGCAACAAGAGATAGATGCATCCATCCATCAGAGCTTGTGGATGGATGCTGTGTGTGCCGTGTGGTGCGCAGGTGCTACTGAGTCTGCGGGCGTGTATGGCAGCGTCAATTACAGTTTGCTCGGTACCGGAGAGCGAGAGAGACCACACAGAACAGACACACCGGCCATCCATCCATCCATGAGTACCTTTCTTCTCTTTATGTGTGGGTTTTCTCCTCCCTTGATGCAGGCGACGTGGTAGCATACATCAGCGGAACGAAGCCCCTGCCCAAGGCGAGCATCCCCGTGTGGCTGCCGTCATACGCCGGGCCGCGCGGCTCCCTCAGCCTCATCCAGGCATGTCTCTACGCCAAGCTGGCCGGCGACCTCTGGCATCGCACACCCTCGGCCCTCGACTTCCTCCACCGTGTCTACAACTCGGCCGTCGCGTCTCTGATGCTGCACCACAACGACCTCCTGACGCACTCCAAGACTGCTGCCAGCACCGTGCCAAAGGATGAGCAGAGCTACCGCGGCTTCATGCGCGCCATGCTCGGCTCCACAGACACATCAGGGGCCAGCAGCACCACCACGACATTCGCCGCCAGCGCGCCGGCGATCCCTGACGCGATAGTGGAGATTGTGAGCGGCGGCAAGACCATCCTGGAGCGAGCGGCTGACTGTTCGACGGCGCACCTTAAGCTGCTGGTGCAGGCGGGCGTGACGCCTCTGACTCCCATCCACACCTGCAGCACTGGGTGTTACAAGGACAAGCGCGCCCGAGCCGGCAAGGCGGCCACTGCTGGCAGCACCGCTGAAGCCGACAACGACAACCAGCCCGTCCTTCCGTACCTATCGCAGAAGGTCGGCTACCACGACCTAGACCCTGAGATGGCCATCATTGCCGCAACGGCCAAGCCCAAAGGCCTCCCGCTCTTCGGCTTCCCGCCCTACCCGGCGCTTGAGGGCCGTGCACCCCCAAATGTCGCCAGTCTGTGCCGCCTCGAGCATCGGTCCTGTCTCGAGCTCGCCGTCGCACGAGGCCACGTCGCATTGGTTCGTTCGCTGCTGCTGAGAATTGTAGAGAACCATCTGCTGACGGGCCATCTGTTCATGCGCCGGAAGAGGCTGCAGAAGAAGTCCCAGCCCGGCGGCAAGGGCAAGGGAGGAGGCCACACACACACGGGCAAGGGCGCCTCCAGTAGTAGCAGCAGCAGCGGTGCGGGCGGGCCCCAGCAGCCGGCAAGCGGCGACACCGAGGGCGTTGAGTTCGGCGAGTGTCTGCTGGCCACACTCATGGAGACCCTCGTGCAGGAGCAGCGCGACAGCGACACGGACGAGTATGCCCGCATGCTTGAGATGCTCGTCGGCTTCGGTGCCCCCGAGCCGCCCCAGTCTGCCTCGCTGCCCCTCACCCGCCACCTGGTCACCCTGCGAGGCGTGCAGATCCGCGACCATCCCAGGCGATACACCATCGTCCGCAACATTCTCACCACGCTCAGGATCAAGATCACCCTGGCAGCCAAGGCCAAGGGCCGGGGCGACACGGGAGGCGATGTGGCCGGCAAGGATGAGGCCCTGTGGGAGGGTGTGTGGGAGGATGAGGGGCCGGCGAGAAACGTCAGCAGAGCACCGCTCAAGGGCACCATGTCGCAGAGCACGACGGCGTCGTCGGCTGCGCCATCAGCACGTGGGTCAACGAGGGCGTCGCCCGTGGCCGTGCGGTCCCCCTCGCCCGTCAAGATTATTGAGGATGAGTGGGTGGACTTGGGGGCCAAGAGAAAGACCAGCAAGAAGAAAAAGGCGGCACACAAGGCTGACCAACCCAATGGCGGCCAAGGCGATGCGACCAAGTCCGCCAGCACATCCCCGCCAGAGTCCGCCGACCCATCCCCCTCCTCTCGTCAATCGCATGCCCTGTCGATGTCTCTCCAGCCGATAGTGAAGCGCCAGCTTGCTGTGGAGCTGCCCCAGGCCGTGAGGACGGCCGCCATAGACCTGCTCAAGGTGTGCGAGGCGGCCCTCAAGGCGCCCATGCCGGAGCGGCAGCTGGACACCGAGAGTGTGCACACGAGGGACTCGGTGGTGCTGGAGGGTGAGGGGCTGCCGCTGCCCAGCCAGACGGTGGAGATCGTCGGCGGGACTGACGACACGCTCATCGGCCGGTTTGGGACCTACGTCAGGCCGGCATCCGACAGCGTCATGGGTGTTGACGATGGCGACACGGACGGGCCAGTCGACCCCTCGACGGAGCTGCACGAGGTCCTGCTGGACCCTCTCGTGGTGGAGGACGTCACGCCGACGAGCAGCAAGGACTCGGTTGTGTCGACAAGTGCGGCCCCCGAGTGTGTGTTGGTGCCTCGCTATGCGTTTCGTGTGGTGTGGCTGCCACCGCCCAAGATGCTCGGTGGCAAGGAGGTGCGGCTGCAGAACCTGAAGGCCGACCTGCATCTCAACGGCAGACGGGGAGTCGTCACACAATATGGCGGCACTGACAACAAGGGAGAAGACAGGTATGTACCCAACGAAGGAATGAGTGCATCAACCCATCTCATCAACCAGAATCCTGGTCTGCTTCCCCCCTCGTGTAGGTACGTGTGTGATGTGGATTATCGCATGGGCGAGCAGGGCCCCGACACGAGCGAGACCGACCTGCGCGGCCGCCGTGTGCGGCTGCATCACCTGCAGCTGCTGAAGCACACACGCATGGGCGGCAGCAGCCCCAAGGCCCAGCCGCTCATGGAGGAGCGGGACATCGATGCCGAGACGGAGCGTGTGGAGCTGGCCAACGAGGAGGTGCGCGAGAGCCTCTACGCCGACACGCGCAAGCTGCTCAAGTTCTTCGGTGCATGGGTGCCGGGGCCTCTCGTAGACATCCATGCCATCGACTGACAGACTGACGGACTCACTGTCTAAATGAAGGGAGGGTCATAGATTAGAGTAGCTGCTGCGAGGTGCGCACGACGGCTGAAGGGGCAGGGTGAAGCCGTTCATCGCGTGGTCTGAGGGAGGCGTTGGGGGCCTCTCTTGCTTGCGATGTGCTGCTTGATCCGACTCTTGAAGAGCCCGTGGCGCCTCACCGACCCAGAGGCTGGCTGCTCGGTAAATAGGCCTCCCATAGCAATGCTGAGGCAGGCCGGTCTGCCTGCCTGGGGATGGAATGGTAGCCAGCTGTCCTTGTCGACGGACATATAGACAATCTACATATGAATGCCACTCAATGACCGGTGGGTGAGTGACATCAGCATTCATCGGCCGTGCTGCAGCCAGCTCCCACAGCTGCTCCCCCAACCCAATTCTTCCCCATCACCCGGGCCATACGTACTTGCACTTGGTGGCGGTGCGTGTGGTGCATTGTGCTTGCACTTGTGTGTGTATCTGACTGGATGAATGCGTGAATGAATGAAGGGCTGCTGCCGCTACAGATGTGCACACACACACACACACACACATACGCAGCCAAAACGGACTCATCCCCTTGCAACTTGATTGGCTCATGCGCCGTTCGTTCACCATGGTGCATGGTGGACTAAGCGCGTGGGTGGCGGTGGTCGCCGACCGACGCACACCGATGGCCATCGGCTGCATGCCGCTGCGTGCACAGCACACCACAGCGCTCCACAGCCGCAGCCGCAGCCGTCGAGAAATATGGAGCAAAGGAGGAAATGTCGAGAATTTTGGGGACGGAGACGGAGACGCCCCAAAATTTAATTAGTTCGCTCAAGTTCGCTCCGCTCGCTGCTGGTCTTCTCCACGTTCGGAAAGCCTTTCTGCCCGCGTCGTGAGTCGGACAGCCGCATGGATGGCCTCATCTACTGACCGCACCGTGACCGACGCGGCCGTGCAGAAACCATCACTCCCACTCCCACTCCCCCTCCCCGCCCACCACCACCACCAGCAGGGCGGGCACGACGGAGCCGCACCCGACACAGCAGACCAGCACGGCCACTGAGGGAGGAAACAGCCGGCCGCCCTCCCACCGGCCGTGTCTTTGCCCGCCATGCCAGCGCCGAGACCAGCCGCAGTACGAGAGGATGGGATTCGTGACTTCCCCCTTCGCGACTCGTGGGTCGAGATGGTCGACAGCTGTGCAGCCAACCAAAGGCCGATTCCCGCCCCCTCCGCCGCTGACGAAGACCCTTGAGTCACCCGAGATCACACGTGAGCCACGTGCACAGGGAAGGATGATGCGAGGGGATGCGGGCGGATATCTGTCGGTGTTTGTGTTTGTGTGCGATGTTGCTCGTACAGTTGGCACAGACACCGAACCTCGGCAACACGTGTTATCAGTAAGAAAGCCACAATTGAACGTCAATACATACTTACCCTTTCTCTCCTTGTGGGCGGTGTGCAGAAATGCCGTCGTCTAACCACTGAAGGAGACGCCAGTGCTCTCAACGCTCGTGTCATGTTGATCTGTCTGTCTGGGTGCGTGTGTGGGTGTGTCGTGTCAGCAAGCAGGTGACCATCTTCAGGCTCCCGCCGGCGTTCAGGCTGACGATCAGCCGGTTTCTCAAGGACAAGAGCGGCACACCCCAGTCCGCTTCAAGACCCGCAACTTCTGTCCCGGCGGGGTCCACGGCCTGTGCGAGCACTCCTGTGAGGAGAGATATGGGAGAGCGGCGGGGAGGGTGCGCTCATGCCTCTGTGTGTCCCTCTGTGTGTGTGTTGGGTGTTTTAGGGCACCCGACGATCGGCCGCGCCGCGAGTACGACCTCTACGCCGTGACCCACCACGGCGGCATCCTGAATGGCGGACACTCCTACGCCTAAGCACCTGACTGACAGACACGCACACACACAGACAACGCGTGACTGCAGAAGTGAAATGTGTGTCTGTCTGTGTGTGTCCGTGTCCGTGTCCGCGTGTGCAGCTGCGTTAAGTTGGTGAAGAACGGCGTGGTGTTGTGGGTGCGCCTCGACGACAAAGAGACACACTACGACATCCCTGAGGAGGAGCTGCAGGGTACGGGCCCAGCAAGACGCACATGACATGAGCTGTATTGTTTTGGGTCTGCCTGCATTGCGTGTGTCCCTGTGTGCGTCAGGATCGACTGCTTAAACCTTGTGGTACGTCGCGCGTGACATGCCCAAGGTGTTCCAGGAAGCACGGACGATCCACATCCCCAAACGTATTGATGACCACCCACACACGACCACAGACACACAGACACCCTCTCCCATGCCCTCTGCTTATGCATATCTGTCACGTTGTGTGAGCAGCGGCCCCGCCCCCAGCGAAGCCCCCGACCACCACCAAGGGCAAGGCGGCCCCGCCCCCGCCGAAGCCCTCCACCAGCAGCAACGGCGGCATGTTGAGGCCAGGTGGGTGGGGGGACGGTTTCCGTGCTCTTGTCATGTTGATCTGTCTGTCTGGGTGCGTGTGTGGGTGTGTCGTGTCAGCAAGCAGGTGACCATCTTCAGGCTCCCGCCGGCGTTCAGGCTGACGATCAGCCGGTTTCTCAAGGACAAGAGCGGCACACCCCAGTCCGCTTCAAGACCAGCAACTTCTGTCCGGGGGCGGTCCACGGCCTGTGCGAGCACTCCTGAGGAGAGATGTGGGAGAGAGGCGGGGAGGGTGCGCTCATGCCTCTGTGTGTCTCTGTGTGTGTTGCGTTTTCAGAGGATCCCTCCATCAGCCGCGAGTATGATCTCTACGCCGTGACACACCACGGCGGCATCCTGAACGGCGGCCACTTCTGGGCGTAAGCACCCGACGGACAGACAGACATACACACAGACAGAACGTGACTGCAAAAGGGAAATGTGTGTCTGTCTGTCTGTGTGTGTCCGTGTCCGCGTGTGCAGCGATGTGAAGCGGGTGGTGGATGGCGTGGAACTGTGGCTGCGTTTCGACGACGACAAGCCAGTCTACTTCATACCTGAGGAGGAGCTGCAGGGTACGGGATGGCCCAGCAAGATGCACATGACATGAGCTGTATTGTTTTGGGTCTGCCTGGCTTACGTGTGTCCCTGTGTGCGTCAGGGTCGACGGCCTACATCCTCTGGTACGTCGCTCGCGACATGCCCAAGGTGTTACAGGAGGCACGGACGGTCACCATCCGCAAACGTATGTATGACCACCCACACACGACCACAGACACACAGACACCCTCTCCCATGCCCTCTGCCTATGCATGTCTGCACGTTGTGTGCAGCGGCCCCGCCTCCAGCGAAGCCCCCGACCACCACCAACAGCAAGGCGGCCCCGCCAGCGTCGAGGCCCCCCCCCACCACCAAGGGCAACACGGCCCCGCCAGCGTCGAGGCCTCCCACCACAACCAAGGGCAACACGGCCCCGCCAGAATCGAGGCCCCCCACCACCACCAAGGGCAACACGAGGGCAACGCGGTCCCGCCCGCGTCGAAGGCCCCGCCAGCGTCGAAGGCCCCCACCACCGCCAAGAGGACCCGCCACCACCACAGGCAAGGCGGCCCCGCCCCCGCCAAGAGGACCCACCACCACCACCAGCAACGGCAAGGCGCCTCCGGCCACCACCAGGATGAGCAACGGCAAGGCGCCTCCGGTGCCGCCGAAGCCCACCACCACCAGCAACGGCAAGGCGCCCCCCACGAGCAGCCATAGCAAGGCGCCCCCCACCGCCAGCCATGGCAAAGCGCCCACCAGCAGCAAGGGGAAGGCGGCGCGCGGCAGCTTTGGCGCGGGTTCGCACATCCTGATAGGCAGAGAACAAGATATTGCATGTCGCTGCCGATGTGGCGATGCCACATATTGCTGCCTACATTTTATATTCGTCAGTGTGTGTCTCTGTTCCTCCCGCTGCCAACGTGATGCCCTCTGAGACACGTGTTGTGTGAGGATGTCTGAGTGGGTAGACGGATGCGCGAAGAAACTTTGAAGGAAACTCTCGTCGAATAAGTGTCGCATTCAGTGCATGTCCGATCGATCACATGAGCAAACCCATCACTTCCATTACATAGCCCAAACCGCACGGAAACCCCTACCAATGCATTGACAGCCTCTCCAAAGAAAGAAATGAGGCAGTCAGGACGAGGGGCCAAACGCCTTATCTTCGAGACCATATCGCCTCAGCAGCTGCCGCACGGCAGCCACGGTGACAGGGAACCGCTCATCGACAGTCACCTCGCCGCCCACCTCCACCTCGGTCGTCCTGATGACGATGCGCCCACGGACGACGGAGACGGCGGCCACCACAGACGCGCCACCGAGCAGCAAGACCACGATGCCGCTTCGTACTCCCATCATATCTTCCTGCCAATCTTCCTGCCAGTCGATGACGGATATGTCAGATCCGTCGATCCAAGAAGCTGACAGAGCCCCGTAGCGGGCAGGTCCCCCAATCAACACGTCGACGTCCAGAACTTCAGTCATGCGGGAAGAAACCTCGTCAAACTGCAGCAGCGTGTCGAGGGCAAACGCGCTGAATGAAGGGTAGACTGGGCGGTGTGACGTGCTGCAGCTGATGGGCGGGTCAGTGGGGCGATATATCGGCCGAATAAAAGGCCGCAGCCGCCACAACTCGTCCCCATCGATAACGCGGAGCCGCCGCACGCCGATTTGATACCATTGCACCAGTCTCGTCCGTCGGTAAATCAAGGAGGCGACAGCCCATCCACGGTGGCAGGCCGCGCTCACAAAAATGGGCTCAAGGCAATAAGCTAACATGCAGAGCAGAAACCAGCCAAGTCCGCGCCACTCAGCATCCTGGGCTTTGGCGACGAGGAAGTAATACAAAGCCAACGGGATGCCCACGACACCACAGCCGCACACCAGCAGATAGATGTTTTCGAGTGCCCGAGGCGGGACGCGGCCCAGCAGGTTGGCCGGCAGGACCCACAAGTCTGTATCCTCCTGGTCGCCCTCGGTCAGCTGCAGGGGTGGGCTGATGCTTTGAAGCCCACACCCCACCAGACCGCCAAATATCTTGTAGACGGTCATGGCAGCAGGCAGCCGATGCAAAGTCGCCATGTCGGGCACGTGAGCCGCCACACTCTCGGCCGACAGCAGCACAGGCAGCTGGCCAGCCACACCGCAGGCACCTGCCACCCTGATAAATGTGGCCATATGGCGCCACTCGGCCGCCCGCTCGATGACGTAGGCACACCGAGCGAGATACCCAAATCGCGAGAGGGATGACGGGAGGGGAGGGGCCGAGGGGTCAACGCCGCGGTCCCTCTCCACATCGAGGAGGCCGGGGAGCTGCTGCTGGGCCAGGGAGCTGTTGATGCGACGCAGCAGGAACGCCTCATCGATCAGCTGAGTGCCGTAGGCCTTGCCGACCGCCCGGGCCCTCAAAGCATCGTCGACAGTGAGAAAGGAAGCGAACACACGGGCCAAGACGTCAGCAGGAAGCCCTTGATGGTCAGCAGTGTCATGAGTCGCGACGACCGATAGCAAATGCTGGCTGATGGACGAGGGGTCGCCAACCGCCACTCGTCGGTAAGAATAGCTACGGTGCCGTCGCTTGGGCAGCAGCCAGCTCATCGTTGTTGCGCCCGATGTGCGTGTGGATCACACCAACACAGGACTGACGTTGAGCCGACGAGCCATCAGGACGGAACTGTGCAGATCTGTCGACACACACACACACACACACATATGCATGTCGATGACCGTCGACGCCAAGGTGTACTCTCACTTGTAGAAGATCTGACCTCGGTGTGGGCCGCCCTGCTTGTCAGATGACGACGACAGCCTGCAGATCAGATGGACAAACAGGAGGACACGTTGATCAACATGTGGAGTCTGTTGCACATCCATCCCATCACGCATACCGCACCTGACAGAGGGCGTCCACAGCACAGAGGTAGTCACGGCAGATCTGTGCTCCACTTTGCCGACCTCTTCGTTGATCAATGCCGTTGCCGCCTCACTGTCGCAATCTGGCAGATGAGATGGCCATATCTGGGCTACTTTCAACGGGAGAACACACTGCGAGCTCAAGCTCGAGCGGCATTCTCCTCGACGACAGAGGCGTGCAGACCCGTTGAAGCCGCAAAGCAGCACTCCGATCCATAGCTTTCGCTGCTTGGCTGCCCGATGGCTGCCAGTGCCGCCGCCCAGGTGAGAAAAGAGGGAGCTGCAGGCCAGGCAAATCCCTTCATCATGACGTGAATCACTTGTGCTGTCTGTGTGTGGTTTGTCGTTCGGTTTGGTGCAGATGAGCCCAGTGGTGCGGGCGCAGCTGCTGCCTCAGGTAGAAGGCTATAGGACGAAGCAGGCTCAGGTATCAGCTGACGTCCAACACACATACCAACTCGTCCATTCCATGCAGCGCCTCCCAAAACTCATCGGCTGCTTCGTGTGTGTGTGTGTGTGTGATGTGCAGGTCAACAGCTGCATCGACCAACTCCTGCAGATGCAGACCACAGCTTCGATGACACCACTGGTGCGGCAGGCTGCCAAGCAGCACACCGACAACCGCAGCACAAAGGCCTCTGTGTCATGTTGCCCTCGTCTTGGTGAGTTATTTGTCAGATGGTGGATAAGCTGAGTCGTCAATTTGCTGCTGCGTCCGAGATGCTGGCCGAGTTGGCAGAGACCATCAACTCGACCATCGCACTCACAAGACATAGCCGCACACAGGTCAGTGGGGGAGTGACCACAGGCTGACACAGACGCAAGACCCACACTGATGTTGCGTGCACGGCTTGTGTGTGTTGCGTGTCTTGTGTCGTCAGGCGCGACGGTTGCACCTGACTGACATCCCTGCCAACCCCATGAGCGTCGTCACTGAACTGTCTGACCTCACCACCATCGCCCACCTCAAGTCGACAGCCCGCCACTTCACCAACGCCGTGCGGCCCGTCATCAGCAATATTCGGCTGCCGAAGGCCATCGAGCGGGCGGGGGTGGGCGGTGTGGTGCAGTTCGACGATCAGCTGAGCGACGGCGACGTGATGAAGGCCATGTGGGTGGTGGAGGAGGGGGGCGAGGGCGGCTGGGGGGAGGTGGCGGATACACTCAGATTCGCTGAGCCTTTCGGCTGCTGCCAGCTGCCGGTCACTGTGGGTGCTGTAGATCTGCAGACACACGCCACCAAGGCGGTAAGCACGACACACAGAAGAGGCAATGGGTGAGCTGCTGGATGTGTGTGTGTGTGTGGCTGCAGGACTACTCGTCGCTGCCCCGTTTCTGTACGCAGTGGATGCTCGTCGGCCGCTGTGTGGCCTTCCGCCGCCCCACTGGCCAGCAGGACGGCACACTCCAGCTGTTCCGACACAGCAACAACGAGATCCGCGTCATCTGCAACGAGCCCGGCTTCACCATCACCCTCAACCCGCCCCTCCCCCAGCCCAACCGCCCCGTCCATCCCTTCTCGCAGCACCCCTTCGCCCACCACGCCAAGCCACACGACCCGCCAGTCCGCCACCGCATCGCGTGGGAGTCTGGTGTGGGCTGGGGGACGGTTGGCGTCAACAACGGGGCCGGCTGGGCATCGGCCAGCTGCATGTTGAAGGGGCTGCTGCTGACTCATCGGGTGTTTGCCGTGGGCGGCTTCACCTACTCGCCAACGGTGGTGGTAAACCGGTGAGTGGATGGAAGGCACGCAATGAGAGGGCAAATCGCTATGTGGTGCGCTATTGACGTGTGTGTCAGGAGTGCATGTGGCGGCCACCTCGGCCGCATCATGATTCGATCGCCACATACGCCCCTCAACGGATGTTCGGACGTGACGACATGGGAGGCGGCCGATGGGACCTGTGTGCAGCTGCATTTGTTGACGACGTCGAACGACCCGTTTTTCGCATACATTTTCTTCGAGATTCCCCCAGGCAACAACCAGGACGGTACGCCTACACATTGACAACACATCCTGATGCTGTCGTGTCGTCGGATCAGCCGCTCCTCTCTTGTCTGCATGCAGTCCACGTCACCATCAATACCACCGAGGCGCCAGCAGCAGGTGTCCCCCATGACGCCCCCTTCGCCCATCGGTTCCGCCTGACGGCCGCCAAGGTGCGTCGCGTCCTCGGGCCCATCGCACCTATCGTGCTCGACGGCCAGGCGCCATGACCGTGAAGGTGAGAGCCCCGCCGATGATGCAGACATGCATGTGATGTGTATGCACAAGACGCCTGTGTGTTGGTCTCTGTCCTGCAGGATGGTCGTGTGGCTCGAAGGATGAGCCGCTGGACTGGGCGGCTGACTGGCTGGCGGGCTCTTAGTGGGATGGTCTGTCTGCGAGTTGGATGCATGTGGTGCAGCCGGCCGAATGGGATGGACTCTTCCGTGCGGCCTGTCGGCTGTGTGTGCAGACAGACAGACAGGTGCACGCGCCGACAAAAACTGAGATGAAGGGATTCTCTGGTAAACTGGTCTGTCCGTCACGCCCCATGCACACACACCGCCTGTTGTCTGTACCGTCGGATCCACCAATCGACCCAATCAATTGACCGAGAATGATATGACCCCACCCATCTTCACAGGCACCGCACCCAGCCACGTCCCCTATGCATAGCTGCCTCCTCGCTCACTCCCTGGCACCTGTTCGCCCGTTATGTACCTCTTTATAATAGAGAGAGGATTGAACGTCCACGTGGACGCTCGTGGGCTTAAGCACGTGCGTGTGGCACTGACAAACTTATTTCTCTATATCTTTATCCAAATCTCTCTCTCTCTCTCTCTATCCTTCCGTTGTCTATAAATGTGACCCTTCTTCTCATACACATAGACCTCTCTCTGCCTGCCTGCCTGCCTGCCTGCGTGTGTGCGTGTGCACTTGTGCTGGAGTGACGGGTAGGACAGACTGACGGATAGCGCTGCCGCGTGGCCGATTGATGAATGAAACGCATAAACAAAGACGACGTGTTCAATCCACCCACTCGACCATGCGACATCAATCGCATCGATCCTCCGTGCAGTTGCCGCATACGAACGAAACACACAAGTCCTTGCAGCCCCACGCTCTCATTGACAGCAAGCTGGTCAGTCAGCGGAGGCCGATCTCTCTGGCGGCAGACAACGCTCTGAAGGAATTACGTACGTGACATGCGCATATCGACACACTGTGTGTCTGTGTGTCGATATGCGCTGTGTGTCTGTGTGGTGTATCTACCTTTGTCGAATGGTGGGCGAGTCTGTGAGGAGCTCCTCCAGCCGCATGCGGTCGCCAAGGCAGAAGTCGTCGGCCCACCGCACCACCTGCAGCGCAGCCAGCCAGCCACAATGTCATGTGCTCACATCCATCCATCCATCCATATCTCCCCTCTCTCTTAGCGTGGGTGTCATTTAGGTACCTCTTGCTGCATGAAGCCAGGGTCGTGGTCATAGCCTGTCAGCCAGGAGCCACACAAGACAGACAGACATGTATACCATCACACGACTGCACTTGCCCCCCCCAGCCACCTGTGTGTGCGTCGTAGTCTGGGTGCAGCCGTCTGATCTTCGGATGGGCCGACAGGGGGAAACCGCTCCGCTCACGCACACTGAACTCGTGCTGCAACACACAATACAATACACCCAGTACAATACACCCAATGGCACACACACACGTGTGTGTCATGGTGGCTTGCTGACCTCTGCTGCCAGTGGTTTGAAGAAGCCATCGACGAGAGACGCCGCGACCGAATTGATCGACTTGACACACACAGCCAAAGAGACAGACAGTGTCTGCACTCAGGTGGATGGGGGACTGGTGGGTGGCTGCTGTTGTCACCTCACCGGGTGTGCCCATTGTGGCGGGTAGTAGTACTTCTCCGACTCGCGTGTCAGTGAGGCGCGGAGGCCCTCCAACAGGTCGGGATGAAGCTGAGGAGGACACCAGAGGCATGTGAGAGTGTGTGCGTGATGCATGGCCATCCATCTGAATGCGTGTGTGCATACCATGAGTCTGTGCAGTACTCGTGTTTCGAGTGTGAGTGCCTCCGTGAGGCATCGCTCCTCTATAGCCTCGTACATCTGGACAAGGGAGTCCTCCTCAGCCGTGGAGGGCAGCCGCCGGCTGATCCTCACCATCCTGATCGACCAAGGCGCCACAGCCACCCCCACACAAACCATTAAAAGCCCTCTCTCTCTCTCTCTCTCCCTTCTTGCCTTTTCCACTCGTCCGCCATGACGCCTGTTTCGGCCATCAGAGAGTGGCGCAGCCGCTGCACACGACGGACCAGCTCAAACGTCAGCTGACGCCACACACACACACACACACACACACATACACACACACATCGCCCCCCGACCCACGATGTCTGCCTGTGCTCACCTGCATTGCCAGTGGTGAGTTCTCCCTCATCTGTTGGAGTGTGTCCTGCGCCCAGACAGCCACAGTCTTGTCGCTGTAGGCCGTCGTGGCCAGCCTCTCCAGGTGCCGCTCCACATCAACCAGCTGCACACACGAGCCACACAGAAAACACCCATTATGACACGTACACACATGAATCGTGTGTGTGTGTGCATGCTTGTGCCGCCCTGCACTGGCCCCCTCGTAGCTGCCTATCTGTGGCTGTCTATGAGAGGGCAAAGCACATCAGGGGGGCTGAGGGTCTGTGTGGCAGGCTCTTAGTGCGCTCCAGCACACAGGGCAACACGAGGAGCGAGTGGATTCCTGCACTCCTGGCTGGCTGTCTAGCCCTCTGCCTCTCTGGCTGTGGGTGGTGTGTGGATGCTGACCGAGTCTCTCTGTGCGAGGGCTTTGTTGATCTCCTGCTCCCACCGGGCCAGCTTGAAGCCATCTGCCAGACACACGGAGAGAGAGAGAGAGGCGGTGAGATGGTGCTGGTCTGCCGCTGTGTTTGAGTATTGCACCTACCTGTTCTCTGGTCGTGTGGCGATGTGGGGTTGATGAAGTGCTCCTCCAGCAAGTGGGCGGCGTCACGCTCAGAGACCTCCAGCTGCTTCTGATGAATGACACCAAAGATGGACACAGGGACACATACAGACAGACAGCCCTGCAAAGCAAAGGCCGCGTCCCCCTCCCTTTCTCTCTTTCACCTCGGATGTGATCTCGAGCAGCGGCAGTGCCTCAGGCGACATCCAATGGCGGGCGAGGCCACCGTGGCTGATCGATACGCACGCGCATTCACAGACAGACAGACAGACAGACAAGCAAGAAGGTGTGGCCCACACCGCCGCCCCCCTACATGAGGTCGGTGCCTCTGAGCGTCTCCCCCGCAAGCGCCACATAGAGCCCCAGGCCACTGCTCATCCTCGACAGCACATAAGACAACCCACACGTGGGAATGAAGCCCCAGCCTGACAAACACGACACGGCCGTGTGCAGGCGGGACGCATTTGGTTGTCTGTGTATGTGCGTGGTCACTTGCGGTGTCGGTCTTGAATGTCGAGTGGTGGTATGCGCAGCTGCGGTTGGCCAGCAGCGGCCACGAGGCGCCTGCGTCCTCTGTGAGCGACACACACATCATAGAACACCACAGGGAGGCAGGCAGGTGTAATGGTATTGTGTTGTGTTTGCGCATCTGTACCAGCGTATCCGTTGAGGAGGAACAGGAGTGGCTTGTAGTACGTTGCCACCATGTAGCTCACTTCCTGGGAGTTGCGTATCCACGCCGCAGCGCTGGGCAGCACCTCACCCTCCACCACACACGACTCGGCCAACAGCAGCAACACTGCAGGGACAACAGACCGCCATGCCCTCTGCCCTCCCCCAACAAGCCACGCTTACTTTTCTTGTCGATCCCGAGTGAGAAATACGGCCTCGTCAGGCGAACGCTGGTGGGCTCCCCGGTGTCCCAGTCAGTGCCCATGTCGCCGCCCTCCCCAATGAGGGATGCATCTGGTGGCCGCACGTAGCCGTCATGCAGCGAGTGGATGGGGGGGACGGGGGAGGACTGGTCGGTGACGCTTCTGTGCTGGGTGGTGGAGGTGACGGCCACGAAGCGCTTCAGTGAGTGGACCTGCAGCGGGCAGAAGACAGAGAGAGGAAAGGAAAGATTGATGGATGGATGGATGCTCTGTGGATGTGATGACTGCACGAGCTCTACGTCCTTGTTGCGTTGCGGACCTCAAGATCTCTCATCTTTCTGTAGAGCATGTTGACGCTGCGCAGGTCCCAAGTGTCACTGACCCACAAGGAACGCATCGACGCAAGAGGACCGACCCATCGATCATGTGCTCCTATCCTCCCTCACGTGTTGATGAGCAGCATGCCCATGCCCACGTTGTTCCGTTCCAGCACTGGTGCCCTCATGGTCCCGTCGTCGGCATGCTGATACTCGTCAACCGAACGAGCAAACTGAATGAACAACAGAGGCAAACAATGCACAGACACACAGCGATGCTGTCGCTTTCTGGCTGACCAGAGGGTCTTCGGGGTCCACAAAGTGATCATCTTGACGGAAGAACCCGGTGCGGACCCACCGAACGGCGCCACTGCCAGCCATGCGCCTCATACCACTCAGGGCGCTGCCAGCAGAGGGAAGGAAAAATGGGGGATCTGATGGTCGCGGCACGCTTGGCTGCCGCAGCGACGCAATGGCTGTCCTCGCAGGCCTCATAGAGCTGGCCATAGAAAACCTCCCAAAGCCGCCTCGGATGATGAGCTTCTTTTTGGAAGATCTGTCTACTGCAGCTCCCTGCTCAGCTTAGCTCGCAGATTTTAAACGGCCGAACCGTTTGCCGAGAAGCCAGCGTCCCACGACAAACGTGCTCTTCACTCCCTGTGCTCTGCTGCTTTTTCCGGAGGGCGACGACAGAAGAATGAGTAGTGCAGAACATCGGCCACTGAGACGGCCGCCTCCTTCGAGAATGTCGCAGCAGCCTCCATCACGACAACCACTGCGCCAAAGTCGGAACACGTCAGGGCCGCAGGCTGCTGCATCTGATGGGCATAGGGCAGTCTCACAGCCGCCGAGGCAGCCGCCCCGTGGCCAGAAGGGCCAAAAGGGAGACGGCGAGAAAGACTGCAAGGGAGTCGGAGGTCCGTCCCAGGGTCCGTTGGTGTCAAGGGGCCGCACATTGACGAGGAACGTGTCTTCAATGGTGGCCGGGTCGACCAAAAGCACTCGGATTCCGTCTGACGCCAGTCACGACGCCGCTGAGGTGACAGTGGGGGAGATACTTCAACAGGTCAGTGAGTGAATGGACACCGAACAAGGCAGAAATGATGCACTTTTTGAATGCATCCGTGTGTTGTCGACAAGCAGCTGGCTGGGCTTCGCTGTCAAGTGCGCCAGTTGGCCAAGAGCATCCCATCCCAACGGAGCCTCACTTTGCCCTCTCGCGACCACACGCCTCCTACAGCCCCAGCACCCAAGAGAGAGCCCCCCAAGGCCACAGCAGCCTTGCGAACTCAGCGCCGTATCTCTCTCGTGGAAAGGAAGCCCGAGCCGTCCTTGTCAATGTCTGCCTTGACCATTCCAATTCGGTGTCGTCCACGGACGACGCCGTCATATCCGCGCTGGCAATCCTTCGAGGACCTGCCGCCTGTGTGCATCGCAGCCATACAAGGCAGGAGGGCCGCCACGCAGGAGTCACTGTGGGATTTTCGAGCACATGCAGGACGACATCTCTCTTTTTCGGCCGGCTCTGCCAGAGACCAGAGCCGCAGAAGGGCAAGAGCTGGTCGTCGCCGCGATTGCGTGTCTCCCTCTCCGCCTCAGCATTGTGCCACGAGGATGGCAAGGCGGCTGCTGAGTGCCGGTGTGTCCGTCAATCGGCTCTATGAGGACCCTATGGCCGTCAGTGCGGCTCTACATCGTGCCCCCACGCAAACCAGCCTGAGAAGAAGCAGTGGCAGACGGAGGGAGAGCCGCCGAGCGATGGACGGCAATCAAGATCTTGTTCGCCCTGCACCTCCGGCTGTTGTCTACCACGTCATGCCGGAATGGATCCCACCGCCCCCAGGAGCAGCAGCAGCAGCACCAGAGGCGGCCGCCTACTGGACTCCACAAGGCTGCTACGCCCCTGTGTGGCCTTCCCTCACTCCACCAAGTCGGTATGACTCGCTGTTCGACGACTACAGACGAACGGCGGAAACTGAAGAGCAGCAGCAGCAGCAGCACCACCAGCTGCAGCGCCCTGCGGTTTCCTGGAACAACATCCCCACCTTCGAATCTTGTCAGAAGGAGGCTCACGGTCTCACTCCACCAGCACGTGCCTCACCAAGCGCCCTAGGCGATTGCCTACACGAGCAGCAGCAGCAGCCGCACCACCACCGCAGCACGAGGGCAGGACAGCCAACGAGACACGAAGAACCAGCAATCGATGCGCGCCAGGCGCTAGGAGAAGAGGCACTACCCGCCGGGAGAGACACTGCCGGCACTTCAGCAGCGGTGGAGGTTCCCTGCGATGATTGGCCTGCAGAGGGAGGGCGGCTGGCGTGTGAGGCGTCTGAGGGTCTTGCTTGTCGCGCGACAGGGCGGTTGTCGGCCTCTGCTGTGGCTGCGAGGGCTCGGCGGGCCAGGCCCCTGGCGCGAGTGACGAGAAAACTCTACCAAAAGGTGCAGATGCGATCGACGAGGCTGCCATACTTTTGTTTGTCTGCCTCCATGCCATCGGTCGTCCTTCTATATATGTCTGTGTTTGTGTGTCAGCATCTATGTGTGGGCTTCACTCGTCTGACCACCCTGCGGTTCGCGTCGTCGTTGCCCTTCGTCCGGGGAGATCGGGGGCTGGACATCAAATCCAACAGGACCGCAGAGACACCAGCTAAAGAGTCCAATTTCGACCGCTGGCGGAGAAAAATCAGTACGGGGGTGAGGCGAGGCGCGTGAAAGAGAGAGGCACGACATGGACTTATCCTCCTGGTACACGTCCATGGGCGTCTTCGTGTGTGTATGGAACTCCTGAAGACATTTCTGCCTTGAATAATGCATAGTCACACCGGTACTTCACACGCCGTAGAAAGAACACTTGTGTTGATGGCTCGACGTAAAATGTAGGCAGTGGTGAATACAGCATATGACCGCAGGCGGACGGCCACACACAACGCACAGGTGTGAGTAACGAGATAGATTCTCTGTCTCCCCGATATCGCGTTTATGTCGACCGTCTTGTCTATCACATACGTAAGGTAAGGCTGCTGCACCCGAGCCCTGCACCACATCAATTGAATCACGGGTCTCTACCGGCACGATGCAGCCATAATGTTACCATACTGCAGGTGGTACGCCTGTCTGTCTCCCTGTCTGTCTGCCTGTCTGTATGCGATACACAGCTGGCTGGCTCGACGTGCAGACAGCACAAGCAAGCCACCACAGGTGGGCAAGGCCGGCATCTCATTCACTCATTCACTCATTCATTCATCAGCTGTCCGTCATTCGAGCTGACTTGCGCGCCGGTCTGCTGGCCCTCCACTCGTCTATCCTGGCCTTCAGCTCAGGCTGCGGCTCCAGCTGATCCACCTGCACATGGACGGATGGATGGATGGATGTCCATCTTTCTTTAAAGGCGTCCCTCCGTGTGCTCTCTGTGCTGTGCTGCCTACTGAGAGCGGCTGTCGGTTGAATGGGTTGAGGGGGGTGGACAGCAAGTGGCGCTCAATGACGTTGCGATTCACCTGCAGGCACACGCACCACACGCACCCATACAAACCGGTGGACAGACGAGTGTGTGGCCGTGGCGTCAGAGCGCTTACAACATGTCCCGATGGGAGTTTGACGGGATCGACGAGCAGATCGTTGATAATCTCACACTGGAACTCCTCCTGCAAACCACATACAGCCACACACACATGCATATCAGTTGTCTGTTCGTCGTTTCTCTCACCGGAATGTCCTCATCCTCCATCTCCATCATCGAAACTGTCGCACGCTCCTCCAACTCGGCCACCTGGTGGACAGACACGCACCATCAGGCCACACACATGCCCCACAACCAGTACTTGTCGACGTACCAGATTATCGAATTTGGTGAGTATATCCCTGTTGATGAGTCCCTCCCGCCTGATAATGCGGGCGGCCTTCTTGAAGGTCTGCACCGAGAAGTAGCGCTCCTCCTTGGGGATCTCGTCGACGAAGTCCCCTCCCCTGCTGGATGACGCCAGGTAGGCGTACGTCTCGGCCACCTCCTTGAGCAGCTGCACGCACACACAACGAATCAGCGCACACACGGACACAGACATACACACAGGTGCGTATCTGAGTGTGGTGGGTCCACATCACCCTTGGTAGGCTGACTGACCTGCCGGGGGTCGAAGCCGTACTCCTCCTTGGGATTGGCCACCTGCCGGACAGACAGACAGACAGACATGAAGGCACCATCAGCCTGTGTGACCTTGGCAGGCAAGCCGTGCACACCGACCTTGAGCTCGAGAGCCTTTGGCCCGACGAGGCTGTGCACGTTGCAGTTCAACGCACCCACAATCCTGACAGACACCACACAACACACAGACACACACTACATGTTGCCCCATGGAGTTTGTCTGTCTCTGCTTACTGTGGTATGATGGGTTTTGACTGGAGCAGCACGTCGGGCACCTCCTTGGAAATGAGCCAAAAGAGAGCTATCTCCGACTGGCCGATCGTGATGCACTGACGAGCTATCCTGCATGCAGCCAGGCAACACACACTCTCACACACACATGACCACCCCACCCCACCGAGCCACCTTTTGAGTGTCGAGAGCTTCTGCCGCTCTGTAGTGGGGCCCTCGGGGTTCTGGCTGCCGCTGCCGGCGCTGGAGGCCTGTGTCTGCTGCTGCTGCTGCTGCTGCTGCTGTGGCTGTGGTGTCTCGTCCTCCTCTTCTTCGTCGGGCTGTGCGGTCTCGCCCTGCTGCTCCCGATGTCTGACCTCGACGATCTTGCTCATGCCCTCCTCGAGGAAATACATGGTGTCGTTGAGCAACATGTGGATGAACCGACAGAACACCTGACCAAAGAGAGATGGGGATGGATGGATGGATGTCTTGTTCTTCCGTGTGTGGGGGGTGGGGGTGGCTGGGAGGTATACCGCGTTGTCCGTCTGCCCGAAGGAGTGGAGGGCCTGCCGGTAGGCCTCGATCTGATGATATACACACACACAGATGTGTGGTGCACCTCGTGTATGTGTGTGTTTATTCGTTGACCTTGAGGAGCTTCTCAAAAATCTGTATGATGGGGTACCGCACGTTGAACTTGATGTGCTGACCTGCCCACCACCATGACGACAAGGAACACATAACGCATTCACACGGGGTGGGGTGGGGTGAGGTGAGGTGACCAACCTGTCGACTCCGCATCGATGAAGAGGCCGATCAGCGCGGGGACCAGGTGCCGACGCAGCACCGAAGAGCCCTCGACCTGCACACACACACATACAGATAGTCATGGTGATGGTGGCGATGCCTGGGTGTGCAGAGTGACGCCAACGGACTTTCAGGGTGTGGTTCTTGTTCTGCAGCATGCTCCAGATGATGGAAGCAGCGTTGCTGCGCGTGTGGGGATTGCGGAAGTAACCTGATAGACAGACAGAGACAATGGGCGAGACTTCTTCTTTATGTGAATGGGATGCCTCCCTCTTTCCTCTGACCGACCGGGCGATCCTATGCAGAACAGGCATGCGTTGATGAGCAGCTCCAGGTCCAGGTGGTCCAGGACCACTACCAACTGACCATGCCGACACACACACACAGGCACATATACACACCCGATGTCACCAGGGCGGCCACGATTCGACTGAGTGCAGTGCACTTACCCTGGACTTCATGCACTGCCGAGTAGCCGACCGTCGAGGGGAACAGACACATAAAGACATACAGCAGCAGCGGCAGCAGCAGCAGTGCAGGATGTCTCTCCCCCATGCCCCCCCTTTTTGTCGGCGTACCTCGTGTATGCAGTCGAAGAGGTCCTCCACCAGCGACACAGGCAGGCAGCAGAATTGACTGCCACACACACACACACACTCGCGGGAGTGTCGCACCATCTACTGCTCATTAGTTACGGTGAGGGGTCCTGCTTGAGGGGGAACCTCTCAGCCACCGCCCGCCACACCGCCGTTAGGGGGATGCCTAGACGATGCGGTGCCCATCCATCAGACCAGTGGATGCACTCATCGACCTCACTTGTCTGATCTGCCGATCGGCCTCTCACCCACCTGTCGTCTGTGTGTCGGTGGCGAACACGCCCGAGCTGGCGCCATTTGGGAGGTATGCGAAGATGTTGTAGAGGAGCCACGTCAGGAAGCGGGACACAAAACTGCCCAGCATCTTCAGGCTGACGAGGGGGAAGGCCAAACCAAACCAGCCAGGGCAAACCAAACGTATGGACACTGTGTGTGTGTGTGTGTGTGTGTGTGTATCCGTCACCTACAAGTGTGGGTCGAGCAGGTAGCACTCCCAGCAGAGCATCTCGCCTAGAATCAGGTCCAGCTCCGCCGCCTGACACACACAGACAGACAGAGGCAGATAGAGCAGCAGCAGCAAGAGCAGCAAGAGCAGCACAGAGTCCGTCGTACAGGTAGTGGCTTGTGTCCACGTGTGCGTGTGTGGTTACCGACCACTTGTGGGTTGGTCGGGGGGTGTCCGCCCGGGTTCATCTTCTGCAGATTGATGAGCACCCTCTCGTAGTCGGTGATGCTCGGCCTGACATACACACACGCACACACACACACACACGATCCGCCTCGGGCTCATTCATGTGTTCGTCTGTGTTGTCCTACCTGAGGATGACCCCACAAGCTCGAGCCGTCAGCCAGAACACTGCACAGACAGACAAGGACCAGCGACCTCATCAAGACACCACACCAAACTGTCTGTCTGCGTGCAGTCATTCATTCATCGCCGACGCACCCACCTTGTGTGATGAATTTGGGCTCTGTGGCATTTGCAGTGCGCACGAAGTCGCCCACGGCCAGCTTGACGGCCTCGTCGCTGCCGCCCAACTTGGAGTCGCCCGTCAGGGCACCCAAAAGGCGGCCGGCGTCGTCGCGCAGACAGAAGAAGGGATCCAACTCGGGCAGCTTCGCACCAGGGATGGGCTCAGCTAGCCTCAACAACGCCCAACTGCATGCACGGGGAAAGCACGTGTGTGGTGGGGAGTCATGTGTGTTAGTAGCAGCTGCTATGGCATACATACAGGGTGTTGAGGGCGAATCCCGATGCGCATCCGCTGAATCTGAGCATGAGGGCGGCCTGGGAGCTCATGGGGGCGTCCTGACCAAAGTGCCGTGCCATCTTGGCTCTCGACTCGTTGGCCTTGAGCACCGCCGCAAACCACTCTGAGCTCAGGAGGCCGAGAGAAACCACATACAGGCCAGGCCTCTGTGGTCGGTGCACTTATCAACGAGGCGCTAAGCTGCCTACCGAGTGTGGCCAGCCTGGTCTCACTCGACGCCTTAAGCAGCGGCATCACAGCCTGATCGATCAACACACACAGACTCACTTAGTCACGTCATGTTGCCGCACATTCCCGCTCTCGACTGGTAGGTAGCTTACGTCTCTGGCGCTGTCCTGGAGGTGTGAGAGGTCCTGCCTCAGCTGTTTTGTGCTCTGCTCAATGGCCTGCCGCGACTTCCTGCCAGTGGCCACGTCGCTGTAGTGCTTCTGACGCACACTCACTGCCGACGATGGCGGGGTGGGCCGCTGCGGGCTCGCAGACATGGGCATGGCCATGGGCATCGCAGCGGCCTGCTGGAAATCCAACTCGAAGTCCAACGTGCTGGGGCTGTAGGGTAGGCACATTTGAACACTCAGAAGTGAACGAATGAAGACAGACCGTTGTCTGAGTGTGTGTATGTGTGTGTGTGTCTGCCGGCTGACCCGAGTATGTGTCCGAGTATGGTCTCTGTAAGCAGCCTCCAGCCGAGGCCCATGGGAGTCGCGGGCGGCTTGAACACCGAATGGCTCACCAGCAGCTTGCCTGAGGGGAGGGAGGGAGGGAGGGAGGGAGGGACGATGACACATAGAGGGGTGTGTGTGTGTGTGTGTATCTGTCGGTTGGCGGTGGTTTCCTCACTGATGTGTTTGTCCTTGACGAGCTGCAGCAGGATGCGCAGAGCCACTCCCATCGGCTCACCAAGCTGCATCGCATCACCACACACAAGTGTGAGGGCACCTTCCCTTCACACACTGCCGGCTGGGCTGTCTGTCTGTCTGACCCTTTTCCCCTTGAGCTCTTGCGCCATTCGTTGGATGACCGGCCCGAAGATGCGCGGGACGTCATCAGCATTCTGGTCGACCAGCTGGTCCACAAACCTCCCGAAAAACTCCGGAGAGATGGCGGGGCCGTGCTCAAACGCCGAAAAGATGAGCTTCGGGTGCTGTCACATACACACACACGCACACGGAGAGAGAGAGAGATATGGGGCGCGCACTTGTCTGCCTGTCTGCCAGTCTGCCTGCCTGTCTGTCTGTCTGTCTGTCTGCTGACCTCCACGTTGCACTGCTCTGGCGTCGAAGGCGAGTGCTGAAACAGCTGTGGCACCTGGAAGTAGAGCGCTGCGTAGTTGACGATCATCTCATGTGCGTCGGCCTTGATCTGCTCGCGCCTCTCCTTGGGAATGGTGCGTGCCAGTGCATCCTCCTCGGCGGCCCGGCGGTAGGCCTCTGAGAGGTAGAGGAAGAGGGGCGGGGCGCGGAACGGCTTGGACAGCCGCGACATGAGCACCTTCTCCATCACTTCCCGGTCGCCCGACAGCTTGGGGATCTTGCTGCCGCCCTCGCTCAACTCATTTGCAACGTCGCCTGCCGCCCAAGTCAGTCAGTCAGGCAAACACACACGCAGCCACAGCAGGAGAGAGAGGGATGATACGTGGTCGTCTTGGTGGTGGTGTTGCTTGTGCTTGTGCGTACCTAGGTGTGTCTTGTGCGCCTCGCCGGTGGTGGTGAGGGTCACATCGAAGACCTTCGAGCACCACATGTGCTCGTGCTCCTTCTGCTTATCCATTCTATCTATCGTGCTGCTCTTCAACGGGAACCTTTCACAATAATCACGTTCCCGGCATCCCCACCCTCTTCTCTTTTCCCCTCTTTTTTGCTTGCGAGCTAGACCTCTGCAAGCTTAGCTCGGGAGGAAGCTGAGAAAGCCTTTCCTCTCCTGCAGTCATTCGGTGCAGCAGTCCTCTCCTTGGAACGATGCGGATCTTAGTTGTTCTCACCACCTTGGTGCTATGGGGTCTTGGATCTGTGTCAACAGCATTCGTGAAGTCCTCAGCCGTCAGCCACGCCAGCCAGCCATTACGACGACGCGCTGCTGCCTCCATTCCACCCCTCACACACACAAGCATGCATCTCGTTCCCGAGCACCTGGACTCGACAGATCTCGCCCACCTGGGCGCCCATTTCGGCGACACAGCCTTCTCATCCCACCCCCTGTCTGATTTCTACACGACGCTGCAAGTGGCTGCTGCCGACGCGGATGCCCCCAAGACGTCGCCCGAGGTGGCCCGCATCTACCGCAACATCTTTGTGTGGAGCATCGGGCTGCCCATCGCCTTGGTGATAGCCACGCTGGCCCTCACTAGGGTGGCGGCCGACTCGGTGGGCAAGTGGGGGCCCGCTGCCGTGGCGCAGAGCGAAGAGGCCAGGAACGAAGCCGCCAGAGCGGAGGCCAGCCTAATCCGCAAGGCCAAGGAGACCGACCAGACCACTCGGATGCCGTTGGGGCTGGGCGTCGGGGGCGAGAGGGACGTCAAGAGGAGAGAGAGGGCGGGAGATGAGCTCAACTTTTAGCTAGCTATAGGGCGCGGTGCGGTGTGCAGAGTGCCGCTGATCAAGCAATGGTCAAACCTTTGAAAGTTTTTCGTGTGTGGGGTGTGTGTTGTGTGTCTGTGGTTTGTCAGTGAAGCGCATGAGTCATTCATAGATTGGTCGGTTGAGAGACTGACGTACACACAGACAGACAGACAGACAGACAGGCAGACGTGTAGTGTATGTGTGGGCAGGCAGGTGCATGTTATCATCATTATTCTGTGCCTATGTGCCCCCGTATACGATGGATGGATGACAGACACGAACAATGGTCCATCCACCCACCCATCCATGTGAAAGAATGACACCATGCGATGCATCCGATGTGCCCACCCACCGGCAGCAGTCTCTTTCCCGCCCCTTATCTCACAGCAACAGCACACACACACACCCAGTACTGAGAACGAGAGAGAGAAAAATATGTCTGTCTGTCTGTCTATCGGCCAGCGGAGAAGAGAGGACAGACAGGCGTCCTGTCTGTCAAGAAGTGTGTCAATCTACATGGGGTCCCGACTGTACTTGCGGCGGCCATAACTGAAGAGGAATCAGACACAAGGAGAGCGGTGTTCCCAAAGAGGTGGCCAGGGTGAGTGGCTGGGCGGTGAGTGAATGAGTGGGTGGGCGCCTACAAGGGTCGTTCGGCTTGTTCGTCGCTGTCCTCCCTGCCACTCAGCTCTGTCTCGTGAGGCGTGAAATACGGCGTGTGGCTCACTGCACCTGCACACACACACACATACACATACACACATCTGGACCAGCTGTCTCTCTCTATCGTGCCATAGAGTGTGTGCCTCCGTCTGTGGTCCGTGCGTGTGATGTCCCTCCCTCCCTCCCTCCCTCCCTCCGACCTTTGTTTGCTTCCCTCTGCTTCGCCGTGACGGGTGTGCCGATGAACACATGCCGCCCTCCACCTGTGGACTGCAGCCACTCGATCGGGTCTGAGGCCCGACGGCCCCTGTGTTGGGGGCTGGCCGAGATAGACCTCAGTAGGCTGTCGTTGATCCTCAGCAGCTGCTCGGTGAGCGACAGGGCCTCACCGCTGGCCATCTCCAGCCCCCAACGCTCTATGGACCTTAACGATGCACTGCACACGCACACACACACACACACACGCACACACCACACACGCAAAGAGAGAATGCAAGCAGAGCAGATCAACACACATGAGATGGGAAAGAGGCGGGCGCGTGACGTACCTGAGTTGTTTTCGCCATAGTTTATCGAGGACATGGCAAAGATTGGACGAGTAGGGCGCCGATGCCGCTTGCCGGTGCGCCAGCCATGTCTCCCACTGCCGCATGCAGGCCTGCATCCGCCGCTGCTGCAGCCGGTGCACAAGACTGACGAGCCTCTCGGCCGGCGGCTGGTGGGGCCATGCTACAGCCCTCGTGTGGCGATGCCACCTCCTCCAAGCGTCCATCTGCGCCCGCCTTCTCGCCCGATCCACAGCCCGACGGAGGAACACCTGCCGCCTCTCATAGTCATCGACCCTCTCGCGTAGCCGGGCCCAGGCGTGGACGAGCCGGTCGTTGACGAGCTTGAGCAGCATCGATCTCAGATAGCAGGACCGCACGTGCACATAGCCCTTGGCCGACTCCTGGCTGTGAGTCACCAGCATGTCCACCATAATAGCGTCGCTCGACGCTTGGCAGCGGCTCGCCTGCGCCTCACTGGCGCCCACTGCATTCGCCGCCCCGACGGCCGAGGCGCCAAGCCGCATTTGCGAGAAGGCTGAGCCACACCGCTTCCGCAGCCAGTCTGCGATGCGTGAAGCCGCTGCCTCCCTCTGAGACGCCTGGGCCCTCCGCATGGCTGAGGTGGCCTTCTCCTCTGCCTGCCTTTGTGCATCCTCCAGCTGGCGAGTCATCTTGGTCCGGGTGGCCTCCATGGCCTCAGCGAGGTCCGCCATGGCCGCCGCACAGCCACGGTGGGCATTCCACAGCAGCCTCACAAAGGCCCGAACCAGCCGTCGCTTCTGCCGCCAGAAGTGCCACGTCGCCATTCTCTGCAGCCCCGCCTCAACCACTTTCCGCCTCTCCCTTTGCAGTTCGCTGTCCACGGCCTGCTGCAGCCTCACAAGCGTCGCATCTGCCGACGCGGCGGTCCGAAAGCGCCCCAGCGGCACTGGCCCGGCAGCTGCAGTTGGGGCCAGGCCCGCGTCGCTGCCCGCGGCCACGGGCGGTCCTTGTGCGGCCTCCTTGCTACGCTGCACGGCCTGCTGCAGTGCCTCAATCCATCTGTCCATCTCCTCGTGAGTCTCGGACCGCAGTGAGAACTCCCGGCGGCTCTTGGGGGTGGCGGGCGACGTGACGGCGAAGCGAATGACGAACTTGGTGGGGTCTTTCCAGGTGGCAGCGGAAGTGACCTCCGTGACGGTGGCGAGTGCGATGGCCTTTTTGACTTCGCTGCATTGGTGCGAGGCGAATGCGATGAGGAAGTTGTGTTGGATGGCGTACCACTCCATGGCCCAACGCTTCCGGTAGAGGCCCTTCAGACGCTCCAGCGGCCCCTGAAGCTCACAGCTCTCCATTCTCGCAGTCTCAGACAGACGGGGGGCGAGCTCGCGCATGCAATGCAGATCACACGACGTATGTCGGCGTCACCATCCAAAGGCATTCACACACGAAAAACACACGGCAGGTCTCATGCAGATCTGTACAACAACACCGCCCCATCGTTGGTCACTCAGGGACGGAGAGAGATGCATAGTCACTCAGTCAGACAGACAGCCAGCCAGCCAGCCAGCCAGCCAAACAGACAGACAGACAGGCAACAGATTAGACAGGTGCGTCTGTGTGTATGCTAATTCCCCCGGCCGGCCACGCTAGTAGCAACATCAGGACCGACGCTGGCCGCCTGGCCTTTTCACGACGGCCCCTCACACGCCACACGCGCTTGCACGGCCCCTCACCCCCATGACATCCCATCAGCGATGCCGATGGTCCGTCCGTCTGTTCGGGCGTCTTCAAGAGATGCAGCACAGATCCGGCAGACGACAAAACTGCCGGCCGCCACCTAGATGGCGGCCAGCAGTGTTTGTCCGTCCGTCCGTCGTTGGGTGGATCTGGTTGCATGGTCTTGAGGACGCCCTTATCGTCATCCGCCGCCACCTCTGACGTTCATCCTCGGCCGGAGACCCCTCATGTTGGGCCCTGGTGGCCCGCCATCTCCCGGCCGCCGGCGGCCGTTGCTGTTGACCTGAGGGTGGAAGAGCGTCTTGAAGAACAACAACACCTGCAGCCGCGACACGACAGACAACACACACACACACACAGATGTATGTGGCCTGGCGGCTGGGTGCGCGTCGGTTCTTTGGGGACCCACCATGGCGACGAGCCACCAGAAGAACCGAATGATGGGATTGTTGCTCTCTGCGGGACCCTCCTGCAACCAAACACGCAGCGCACACACGTGTGTCGCTCTACTTCGCAGCGGAGCGTATTCTCTGTAATCCAATCACCCACACCTGTATTTTGCCGCCGACGATGCGCGGAGGAGCCCGCTCCATCCTTGTCGGCTGCTACAAGGCCCGGTAGTCGCCCTTAAGACTGGAGTTCTCCTCTGAACGAAACACACAAAAGCCACAGCAGGTCAAATCAATTGAGTTTGGAAACGGGCTCAGCAACAGTCCACGCTACCTTTGTGTCCTTCCGTTCTTCCTTCTCCTCCCTCCTTCATCTGCGAGCTTGGAAGCAAAAGCGCGCGGTCAGCAGCAGCAGAAAAAGGGACGAAAAAGGAGGATGTCCTTCGTCAGATGTCGATAGAAACTGTCAAGGAGCACTTCAACTCGATAAGGGAAAGCAAAGGTGAGTGAGCAAATGATACAATGATACACAGATCTGTGCAGCATAGATCAGGACATGCATCCGTGTGTGTGTCGTTGTGTGTGTGTGCACTGCAGTGGTGGTAGACTTGCGTCCGATAGCCAACGCGCCGGTGCTCAAGACGGGCAAGTTCAAGGTCTCGGGGCAGGAGACCTTCGCCGACCTCAAAAGCAGAATCGAGACCATGGTCAAGAGAGATACAGTGGTGCGCATGAGTGGAGTGCACTCATTCCAGACAAACACGGCTGCCTGCCTGCCTGCCTACCTACCGCTGCCTGCCTGCCTACCTACCGCTGTCTGTGTGCTGTTCTTCCCTCGGTCAGTATTTGTACGTCAACAACAGCTTTGAGCCCTCGCCTGACGACTACCTCTTTGACCTGTTCGAGGTGACTGACTGAATGACTGACCCTCTCACGGCCCCTTGCCAGACTGTACGGCTCGTCTGTGTGTGTAATGTGTGTGTAATTGGATTGGATTGGTCCGATGGTGGGACTGCAGTGCTTCAAGACCGGCGAGCAGCTCAACATCGGCTACAGCCTCACTCCCGCATTCCACTGAAGCGAACCGAACCTTCCATCGCGCTCACCTCCCTCCCTCCCTCCACCTTTCTCTGTCTCTCTCTCTCTCTCTCTCTGCCGACGGACGGACGGACTTGTTTCCCTCCCCGGAAGCGCGTCTGTGTCATGACGGACCCTGAAGTGACCATCGGTGTGAGGGAAGGGAAACGGGAAACACAAAACACACACACACACACAAGCACACTGGTCACCACTCTTGCGTGCCTGTGGCTGGCTTGAATGGAATGCACTGCAGAGTTTGTGCGTGAGCTGGCCCAGAGTGCTTCCGACATGATCGGCCAGCAGAACGAGGCGTCCACCAAGCAGACCAACGCCAAGGTCAAGGTGTCGGCTGCCGACCTCGTGACGGAGACGGACGTGGCGGTGGAGAACCTCCTCAAACAGACCATCCACAGCAGATTCCCCACACACCAATTTCTGTGTGGTCAGCCAGCGATACGACGGAAGGAACACACAGCAGATAAGATGGTTATGTGTGTGTGTGTGTCTGTGTGTGTGTCTGTGTCTGTGTCTGTGTGTGTTCAGAGGAGTCGTCGGATGCGTCGGCAGAGCTCACTGACGCGCCGACGTGGATCATCGACCCGGTGGATGGAACGACCAACTTCTACCATGGAGTACCCTACTGCTGCGTCAGCATCGCATTCGCCAGACACAAAACAGGTGGGTGGATGCGCTGCTGCACAGCCGCCAGCAGCCAGTCACTCCTTCTTTCGTTCAGTGCTGTTTGGGTGCGTCCAAGCGCCGTTGCTCAAGTGGGTCGACGTTCAAGCGCCATGTCTGGTCCGTATATGTGTGTGCATATGTGTGTATGTCGGTAGAGAGGCCTGGTGGGCCGAGAAGGGCGGCAAGGCCTGGCACATGGACAACAGCGGCAATGTCAAATGCATCTCGACATCCACCACAACTGATCTCAACAAGTGAGCAGCCACCAAGCAGCAGCCAGTTGACCCCCCTCGAGGCTCATGCACGACGACATATATGTCGTGTGTGTTGGGTTGTTTCTCTCTCCGCGTGCCGTGCAGGAGCCTGCTGTCGACGGGTTTCCTGGTAGCGACGGTGCAGCGCCTCAACAACCCCAACCTGAGTGTCGACGACCGCCAGAGGATCGAGCACAAGAGGGACCTGGTCATCCGGCAGCTACAGGCATTCCTCCCCCATGTCAGTCAGTCAGTCAGTGAGACACATACATAGTTAGTATACACGAAGGAAGGCCTTGACCGGCATCTGTGTGTGTCTGGCCTCCCCCCATCCATCAGGTTCACGATGTGCGTCGGTTGGGTGCCTGTGCGCTGGACCTCTGCCACGTGGCCTGCGGGAGGATGGACTGCTACTTCGAGTGCGGCCCAAAAGAGTGGGACTTGTCCGCTGGTGTGCTCATAGTGTACGAGGCGGGGGGCGTGTGCAGCAACTATGCGGGCGCCCCCCTGTCGGACAAGCTGGACGACTGTGAGATAGTTGCGTGCGCGACGCCAGAGCTGCATGACAAAGTGATAGCGCTGCTGAAGCAAGTCGAATGAGGGTGGAGACGCCTGTGTCTGACAAGTGCTTTGTGCTATTGCCACTTTTGTATTCGGCCTTCACCGCGCCGATTGGTCGTGGACCACACACGGCGGCGGACAGATGCATATATATCTGTGTGTGTGTGTGCATAGATTGACACAAGTTTTGAGTCAGTCGTCGGTCAGATCAACATGCACGAGTGAGTCCCGCGATCACACACATCACCGAACTAACATCACTCACTGGTCGGTCAGTCAGGTTTGCCAGTCGTCGCCCGGCCCCGGCGGCCCCGGCAGCCAGAGGGATACGGCGAACCGCTTCCGATGACACAGCAGCACCTCGTGGGGCATGTCACGACTCCTGCACACACATGCACCGCACCCAGGACAGATACAGAACAAAGACACACAGAGGCCGTAGACACAACCACCATTTCCACACGCACCTGAAGAGGACGAGTCTGTCGCCCTTGGGCAAGATGTCCTGGATGGCAGGCGTGTCGTCGTCGGCCTCACTCCCATCGCCGTCTGGAGGTGTGCTGCCGCCCTTCGAGCGGCCATATGGGTTCCGCCGCGGCCCATATATGCGGAGGGCCCCGCCGTCACTCTCCTGACCGGCCAAGCAAGCATACGGCCGTGCAGGGCTCTGCAGGCCTGCTGCCCCCTTGTTTGGTGTGAGTGATCTGTGCGTGTGTACCGTCCAGTCCTGTGGATTGGGGTAGTAGATAGCCGTGATCTTGCGGCCATTGTTGGTCTTGGCGTCGTAACTGCAACCACAAACAGCGATAAGCAGCTGAGCTGGCTGCGGCCGGCATTCTTGTGTGTCTGTTCTGTTCTGTTCTTCGCCTGACCCTCCGTCGATGTGTCGCTTGTAGAAGGTGCCCTTGGCGTGATAGCACGCCAGCTGAAACGTCGACGACATCTGCACACACAGATTACACACACACAGATCCACCACCGGCGTGTTGAAGTGGTGGGTCTGGCGTGGTGTGGTGTGTTGACGACCTGCAGGTAGAGGTTGGCCTTCTTGTTGAGCTCAAATGGGAGGGACGACAGCACCTCAAACACACCCCACAAATGCTGCACACACACGGGAGAAGCCAGATAAACGGTGGGGCTCTGTTTAAGGATAGCATCGTGCATCTACGTGAGTGTGGCTGGGGCGGTGTCACTGCTGACCTTGTGTTGTATGCGGTCGATGTCGGCGAATGAGAACCAGCCCATGTCGTCACTCCTCGTCCCGCTCAGCTGCTGCTGATACTGCACCGCAGACATGACAACCAGCCGTACGCCACGCTCATGGCCGTACTGAGTGAATGTATGGGTGTTTACGGTACCACTTGGTTGAATGTGCTAGCGTATTCGAGCATCTCGACCTCGCGATACACCTCGGTGTACTCCTGCATGCACCGCATACAGACACAAACACCCATATCCATCCATCCATCCAGCCGCGCATCCAGGATACACCCACATACACACCTGTCCGCCCATGAATCCGTCCTGCACAGCGAACCCCGTCCTCATCAAGCTGTGGATGGTCTCGGAACGCAAGCGATCCAAATCAGAACCGCGATAACCACCTGATCAGCAAGCAGGGGCCGGGAGGGGAGGGGGCCACATAGGGTAACATAGGGTAGGTGTGTGCTCCACACAGGCGCTTCATCCGTCTGTCCGTCTGTCTGTCTGTCTGCTTGTCTAGTTGTGCTGACTGACCCACCAGGTGTTGCGAGCAGCCCGCCTTCCCGACTCTCCAGCGACTGGGCACTGCGGATCTGCACACACACACATATCCACACAGACCGGCTGCCTTTGGTGCGGAGACAACTGACCTTTGCGTTGACGGTTTGCAGTATTTGTCTGATGAGGGCCTCCTTGAGTATCTCCTTCTGCACGCCAATGGCCGTCTCCTCGTCCATCACAGCTCCCTCCTCTGACACACACGTGCAACGATACAAACACGACCGAAGGTGTGCTGAACTGGTTGGTGTGATGCTGACCGACCCTGGGCGGCCTTTCGCCGGACATTTTCGAAGATCTCTGCTGTTCTCTCCATGACGAGCACCACCATGTCCCGCAGACCGTCATCGCCGCATACCTCATCCAACAGCTGACCCACACCGTCATCTGCACGCATACACACAGTCACACGCCATCCAGGCAACCAAGCAACTAACGTGAAATTGCGTCTTTCCCTCTCGCTGGGGTGTGTCTGACCAGGTCCTTTCTTGCACGTGTGATGGTGGTGGTGGTGGTGATGCTGGTGGTGGTGGTGCTGGTGGTCATGGCCATGATGGCCCTCGTCATCTGACGCATCATCTTCGTCTGCCGCATCATCGTGACAGTGGTGGTGGTGATGCCGGCCCTTCTCCTCGGTCCCTGTGCCGGATCTGAGTGGGTGAGGAGAAGCAGAGCAGCCAACATGGATGGATGGATGCCATGTGTGTATTCGACCGCCTGTCCTCTACCTCGCCCGCCTCTCTAGATCCAGCATCGCTCGATGGTCGAGAGTGCTCCGCAGCACCGCCACCATCTTGTCCACCGTCTCTTCGTCCCATTCCACCTCCACTTTCCCGTCCATTTTCGCATCTTGCGAGCTTTGCCCATCTGGCTCGCGTTCCTTCTGGGGGATTGAATGAATGCAGATGGCGCCAATGTCGCCCGGAGTGCTGTAGCAGTGCCTTAAGAGAGGACCTGCACAGTGCCAGCCATTTTTTACCCGTCCACTTGCCCACCAACACTCTTTCTTCTGTCTGGCTCAGCCTGCATGTCTCTTTGGCTGCTCAGGTGCGTGTTCCGTCCCCCCAGAGCCCCGCATATCAGCGGCTGCTCCGCCAAGGCCATCCTCTCGACACCATGATGCGGCTGGCAAGGTCAATCCATGCACGCATCATGCACCAGCTACAGTCCCCCTCTCGCCCTCACACCACACGCCATGCCAGCCACCATGGACTCACAGGCCAATTGTGGCACTATATGTGTGTATGCCCAGACTCCCCTCACGCGCCGTATCGTTCATATATCCATTCCCATCCAGCAGTCCCTTCCCACCAGGCGTCACGTCACCTCGCCTCGCCCACCTACACAGAGCGCAGCACCCACAGCACACATGCACACCCAACACAGAGAGATGGATGGAGCACTCATTTCACCCCGACACTCACCCACCTTTATATAATAAGGTCTTGCGCAGTCTCTTTCTGGTTGACCACCATATTTGCTATGGCGTCCCTCAGCAGGCCGCCCACCAGGGGGGCGGTGGCGGGCCGGCGGTCCGTGAAGGCAGCCGATGCATCACCCACTGGCGGCTCGGTGGTGAAAGCAGACACACACACTGCATTCAGCAGAACAGCACACGTCAAAGGATGGCTCAATCAGCAAAGGATCTCTTATCCGCCCCCTACCTATATGGGTCATGTTGGTATGAGTGATGAGAGTGATCGATGCGACGAATGGGCTGTCTAACGGCGTCAGCAGCAGCCGCCGAAACTCCACCCTATCGGCCCACCTGCAAGCCATGACGGCGGTGCATCGGTTGGGGGGCTGGTGGGGCGACTGGTTGAGGAGGCCGTCCAGCACACCGCCGTAAGCATGGCTGAGGAGACCAACACATAACAGAGGGAAGAGGCCGTGATGGATGGATGGATGTCTGTCTGAGTGTGGTGTGTCCTGTGTACCGGTACGCCCGAACCCACGGAGTTCTGCCCGGATTGGCCATTCGGGGGGCCAAGATGGTCTTCATGATGAACGCCGACACCGAGGCATCAGTGGTCTCCTCACCACCGGCCACCCAGCTGCCCCCCCGCGGCGTGATTCGGCTTCTGACGGGCGGGTTGTCGTTGATGGCGTGTGTGTGGAATGGGTGGGCGGGGGGGAGGGGGGAGGGCGATGTCCAGCTCGAAGCCCGCCTCGTCGCGGAGGGCACGCACCATGCTCCATAGCGCCTCGATGGCCTTGTGCTTCCCGTACTTTGCTGCAATCAGGAGCGGTGTCTTGATGTAGAGGACATCCTCACGCGAATCCTCTGCGCCTTCCTCGGGATTCAGGCCGCGTCATCTCCAGCCCTCAAGAGCAGTGCGGCCATAGTGCCGTCGTTGACTATGACGGCCACGCACAAGGGCGATAGTTGATGATCTCATAGCCGGTTGATGTCAGCACGACGATCAATCAGCGCCGTTGCAACCAAATCGAGGCTGCCTTGCGATGCCGCCAAGTGGAGAGCCGTGACGCCATCCGTCTTGGCGTACTTGTTGAGCAGCAAGCGCACCATGGTGACGTTCTGCAGACCACTGCCCCAACTGCCGCTGGCAGACGCCGGTCATGACAGGGGACACGTAGACGAGATGCTGACGAACCCCGAAAAGTCATGGTCATCAGCGGCGAACTCCAGCTCGTCGCGATACAGAGGCCATCTTGTGAAGAGAAGAGGCAGCGGAAGAGAAGGACGGCCACGACGTCGACGTGATCTCCGATGGTTGGATCTGGTGATTCCATCTCAGGCAGGCCGTCTTCCCTTGAACCGCACACGTGGACTTTGATGAGTTGGGAGTCGCCGCTCTTGGACCCGATGAAGAGCAGCCCCTGCCAAGCGGGGGCCGCTGCGTCCCCCATGCGATCCGCAAGGGGCAGAAAGGCCAGGCCGTGGGAGCTCGGGACGCTGCCGGCACCCAGAACAGTAAAAAACAGGAAGAGATGCCCGACGATTTTGGACAGCGTGGACGTCACCCAGACTCTTCGATGAGGCCTCTGAAGCACTCGGGGCTGCCGAACATTCCGTCTTTCTCGGGATCGACTGAGGATCGATTTTCCATTTTTCTCGCTTCTGGCAAATTCATTTTGAGATTTTATCACACGAGTGTCTCCTCAGTGAGACCACACACACCTTCAGTGAAACAAGCGGGCAAAACAAAGAGAGAAAGGGGTGAATGGACTCTACCTTTGAGCTCGCAACTTTTGGTTTCTGAAGAGAAGGCGTCAGGACAGCTCATTGGCCATCGCTGACATCGCAGGTACGCAGAGCTGGTGCATCCCTCCCGTGGACTATCTACGTGTGGACGTTGACAGAGGGGCATTTCCATCCGGTAGGGCTCGGCAAGGGTGAGAGAATCCAGCGTGGGAGGCCTCAGCGTGCGAACGAGGACATGTGAGGGATGCAGGAAGGACCAATAGACACGCCCGACCACAGGAGGTGGACTGGCGGAGAGTGTAGCTAACCGACGACACGCGTATCAGCTGAGGTGAGATGGCGCCACTCATCCAATGTGTTGGCCGATGATGGATTCCTTCGAATGAAGGAATGTATGTATGTGTTGCTGGTTGCAGGTTGCTTCACCCGCCGCTATGGCGGCCTCTTCCTCTGATGCTAAGCCTGGTGGTGGTCGTGCGAGTGAGAGCGATGAGGAGCGACAGCGTCGGGCTGAGAGGGAAATACGCTTCTGGGTGAATGCACCGGTGAGCCAACCACACTCACAAGAGGATACACACCCTGAGGGGTATTCACATCTCTTGCCGTCCCGTGTGTTGTGTGGGCTGTGTGCAGCCCGGTCTCATTAGCATCGTCATGGCCTTCCTCCCCATCAACCTGCTCATCCAGCTGCAGCTGCCGCCCCTGATGTGGCAACACGCGGCCCGCAAACAGCACCACCTCACCATCAGCGCGGCCGACGACCACGAGCGGTCGTTCTGGCAGAGGATCACCATCGATGTCGTCAAGGAATGGGCCACACACCTCAGACAGCTTACCTCCATGATCCTCCGCCACCCCGTCCGCTTCCCTATGTGGTGTTTCGACGTCTTTGTGGCCATCATCGAGGGCCACATTGCCGGCCGACGGGCAGCCAACATCCAAGGAGGGACACTGCATACCATCACCATCAAAAAGGGGGTTCGGCTGACCGGCACGGCGAGGCAGAGCGTCGCACGCACAAATCCGCCCCTCCCAGCCCCTCTCGACCCGTTCCCGACCCTCAACGCACTCGAGACCATTGAGGGTCTGACCCGCGAGCATCGACAGCTGGCCGACCGACACTGCCTGGTGCCCTCACTCGCCACCGTGCGGCAGGAGGGGTGGTGGGCTGACGGATATCTGTTGGGCCGACTCATCACTTCGTCCCGCTCCCTGCGGTGCGTGGACGGCAGCCTTGACGGTGAGGGGTGGGCGGATGTGTTAGAGCGCATCCCTGCGGCACCGGCTGGGCAGCTGAAGGGGGGGCTACTCGCTCAGCTGGAGAGCATCGGCACTATCGTGGTCAATGATGCAGAACATGACGAGGACGATCTGGCGGGCATCGAGCGGCTTCAGGTGATCACAAAGGGCAAGACAGCAGCGCCCGTGGGTTGGCTCGTGATGTCCTTCCTGCATGTGTGTGTCTTCTTGTCTGCCTTCAGGAAGTGCTCGTTGCGCGTGGCTGCCGACGGTCGCTCAAGCAGCTGCACGTGGCGTTGTTTGCCGCATGCATCGACCGCCACAGCATACCCATACTGCTGGCCCTGGACCGGCTGGTCACCAGGTGCTGCCGGGCGGACGCCCCACTCACACTCACCACCGCCCTCGTCCGTTCCGGCTTCGACCTCTCCATCTTCTGCGACAACAACTTCCCCTCCCACCCCTCGCCCTCACTCAAGACCATGATTCAGCAGCTGGCGCAGCAGGCCACGTCGGTGGCATACACCTTCACCCAGGACGGCCTCACCGACCCGCACACCAGCCCCAGCCCATCGGCCATCGAGATGGCCAAGACACTCTCATTCGACAAGGCCACCGAGGTGGTCGTCGAGGATGCCCCTGGCTTCCATCTCCCCGCCACCACCCCACCGCCCCACCCCGCCATCATCACCCACATGCAGCCGTTCCCCAAAGCCTCAGGGCTGGAGGTCTGGAGCAAGCTGAGCGGTGCAGCCGCCGCCCGGCTGTTTGCCAGCAAGATGCCCAAGGAGCTGACGAGTGTGCACATTGGATTCATGTCGGGTGGGGAGAGGTTGGGCGTGTTGACGGCGCTGGGGAGGGACAGGAAGGTGGGTACGGTGAAGATGGGGGACATCGGTGTCGACCAACTAGAGCAACTGCTGGTGGGGGCGGCCGACGGATTGCCGACGATTGGGAGACTAGACTTCGCGCTGACACGTACGCCGAGAGAAGGGTCGTGTGCCCGTCCATCCTCATTGCTGCCTTGTGTGTGTCCTTCTTTAGTGCCCGATGGTGTGGAGGATGCGGGCAGCTTCGTCCGCGCCCGCCTCTCATCGGTGGTCCTCTGCATCAGGGGCCTGCGGCATGTGGAGCTGAGAGTCGACAGGACGACAAACGAGCATCATGGTTCCATCGAGGCCTCCCTCGCTGTCGGCACCAACATCGAGGCCACCAACATCGGTGCCTTCACCATCAAAAGCATCAGACGTGTCAACTTTGGGGGCACATGGGTGAAAATAACTGCACCATCCGATGCCTGAAGGTAATGGCACTTATACACACGAAGGCCTGTGTGACCGTGTTCGTGTCTGCTCTCTCTCTCTCTCTGTGGGTGTGCGTGTGTGTTGGTGGTGGTGTCTGTCAGGCCGACCATTGTGTGTGGTGGATCATTCATAGCGGAGGGGCAGACACTTATGTGCTGCATAGCATAGCTGCGGGCCGTGTGTATGTGTGTGTGTGTGTGTGTGGACGAGTGACTAGGTAGCTGTGCAGAATTGACGGATGGGGGCTGATTGATGCTGCTGTGTGAACCCACCCCACCCACCCACCCATCCATCCGTGACGCATGGCTTGCCGTTGCTTGCCCCACCCACACATAACATACACGCATGCATTACATTGCCGTGGGTAACATGGGTGGGTTCTCGGCCTGCCTTGCCTCGTGCACGTCGGCTGTCTCGTGTCCCTTCTATGTCTCTGTATTCTGCATTACATGTAATTTGTATATATGTGTGTGGACGTGTTGGTGGCGGTTGCCTTGCTTGCAATTGCTCGGCGCGGCGGACCCAGACATATGTCTGATGCTGCAGCTGATGTGTTAACAACATATGTGCACACCACCCTCTGTCCACTGGTGTCCATCCATCCATCCATCCGCCCACATGACAAGGCACCCGCCCCATCACAAACATGGACATACAAAGGTTCACCGTAAGTTTGCCATACATAGCCGGAGAGACAAGTAAGGCTCATGCTCCGGCTCCGACGGCTGCCATCAAGCAAACACCCTGACTCTCATGGTACATGGGATCGAGGGCAAAGATCTGTCCACAAATATAAAATGCAGCCAGCGATGTGACATGTGGGCTGAAGACACAATATATGGACAAAGACATGGCAACACAGAGAGCGACATGGGTCAAATAATCAGCATCTTCGTTCGCGCACTGCTCCACAGCCAGCAGGTGCCTCCAACGCCTCGAACAGACCTGCTGCTCATGGGGCTATATGTGGCGCCAGAGAGCCGGGAGACCTTGTTGCCATTCCTGCTGTCGTGGACCGCGTGGATAAAATGGCTGCGGGTGGGGATGGATGGCTGTGAACGAGAGTGAAAGGCCCTGCCACGAGCTGGAGAGCTGTGTGTCGGACTCCTTTCCTTGTTTGCCGCTGCGGTCGGTGGAAGGGGGCCGGCCGCCGCTGTTGAGGTATCGGTAGACGTGATGGGGGAACTCACGGTGGTGCCCCGAGGCCTCACGCTGACGTGACATCAGCTCAGCCCGCCGACGCCTGGCGTCCTTCATAAACTCATGTTGTTCGACGTGTGGCAGTATGCCCGAGTGGCCTCCATGCGGCTGTAGTCGAGCACCAGGGCGCGCTGACGGTGCCGCGCTTCCGGGCGAGGGCGCCACCCCCAACAGACACGCCCGGACCTCCAATCATTACACTATCTCATACAGCACCCGCCTTCCTAGCTCCTCCGTGCGATGCCGTCAGCCCCTCGCCCCTACACGAATGCCCGGCAACGCCTGCGAGGGAACAGCGGACAAAGCGCAAACAGACACGTGTTTGGTATGGACCGCGCGCAGAGAGCCGATGCAAGCCGTGTGTGTTTCTTCTTACTTGATTGTGGCGTCTGTGAGTTCTCCTCATACGGATGCATCCCCCACGTAATCAGGGCCTGTGCCATTGGCAGGTCCTTCCTGGCCTCCTCGTTGCGTCCGGCCCCTCTCCCTTCCTCCCACTGGAGCCGCTTCTCCACCGCCCCCAGCAGCCACTTCCACCTCTGCATGGCGCTCGCCTCCGTTGCCACCCTCTGCAGATCGCTGACCGCCGTGGCCATGTGAGAGTTGGCGGCCGTCCGCATCTTGTGCGCCTCCTGCCTCACGGGACCGGCGAAGTGCCGCTCGTACAGCGACTCGGGGTGGCCAACGGCTTCGCTGAAGAACCACCCCTCTTCGCCGTAAAGCTGCCAGCTGTGCCGGCCCTCGAGAGGATCCATGTGCAGCGCCATGAGTGTGGCTGCCGCCAGCGAACAGACGGAATAGCCATCCGCCTTTCGGCTGAACGGGCCGCGGTAGGATGGCGCCGTGGGTTGGGGTGCCGCGCTGGTGCTGCTGGTGCTGCTGTCGCGAATGGCGGCCTCCATGAGGGCGGCGACCCGTCGGATGGCGGCGGGGTCGCAGTGGGCTGCTCGGCCTCATCGAGCTGCGGGACACATTCAGGCTTATGTGCTGTGTCGACTTTATTGCACGTAACTGACGTACTTGTCGGATCTGTTGTGGGACTAATAGATGGTCCGAAACACTGTGGAAAGACGTCCGCGGATATAAAATGAAGGCAGCGATACCCTGCGGCTGAAGACACAAATACGGAAAGAGACATGGCGAAACACAAACAAGCACATGGAGGAAACAACACCCATACCTTCTCTTCCTCCTCTTTAGGCTGATCGCCTTGATGTCCCGTTGGCATCGTCGTGAACAAGGCCAGCCGTGTGGATGGCGTGCAGGGCCGTCAGGACCGACTTGATGAGCCGGCGAGTGCCGTCAGGGGGGAGCTGCAGACGGGCGAGGGTCTGCTGGATGCGGTGCAGCTGCCGCTCGTCCCTGCCCGACGACGCCAGGCCGACGCGGATGTGGAAGAGGTCCTCGAGGGTGATGGACCCCCTCCACAACTCGTCAGCAGTGGTCGGTCCCTCCAGCTGCCGCCGCTCCTCGTCCTCGTCGCCGCTCTCCTCGGCCTTCTCGTCCGCTCTCCTCGCCTCCTCAGCCGCCTTCTCCTCCCACATCTCGCGGATCTCGTCAGGCACCCAGTCGTCCTCCTCACCCTCATCACCCACCCACCTCCTCCTCCTCCTCCTCGTCTCGGGGTGGCGCCGCTGGCCCGTCGTCGTCGGAGTCGCTGTCGTCGCCAAACCCCGGCTGTGGTGGCGGGGGTGGGGCGGATGGCCATCATGTGCGCTCGTCCTAATGTGCGAGAAGCGCACCGTCTGGCAACACCGCAGGCGTTTGAGCGGCCCCGATTTCTTGTCGCGGGTCGAACATGAGTTGCATTGTTCATCCATGGCGGCACTCGAGAGCTGACAAATCGGGCACACGGCATCGTCCCAGCCGTCGTCGCTCTACCCACCAACAGCAACACATGACAAGGTATCACTCTTCCTATCTCTCTGCGTGTCTGTCTGTCTGTCCATCTCTGTCTTTCTGTCAGTGTGTCCCGCTGCATACCACGGTCGGTGCGTATCTTTCGATGCACGGGTCGCACATGCGGTGGTTGCACACCAGCATTGCCTGTGGTATACACAGCACACAGCGTCAGTAAATCCATCGGTGGACGCCCTGCAACGTGTGGTGCGGTGTGGTGTAGCATCATTCACCTGGGTGTTGCACGTGCTGCAGTCCCCCAGGAAACGAGCGAGAGGGCCAAACCGCGGCGTCCCAGAGCTACAGACACGCACAGAGGTACCATGAGTGTGCGTGAGAGGTGTGGTGTGTGTTCCTGTCAGGTGTGTACTGGTAGAGTATGTCGTAGTGGCCTGGGCGATGCAACAGGGTGATCGTCCTGGTGCCTGGGCGCCTCAGGTGCTTCTCTGGGTACTCCACGATGGCCAGCAACTTGCGGTCCTGAGTGACGTATAAGACATGCTAAAACAGTAGCATTCTACTTGTTTTCTTCTCACTTACCAGATAAACGATGTCGATGTTGACCCCGAAATGCGCGGCCGCCGCAGGGGCTACAATTCCCGCCTCAGCGTCCTCATCTGACACACAATACACAGAGAAGAGAAACACCACGCACAGATATCGGCGACTGCACAGACAGACAGGTCCACCCCTCCTCCCTCTCTGTGTGTTTCCTCACCCATCGGAAGCACCACGTTGTTGACGAACTCCTCAATACTGACGAAGTTCTCCTCTTCGTTGTCGGCGGCTGCCGACGATGACGAGTCGGTTTTGGACTCTTGATATGTCTGCCCGCCGGCCTGCACCGGCTGATCGGCGTTGGTACGCAGGTACTTGGCCACCACCAAACGCACCATCAGCACTGAACGAACGAATGAAGCGACACAAGCGGATGGAGAGCGCAGACACACCAGACCACACACGCTGAGCCTGCCGGTTGCTTGGTATGTGTGTGTGTGTGTTTGCGCCTCACTCACCAAGGTCGCGGTCCAGTTGGATGTTGGTCATCAGCTCATGATACCTCTTGTCACCACGAAGGCCCTGCAAGCTGCCGTACTGACTCGTAAGGCCGTTGGACTGCAGCAGGTCATCGGGGATGCGGAAGAAATTGCGCGCCCGAGAAAAACAATTTCCTGTGTACACAAGACACAGACAATCCCACCTGGTGGATGGATGGATGGATGTGGCCTCACCTTCTCCATAGCCCTTTGCCACCAGCGTGTCGATGTTTCTCCGGTGATCCGGGCTGGCCTCGCGGCCCCTCACCTCAGCCCTCTCGGTATTGGTTCCCCCTCCACCACATCTGGCTGCGCCTGCACACCGGTGGCCTTGCCCTGTGGGTGCGCCCGGACGGCGGCGTCTCGCACGCTGCGTTGGACGGCCGAGGGGGGAGGGAGGGGGGAGAAGGCGAGCGTGAGGGTGAGACAGGGGCTGAGGACGGGATTTGCGAAGGGGAGACCGACGCCGAGGCCGGGCTCCCCGACGCCGTGGACGGCTGGGCTGGGCTGGTCACCGCCTCTAGTTGCTGATATGTGCAACACAAACGAACGAACAAAGCACATGTGTGTTGGGTGTGTGCGCATGAATGGTATACGTATTGAAGAGTTTTGTGCCCTCCTGACACGCAGACAGACAGACAGACATGCATGCATCCATGCGCCTCTCCTCCTATCGTGTGGCGCTGTGATGTGACGTCTGTACCAGTAGCTCCTCGCTTCCCTTCCTGACCTGGGCGATTATCTTCTGGGCCACCTCGATTGCCGTCTTGATCCGAAAGATGGTGGTGAAGATGGCCGAGACCTGCACCGCACAAACCCACACAGAGCCACCCGCATGGTCCTTAAAGCCGTTCGTCCGTCCGTGCTTACATCTGGATCCTTGTCAAAGATGTTGAGGTTGAGTTCCTTGGCTTTGGTCTCGGCCTGGCTCGAAATCTCCGTCAACTGCTTCGCCAACCTACACACAAACACACACACACACAGACACACGGACACACAGACATTCCAGTCAGTCACATAGGACAAACGTGTGGATGCGATTTTTTTCATCGCTGGGTGGCTTCTCACTCACATCTTCTCACGAGCCGGCAGCTACCCACAGCACCCAGACACAGAACTGTCGTGTTTCTGTGCGCGCGCCTGTGTGTATGTGTTGTGTGTAAGAGGCGTGAACCGGGAAGTAGCGGCCGTCTCCGTCGAGAGGGGAGGGTTGGGAAAGGCCGGGGCGAGCCACACACGACAAAAACCAGCCGACAAGACGACAAACAGAGGAGAATGGAAGGAATGCGAGGGAAAAAAAAGCTTAACGGTAGGGTTTCGCGTTTGTCTCGAAAATTCTCGCCGCATACGTCTGGAAAAAGTGAATCTCACCGCCGTCGTTGATGAAGACGATGGAGACGACAACGCTCAGGAGAGCACCGGTGAGACCGAGCTCGAGAAGGTCGAGAAGGTGATCAGACAGGAGCGCCAGGTGGCTGAAGGTGAGCCTCGCTCAATTGCATGCCAAATTTGTTGCATACACGCAGGCAGAGAGGGGGCACAGGTAGCCAGACAGATGGGCAGTCAGCTGCGTGGGAGGGAGGGATGCGTGTGTGTGATGGCACTGCACATGCCTGGCCTCAATTGGTGTTGGTTCTGTGGGTGGGGTGTTGCAGAGCTGGCCCGTTACGACCGCGGGCAGCTGTTTGAGCTGTGGGAGGAGAAGGAGTACCTGAAGGGTAGGCCCCAACACCGGCATACCTCCCTGTCAGTCGCTGTCAGTTCTTTATGTGGTGTCTGGCTGTGTGTGGTCCACGGCGTGCAGGCCTTGTGAATAAGTGGAGGCAGAGGCAGCAGGCGGACGCAGAGAGACTGAATAAGGCTCTCAACAACATGGAGAAGGCCAAATCGAACCAGGTGCATACACGAATATGGCTTGTCGGCATGTCGGCGGGCAGATCTAGATCTCCTTTCTGTCTGCGTGCTTGTGTGTGATGTTGTGAGTACAGGAAATACTCGTCGCCGCTGCCGCCAAACTGGAGGTCAGTGGCTGAGCCCCCCTCTCCCCCTACACCCAGACACACAAAGAGACAAAGCGAGCGATCGAGCGAAGACTCTTTCCCTTTTTCTTTCTGCGGCTCACAGGAGGAGAAGGAGGAGCTAGAGAAGGAAAACGCCGCGCTGAAGGCCACGATAGCCAAGCTGCAGCAGGTACACATGCGTACTGCACAGACCCACACATGCTGGGAGAGAGACAGAGGGGTGGGGGGGCACAACACACGCAGCCACCACCTCTATATGTGGGGTGTGTGTACAGGCGCAGTTGTCAAGCGCGGCTGATGATGGGGGTGCCGCGGACGTGGAGGTACGCGTGCGTATATGATATGGGTGGCTGCGGTTATGCATGCAGCTTCTCTTCCCTCTGTGTGTGTATGGCAGGACGAGTCGGCCGAGACGTAGACAGAACACCCAGTCGGACACACACACACATTTCATTGATCCATCCATACATGTACGTAGCTAAAAGGGGGAGGAGAGGGGCATCCCATCCGACGACATCACATCACACACGAAAGACAGACCGATAGAATGCAGACGCACCGTGACGCGCCTTTTTTTCTCTTGACCCACCCACCCACCCACCCACCGACCCACCCACCGACAAACTACCGACAGACAGATGTATTTGCACTTCCTTGTTTTTCCTTGGTTCATTTATGGATCGATGCACTGGATGGACGTTGATTTATTGCCTAGGACGCTTCCGCCTGCACATTTGTCTGTCCGCCCGGCTGCTAAGTTGGCTGTCTTGCTTTGTGTGGTTTGTGTGTGTGTGTGTGTATGTGTGATTGTGTGTACAGCTGTCTGTCTGTCCGTCCGTGGAAAGCGTTGTGTATAATGGATGTATTGTTGGCTGGCTGACTGATGTGCATGGCAAGAGACCTGCCTCCATCCCTCGGTGTGTGTATATAAATTTCAAGGAGACGTCAGTCACAGGTGCACATCCGTCCAGCACAAGCACCCCTGCAAATCAATACCCATGCAAACAGGGCACGCTCACATCCTGACTGACATCCCATTTCCACCTTTCGGTGAATGAATACCTTTCAGGCATTCCCCTCCAGCTCTCAAACACGCACTCACCAGAGTACCACTGGAAGAGAGTGAGTGACTGAGACAGAGAGCTGCGTGTGTACACTGGCCAGTCTGTGTTGGGGTGATACCCATGCAAGAAGGGAGAGTCGCAGCTGGGGTGCGTGTGAGTGACTGTCTTGGCTCTCCGTTGTGCTCTATCCCCTCAGTTCCCTTGTTGCAATGCGGCGAGTGAGCGGAGCAATCGTTCGTTGAGTATTCGTCTAGGGTACATGGACGTGTGCGCGTCTGCCGTGCCTGCGGCGACATTCCCGTGGATACACACGCTGTCGTTTGAGTCACGCTGTCGTTTGAGTCACTTTGTTGATAAATGACCACACACATGCACTCACTATAGTGTCTCTCTGTCTGCCTGTCTGTCCAGAAGGTATACCTGCCGTACGCAGACGTACGTCTGGCATGTCTGTCTACACTATGTAGGTGGGGTGGGTGGCTACAGCTTGCGTCCCCACGCCACGGGACACCCCCACCAGCCCAGCCAGCCCCAGGCATGACATACGTACGTACATCAAATCACGCCTCCTGTTCCTGTTCGGCCTTGCCATTGGTGGCCTCCTGCTCAGACCGACCCTTCTTCTTGGCCTTCTTCGGATTAGCTGACGTCTGACACACACAAGTAGATTAGATAGAGAGGACCCGCCCGTGAGCTGTGCATGGTGGGTGATTCGTTGACGCAATGGGTGCGTGGGTGCGTACAGCAAGGATCTTCTTGAGGTCCTCATCCTGCACTGTGAACTCCGACTGGATCTGAGAATCCTGGCCGAGCGCCAGACCTGCAAAACATACATGCGCACAGGCCCGCAAAGGTCGGTCGAGACCATGAACTGCATGTGCTGGCCTGCCTCGACACACCCAGCCACTGACCAGTAATCTTCTTGGTTCCGCCTGGCAGGAGCAGCAGAGTGAATTTAAACTGGGCAACGTACTCACCCTGATCAATGAATGATAGACAGAGAGACAGACAAATGGCATACGGCTGGCTGCAGGTAGGTGTGCGTGCTGCGATAGCTCTCTCATATTGGTTTACTCACGGACCTGTTTCTCGCAGAGGACGGGGTATGGATGGAGCAGCTCGTGGCGCATGCACTCCGACACGCCCACACGCATCGCCTGAACGAATGACCCACACACACAGACACAGATAGCACCCAGGAGTGGACATATGCTCCGTGTGCAGTGTGGGCAATTTACTCGCTCATCCTCGACAGATCGGATGTTGAACGGCAGCGTCGGAAACCCTGCAGACCGACCGACCCACACAACAAACAAGGCAAACCCACAGATGCTGCAGTGGGGCATCTGCTCGCTCGTCTTTGGCGAGTCTTACTTCTGTTGACCTGCAAGTACAACACAAAAACACACGTGTTGTTTGTGCGACGTGTAGAGAACAGCGTCAATCATCTATCTCTTTCACCTCTGCCAGGAATGACCGCGCGAGCTGTGTCTTGAGGCCGTAGTTGGTCTCCACTGCCCTCTTATAGATGGTCGTCTTGTGCTCCGACTACACGCACAGCTCCGCGTCCAACACAAAATGATGCATTTGCGCGTGTGTGTGTGTGGAGGTTGGTTGCTTGCTTACTTCCTTTGGTTTGCCCTCGCCGGTGGACATGACGATGTCGATGCCGTACACTTCATTCATGCCAAACTCGAACTCATCGACCTGTGTGCACACATTCAGGGGCAGACAGACATGCAGCCGCCCCACGCATCGCATGAATCTGTCAAGAGAGGCGACTGACTTTTGTGGCTGTCTGGCAGAAGCTGACCTTTTCCTCGGGGAGTTCCTTTGCGATGATGACCTGGTTGCCGTCAATCACGTGGCGCTTCATCTGATGCGATAGGTTCCCTGCCACACAAACCAATCACATGAAGCCACACAGGCGACTCCCTCCCTGCCCCTCTCTCGCTGCTCGCTGCCTGCCTGCCTGCCTCCTGCGTGAGAGTGTGTGTGTCCCAAGGTACATACACACATACAAACCTTGCATGGGAGAGCACTGGAACTCGCTGGCGGCCTTGTTGATGACGGCGGTGACGTCGGTGTTCTTGTTGCCCACCTTGACCTTCCGCAGCGCCGCCTCGGCCGCCGTCCAGGCAGCCCGCAGCACATCGGCCTTCCTGCCCGTCACGGCAGACCCCTCCCCATTCGACTCGTCGCCCTCTGCAGGGCCGACCACCACTGTGTGGGCAGCCACACAGATGTAGCCGTCGATGTGACCCCCCATGTCACTGCACGACGACACACACACATGCAAACAGAGAAGAAGAGGACCAAATGAGATGGTTGCCTAAGTGGCTTTCCAGCAAGGGTACGTATGCAGGATGCGTACACTTTGGCGAGGTCTCCCTTCTGCAGTGTGTACGAGTCGCCCGGGAGTGGCGAAAAGTGTCCGGACACCTCGTTGACAGAGATGCAGGTCGGGAAGGCCAGACCCTTCTCAACCTAACACACAAAGCGGCAACACATGCGACGGGCCGGTTGAATCGCAAGTCATCGCAGACAGTGGATCAGAGTGTGTGACCTTCTTCTTGCCGCCCTTCTTGGCATTGTAGAGCCCCGCCGTCTTGTCCTCTATGAAGGAGTCTCCCAACCGACATAGCTCGAGCACATCCGCACCCTCCACACACTTGGACACCACGCTCTCCAGCGCGGCATTCACGATGTCCCCTACCGTCCTGTACTTACTGCACACACCAACAGCACACACAACACACACACACACGCACACACGACGTAGATCTGCCGTGATGCACGTGCCAATCTGGCCTGCCATTTGTCCCATCCCCTCCCGTGCAGTTGTGCCTTGCTTGTGGTGCACTTGACTTGACTCACGTGGTGACATCAGGGTTGGCTAGCGATGTGTCCTCAGGCGCCTCATCAGCAGGGGTCGCATCCTCAGCATGATCCATTGTTATCGCGGAACGCTTGCGGCGGCCGACACAGCAGGGATTTCTGAACACCTCAAGAAAGATGCGGAAAGGGGACTTAATCAATGCTAAGCTCGCGCGTTAGGGCGGTAAAAGATCGTGCGGTGAGGATCTGTGAAGCGAAGCAGATCTGCTGAAGTGGATGAAAAGCGAGTCGTGCTCGAGTCTCATCTTGCTGCGTTGAGTGGATGACATGTTTTCCACAAAGTCCCTGCACAACCTCGTGCGAGGCCTGCGAGCAGCCAAGTAAGATGGTCGCACGAAGGAGCAATCACGTGGCTGGCTTGTGTGGATGTGTGTGTGTGTGTGGATGTGTGTGTGTGTGTGTGTGTGGATATGGCTGCCACCCACCCAGGGGTGATGAGTCGCAGTACATATCTCAGTGTGTGGAGGAGTGCAAGCGCGAGGCGCGGTCCAAGAACCTGCAGGTCAAGTCGACGGCGGTACTCAAGCTGGCCTACCTCCAGATGCTCAACTACGACATGAGCTGGGCGTGCTTTGCCGTCGTCGAGGTCATGAGCCACTCCAAATACACCGTCAAGCGACCCGCATACCTGGCATGCTCCATCGTCTTTGATGACGACACCGACGTTTCGCTGCTGACCACCAACCTGTTCAAGAAGGACCTCACCAGCAAAGAGCAATTCGAGACCGGCTTGGCCCTCAACTGCATCGCATGCATGGCCTCACCTGAAATCGCCAGAGGTCAGCCACAGACAGACACCACGTGAAGCAAGCAATCACGCAAGCTTTGACTGACTGTGCGTGTGAGTGGTGTTGTACGCATGTGTGTGTGCATGTAACTGTCTAGATTTGTCTCCTGACCTGGTGGGTCTACTGACGTCGTCCCGTCCGTATGTGCGTAAGAAGGCGGTGCTGTGCATGTACAAGGTGTTCTACAAGTACCCGCCGGCGCTGCGGTCGTCCTTCGGTCGGCTCCGTGAGAGGCTGGGCGACGACGACCAGGGTGTGCTGACTAGTGTCATTAACACACTACTGGAGCTGGCCAGGAAGAACGCCAAGAACTACCTCAGTCTGGTGCCGCAGCTCTATCACATCCTCACCAACACGACCAACAACTGGCTCATCATCAAGATGCTCAAGCTCTTCCAGCTCCTCTGCCCACTCGAGCCCCGCCTGCCGCCCAAACTGCTCGAGCCACTCACCCTCATCCTCACACAAACCAAGGCCAAGTCAGTCGAGTACGAGGCCATCCGACTCATCCTCCGCGTCATGCCCAGCGACATACAACTCGTCAAGACCGCCATTGACAGACTAAGAAACTTCGTCGACTCCGTTGACAAGGTCGGCCGACTTGATTAGGGGACCAAGGAGCCCACACACACAGACAGACTTATACCTTTACAGGTATGTGTCTTCCCCTGTGTGTTTCTGTGACATCCAGAATCTTCGGTACCTCGGTTTCACCCTGCTGTCCGAGGTCCTCGCGCACGCGTCGCCATCAGTCAGGCCCGCGATTGGGGCCGATGCTGTCAACGGCACTGCAGGCGAAGAGCAGCCACTACAGGCGGCCGGCAGCAGCGATGACAGCACGAGCACGAGGCGGCACAGGAAACAAGTCGAGGCTCTCTTCCCTGACCTCCACCAAAAGGTGAAGGAATGAGCCGACGGACGACAGGTAAGTACAGCATCTGGCTCTCTTGTGTATGCGTTAGGTGTTGGAGTTTGTGGAGGACAGCGATGCGTCGCTGCGGTCTGTGGCGCTATGGCTGCTCAACGAAATCGCCACCCCACAGACCTTCCCTGACATCGTGCGCCGCCTGCTGCGGTTCACCAGACAGAACCCCGCTTCACAAGACTTCCTTCGGAGCATACTCGCAATGGGCAAAAAGTAGCCATACCAAGCCCACCACACGTCCCACCACACGCCTAAGAGTGGGCCCTCTATGTGCAGGTCCAACTACGAGTTGGTGGGGGATTACGCGTGGTATCTGGTGGTCTTGGCCGACATTGCCAAGAACCGCACCACATCACCAGCCTCTCACCACCATTTCGCTGCGTCGTCGGCCGTCAAGTCCCCTGCAGAAGAGGTGGCGCACCAACTCATCGACGTCGCTGTGCGCGTACCTAGCGTCAGGTATGGCCAGGCGCACACAGAACAGCTGACTGGACAAACAGATACCTCACTCAACACGTGGTCCGTGTGGTTTCTCCTTTGTACGTGGTTGTGTGTAGGAAGTATGCAGTCCAGTTGGGTTGTTTGATGATAGATGCGAGCGATCTCAGTGGCGACGCGGTGCATGGCATGCTCCAGGCAGCACAAGACCACCCACTGCATGACGCCGACGATGGACGTGAGGGCCAGGGGCCAACGCAGCCGCAACACCTGGACGGCATCGTGGCCGACTCACAGCCACCAATCCCAGAGGGCGCCCCACCTTCAGACGATTTGATCGACCTACCCCCAGTTTCCGAAGCATTTGTGTCGTACGGCAACATCGCCATTAGCGCGCGGTCGGGCAGCAGCACCCTGCTGGCGCCACCGTCCGCACCAGCCCCATCAGCATCATCCTTGAGTGTGGATCATGGCAGGGACCCACCACTGCCAAGAAAGCGACGGGATAACGAGCACCCGCGAGTGAAGCCTCCGAATACGGGGGGCTTGGCGTTGGTCGAGGGCAAGAGCCTTGGCATAGCGCCCAGTGTCGTGGGAGCCTCGGCATGGATGCTCGGTAGGCACCCACGCAGACAGGCAGGCCGTGCAAGGGCTCGCCCTGTATTCGGTTGCTTGCTGCTCTGATTCAGGTGAGTTTCACCGCCATCTCGACCCCAATGGTTCCACCCGCTCATTCAACGAGGCATTCACGTCATTGCTCGATGTACAGGCACACCTCACACCCAGTCAGTCAACCCAGAGGCGCATCCCATCAGCTGCCAATCTGTCTGTCTGTCTGTCTGTCTGCATCTCGGCGCATGTGGTCGCAGATAGCGTCATGTCCCACCCAGCTACCGCCCCAGGTGCAGCAGCTGTGTCTCTGGTCGGCCCTTAAGGTGCTCACGGGAGCCACCAGGGGAGACACACAAACCGAGATTAACGAATACATCAAACTCAGGGTCAGCACCCACGTCAACAGAATGCCCCCCACCGAATGTCGTTACTGGTGCCTCAGGCTTTGATCGAGCGTCATCTGCCATCATTTATATCCAGCCCTCACGTGGAGGTATCCACATTAAATAAGGGAGAGATAGAGAAGGGCTATCACACACGTAGAATTGTCAGCGATAGTGGGTGTAAAGCTTACCTGCATATCGCTGGGCCCAGGTCAGCGAGAGGTCTGCCTTCGCGTATTTTCTTGTGGACTACTTCAGCGGTGACGCCGAGGGCCTCCGCACAACGGCCTGCCTTCAGCATGACGACCTCTACCCAGTGGACACGCGCGACCAACCCAAGGTGTGGGAGGAGGGACGCTGAATTCTGTTGAGTGTCATCATCACAGCCCCTTGCTATTGGTGGGTGCAGGTCAGCGCATCGGAGGGGCTGGACCTGCGGACCCCATTCTTCACCACCGCGGCCGCCTCGTAGTGAAGACACCGCGTTTCATACATCAAAATACAGCGGCATGCGCCCTGTATCTTTCAGTAATCGTGGCTGCTAGCGGACTCCATCATGTACTTGCGTTGGATTATAGAGTAGACGTGCCGGGCTTATCGACTTCGAACATTCCACGAAAAGCCCGGCTGCAAACTTATGGAATGACTCACCGACGTGACCCTTTCCTCCGTGTCGCCCATATCACAATTGCTCTCTTGTGTCTTTGCCTGAGTGAAGAACAGAAGGAAAGAGCGGGGTTTGCGGTGGGCGGTGGAGGCGCGAGGCCCTATTGGAGCGCTTGCAGGCAAGGATCAAAACCATGAAAATCGACTTTCGTTGCTTTCGTCAAAGCTTGAAGCAACATTCACGATGACCTGTTGGACCTTGCGAATAGCATTTTTCTTAACGAAGACAGCCATGGCAAGGCGAGACATCTCAGATCCCACTTCACTCCGTCTTTATCGCTTAGTTATTTGACTGACTCCTTCCTTTACAAAGCCCTCGCTCTTCGCAGCGAGGCGAACGAGAGGTTGCCTCTTAAGGACAACATTCCTTACAGCTCGACGCTTTGCACGTAAGCCATGGAGGGGATGGCTGAGCAAAAGCAGCCTGTCAGATAGTGTCGTGTTTGTTTCACTCTCTGCAGGCCGTCGGGGTCTAAAGGGGGCCAGTCTCCGGACCGAAAGAATCCCCAGACACCGAGACAGAACAAACCCAAGCAGGCCGGCCCATCGAGGAGTGTTGAGTGATCAAGACTGAATGTGATCAAGACATTCAGTCTTGGTGTATGTCTCGTTCGTACGGTCGCGAAGAGCTTCGAGTGCTTTTCCATGACACGGTGAGGTCCGCAACCAACAACTGCAAATCCATTTAAGGGCCACAGAGGATGTGCAAATCGCAAATCGATGCACGCTGGTGCGGGAATGGAGAGGCAATATCTCTCTTTTAAGAGGACGAAGACTGCGAAGTAGCGGTAACAAACGTCATCATTCTTCCGCTTGTCTCTTCGGATTGTTGAAAGACTTTTTTGGGTCCGTTCAGCAAGCGCGACGCCGCACAACTGTATGAAGGGTCTGAACGAGCAGGCCGTCATCAGCACTAGCACTATCTCGTCTTTCTCGCCCTTCTCGCCGTTGCTTCAGAATGGTTCCTCATTCTTCCTCGACCGTATTTTCACGGAGATTTGTCCTTATTAACAGAACCAATACAATCTAACGCCGTTTTCCTCGGTCGCTGTCGAAAGAAAAGTCCTTCTGATTTGAAAGCGCGACCGATTTGAGGTTGAGGTTTTCGTCTAGCTATCAACAAATTGGGGTCCAAAACCTGCTCCACTCCAAAATCTCGCGGGTCTGTCATACCCACCTCGACCGTCACGGAACAAAAGAATATCTGACGCAACGGCGGCCTTGAACAATATATTCCGCAACAGTTCCGCAGTTGGCGTCTTTTGCAAAGAGCTCGTACCCTTTTTTCGTGCTCGATGTCGCGTTTCTTTGGAGGGATTGCAGCGCATGTCGAGCATGAAGAAACCAGATTAATCGAAAAGAAGGTTTCCGCAACTTCTTGTCCCTCTGTTTGTCTTGCGGGGCCGCCGTCGACGGGGAGACAACAACTGACTACAAGAGACATAACTGACACCTGCATCTCTGCATCTGCCTCCGATCGATCGGTTGATACCTGCCGAGGATCGTACACATCAGCGCATCAGCGGATTGTCGGGCAACCTTCATCTTTCGATACGTATGAGACAGATGAGTCGGCATCGTGCTTTTGTTTTCAATTCATACACAACTCGGGTTTTCTCCTTGGTCCGTTGCTTATCAAAGGCTCTTGCGGCAGACCGCTGTTTCCGCCCGATACAACGAGTTTGTCGTCAAACTGCTTTGTCCTTAGTTTGGCGGAGCGAAGCGGGCGCACAAGAAGTCCAACATGGACAAATAGCCGACTGATGAGAAAGACAAACAGCTATAAACCACTCAACGCACGCGACCCCAAGTAAAGAAACAAGCATGGCTCAAAAGTGCATATTGGAGCCTTGAGTATCAACACGAGAGCAACTGCCTCGAGAAAAAGAAGAAAAAGGACGAAAAAAAGAATGAAAAAGGAAAAGAAAAAAGAGAAAGAAAGAAAGAAAGAAAGAATGAAAGAGAAAAAACATGTCGATGGATATGAAAGCCGTCTCTGGGCCGAAGTGGCACAAATGGTTGTTCGGGAGAAAACGCAAGAAAACGCCAGTGAAACATGCACTCATCAGTGGCGCATGGATTAATAGACTCGACTGATGAGTCTAGCAACTTCGCAACTTCACCCGTCTTTCTGACATTCCTCATAGAGCTGATGGCGACTTTGTTTGTATTGGGGAAGCAAGCGTCAGAAACGCTTTTATCCTTACGCAAAGGTAACTTAAGGAGCCCAGAGCAGCCCGCCGAGGGTCTCGATTCTACTTACGGAATCGGACCATTTCCTCCTTGCTTCCCATTTACCCACTTTACGCTGGATGGTGTGGTGCGGGCGTTTCGGGGCACGCAATAGGAACGGAAAACAAAAAAATTCTTTGTTTGCATGGGAGTCGTCAAAAAAGGTTTCCTAAGGGCTGAATTTCCTCCGGAGGTCATTATCAGTTCCTTGTCGTAACTCATCAACAGCCCAGCCCACGTCGTGCCCTGCCCTGTCTGTCTGTCTGTTTGCCTGACCGATAGTTTTCCTTACCTTTTTTTTCGCGCATGTCGACAGATTTCGTTCGCGTTAGCGTTCACTCAACCATGCGCTATCTGTGCGGGTGAGCTGAGAGGTGAGAGGAGGTTTGGTGCAGCGACAACGTGTTTCGTAAAGGCCTTGAAAGTGCAATTTAATGCTTCTCGGCCTATTGTCATGGACATTATCTCCCACACTACACCGACGATGCGTCATTGCCCTTGTCTCCCACATCTTTTTGCATTACATCAATTCTTGGCGCATGCTGCTTGGCCGGTACTATGTTTTGTTAAGTCTAATTCGACGGCTCGTATGTCTTTCGTTTAGCATAAGAGAATAGCATAAAGGAATTGCTGCTGTGGCCGCTCAGTTAAAATGCGTGGCCGATTCGGTCGCGTTTCTCGACTGTTAGCAATGCGTCTCACCGGTTGTCTCTTTGTTGGCTCCATGGAAGACTTGCTTACGTGTTCGTTGTCAACAAGTTAAACGCATTCCAACTGCTTGTCTGTGTTGTCCTCACCAAATCTATGACACAAGCTGCACACTTTGTCGAGCTGCGTGGTGCTGGGAAACTTCTTTACGTGTGTGGGTTTGTTTTGCTAGCCAGCAGCCGAGGTAAAAGGAGGATTATCCGTTCAGCAGCACTCTTGACCCTACAAACGGCACGTCTCACCGTGCTGTGAGACTGTTGCAAACGCGCGGACAAACATTTCAGCCTTTATCTTTCCTTTTTTGTCCCTCTTTGCAGGACCATCCCGCAGTCGCGCACACTATCAGTGTTCAAAACAAGTTGAAACATCAGCATGTTTCACTTACGTTTATGCATTTATACAGATATAGACAGGTATGCAAACACGTGCGTCAGATCTGGCATGCCAGTGAGAGCCAAAACATACGGCGTCGCCCTCTATATCCCAAATAGCTTCCCATTGTAGGTCACGAGGCACTCCAGCACAGTAAATGTTTGCATACTCGATAGGAATATTCGTCTAAGCGCAGCCATCACCACGAGCATCCCCTGCTGCGGCCGCACGCAAGCGAGTCCCTCTCTGTTTTGCGCAGCCATATCTGCTCTCGTCAAGAGCCGGCTTGTGAGAAAAAAAACAAAAAACAGAGCACTTTCCCGTGACCAATATACAGAATTATACTGCGTGCGATTCAGACGAAAACAGCTTGCCAGGCAGGCAGTCAGTCGCTCGCAATGCACTCAATTATTGTACTTGCCCGTCCAGGCACCTACCTGCAGGAGTCACATGATCACAAATATGCGGACAGAAATCCGGCTCCGCCTCACGCTCTCCATTGCCGCCACTGGTGGCTGCTGCTGCTGCCATCCTGAACCGATACACATTCCACACACATGCGATGTCTGCTTTCATTGCAATGGCCCGCCGTCATACTGGTTCTAAAGGTGCTCGCTCTGTCCGTGCCCCTGTCTCTGTCTTCTTGGCCTCCACCTGAGCACCCGCACACACCAACTCCAACGACAGACACTGCAGACGCATATCCGCGGATCACACACCTGCCGCTGTAGGTCCCGTCTGTGTGCCCAGGTGCAAACTGCAACTCCTCAAACTGCACCACACACGTGTCCACGCCAAACACAGATGGACAGAGAATGTGTCTTTTTCTGTATCAGTCGAACTTTGTCTTGGCTGCTTACCTCGTCACAGCGATGCCGGCGTCTTCAGTAAAGTCGTTTTTGAGACCCACAGCAGCAGCAGCACTGATGGACGAGGAGACTCCCCTCGTGCCTCCGATACTTACGTAGCTGAGCCCCCCTGAGCAGCGGATCGGCCGATACCACACATACAGACACATGCAGACTGCAGACAGACAGACAGACATGGGTTTACCTACTCTTTCTTGCAGGTCAGGCAAGGTCAGCCGTTTCATGCGATGTCGGCCTCCTCGTCCGTGATGACCCCGGGCAAAAAGCCGTGCGCAAAGGTGCACTGACCACACACCCGCACTATTAACTCCTCATTTGTTTCCGGTGGAGGCAGTGGTTGGGGTGCATCCACTGCCTGGAGGCCGGTAGAGGTGGGGGGGGCAGCGCGTCATCCAAGGCAGTGGCCGCGCTTCCCTGCGCACGTCTCCCATCAGCAGCCACAGCCTTCCGTACTCGTGCCCAGCTGGGGCATCCGGTGCATGAATGCGATCCTTCTGAAGCATCGCGAGCTTTGCAGCTGCGATTTGGAGATCTGGCACTTCATTCTCTCTTGCCTCCAGATCTGTGCGGCACCAGGCTTCTTCACCTTACCGAGTGCTCTGCCTGCCTGCTCAACTCGCCATAGACGGAAAACTCGAAAGATCAGCATCCATCAGGTGAGAAGAAGCGAATGCAGTGCTGTGTCGGGCCATCATTGTCCCTGCACGAATGCCCTACAGGTTCCCACCATGCTGTGGGAGATGTCATGTGTGCTGATCTTCTTGTTGGCTCGCCTGTCGAGTGGTGGTGCATTCATTATTGCCCCATCTGTCAACGCCCTGAGCGACGCCACGCCCTTTCTGGGACTCAGAGTGGGCACCTCACTGACAGACAGATCTGGATTGACGCTGACATTGGTTGGATGTGTGCTGAGCTGACTGCGGTGTGGGTGGTGGCTGTGCGTGCAGAGGTCCGGCCGCAGGAGCATCAAGATGTCCTCTCATCTGCACTACGTGTCGCCGCTTAAAGAAGTGCCAACGGTACGGACGCGTGAACCCCTCCCCGCCCCCTCCACACACACACACACACACACAGCCAAAAGGTTTGCGCATCGACCGCATGGTTTGGTGTGTCTGTGTGTGTCTGTGTGTCTGTGTGTGTCTGTGTGTGTGTGTGTGGTGAGTGCAGCACCCTGACGAGTCGTTCCGGCAGCGTTGGGAGGAGGTCATCTACAGTGAGCAAGACCGCATTTGCGAGGCCATTGCGGCGGTGGACGGGACGGCCTTCAAGGAGGACTCATGGCAGCGGGGCGACAAGGGCGGCGGCGGCCGCACACGAGTCCTTCAGGGCGGCAAGGTGTTCGAAAAGGGCGGCGTCAACGTCAGTGTGGTGTACGGGAAGCTGCCGCCGTCGGCCGCCCAGCAGATGACCAGCCGGGGCCACAAGGACGTGGCGGGCGATGTGCCCCTCAAGTTCTATGCGGCGGGGCTCAGCCTGGTCATACACCCACACAACCCCATGGCACCCACCGTACACGCCAACTACAGATTCTTCCAAGTGAGCCACACAAGACAGACAGACAGACAGACAAATGGAGGGATGGAGGGACGGACGGACGGGCAGATCAGGGGAGGGAGAGGAATACGGAAGGGAGATGAGCAGAAGGCAGACAGCCAAGGGCGGAGAAAGTGTCGTGTCTTGCTGGTCTTGCTGTTGTGGTGTTGCCGTCTGCAATTTGTTAAATCAGCTGTTTAATGCGGACACTGGTGAGCCGATCACGTGGTGGTTCGGCGGTGGATCTGACCTGACGCCCTCTTACCTGGTGGAGGAGGATGCCGTCCACTTTCACCAGACGCTCAAGGACGCCTGCGACAAGCACGACCCCACTTACTACGCCAGGTTTAAGAAATGGTACGTACAGTTGCGTGGCGCTGCTGACACACCATCACAGGCAGAACAGACTACCAGTGGTATCATTCCTTCATGTGCAGGTGCGACGAGTATTTCCTGCTGCAGCACCGCGGCGAGACTCGCGGGGTGGGGGGGATATTCTTCGATGACCTCAACGAGAGCGGCGACCCCGAGAAGAGCTTGGCCTTCGCCCGTGACGCCCTGCACTGCTTCGTCGACGGCTATGTGCCGCTGGTTGAGAGGCACAAGGACGACCCCTACACGGACGAACAGAAGGCCTGGCAGCAGCTGAGGCGGGGGCGGTATGTGGAGTTCAACCTCCTCTTCGACAGAGGCACCAAGTTCGGCCTGCAGACTCCCAACTCAAGTCAGCGTCATGATACACACACGGCAAGGAAGGCACCTTTGTGTGTGTGTGCAGGGATAGAGTCGATCTTGATGTCGCTGCCGCTGACGGCTCGTTGGGAGTATCAGCACATCCCGGCGGATGACTCGTGGGAGGGCAGGACCCTCGCCGTCCTCAAGAAGCCCGTCGACTGGATCCCGCTGCAAGGCACACAAGAGGAGAAGGAACAGAGGGAACTCACCACTGCTGCCTCGTGAGAATCAACGACCAGAGAGCAAGTAGATGGGAGCGTGGCGTACGCAAGAGAGTGCACACATGCGAGTAGGTTGCC